AACACATTTTTTAATGGTGGGGGTGCTAGCTTTATTAGTACCCAGCACCCCCACAGAAAAATTGAATTTTTTTCCAAAAACCGAGCTAGCACAAAATTTGCGAATGTAGCACATAATTAGCACATAAAGAGCACAAAATGTTAAGACAAAGAAATTTGAATTTTGTAAAGGTGGGGGTGCCAGCTTTACGCACCTTGAAAAATCTGCGTTCAATCTCTCGCTCGAGGCGTCCTTAATGCTCGAAAGAGGAAATCGCTTAGAATAACCATTTCGCTCCTGTTAGGGCTTTCCGCCTTAACGGAGGAAAGAATTGAGAGTCGGCGAATGCGAGGGTAAAATGAAACAATGGGTCTGCAAAGATAGAACGAGGGAATAATAAGTCGGCCGAAAGGCTCCGCCATTCTCCTCGGCGAACTTTGAAGTAAACAGGAAACGATGGAAATCTCGGGAGGACCCAATAAATCTTTAATATAGAATATAATCAGAATTTAATAAATAAGATTTTGGAAATGGCCCGATATAAGAAACGGATGAAAATGCAATTCCGAGGGTGAAGGATACGTTAGGTTAGGGGACAAGGTTGACACGATTTAACCTCCACCTTGTACCAAGTCAAGTATGTCGAACCTCTGGCGACAACTTTCGCTGGCATCAATTAGCGACTTTCTACGCTTGTTTCTCCGATTTTCCTTCGAAGTACGGGAGCCTTTCTTATTCAATTTCATTCTGGAAGCCAGCTAATAGACGGAAAAATTACGTTTACGGGGCCATAATTGTAGTATAGAAACCGCCCCGGTCTTGGAAGCCACGATGATACTTGGAACGAACATTTCTCAACTCTTGCCCACCGATCTCCCCATTGCTTGTTAAGCAAATAATACTTAATTGTACGATCACAAGCGATCGCAATTGCCTCTAGAATTTTTCTCCTTGATTGTAAGTGAAAATTGAATTGATTAAAATTTGGCGTTCCGAAATCCACGCGCCGGAGGCCGAGGTCCATTTGATTCGTGGTAAACTCGGTTGTAAGAGGTTCGGGCGGAATTTTCTTAATTAAAAGACGTTGCTAATGTTCAAAACTATCTTTAACCAATGATTTATGTCCAGGCGATGACGAGGTCCCAGGGGTGGAGCCCCTTCGAACAGAGACGACGCCGAGGAGCGACCGCGAAGACGCCACGGTCTCCGCCGAGAATGAATTCTTTACCAAAGAAATGGATTCCAAATCAACGACGGAAGTCAAAAAGAAGTCCGTCGGCGAACTCAAGCCGAAGCATTACAAGTCATCGAAGGACGATCAGAGGTTTCACGACTTTTATACCGATAACGCCATCGATATTTCCTTTACAAGGAGTTCCCACGACTATCGCGGGCTAAAGTTTCAAATGATTTGTCCCACCCAGTTTGAAAAAAAGTCTTATCGATATTTTCACGTTTCATGTATACGAATGACCCTTTCATTTCATCTTAAGAGCTCTCAGCACGTTATTTCATTTTTAACGTCCTTATCAATATTTTCACGTTTCATGTATACAGAATGACCATTTCATTTCATCTTAAGAGGTCTCAGCACATTATTTCATTTTTAACGTCCTTATCAATATTTTCACGTTTCATGTATACAGAACGACTCTTTCATTTCATCTTAAGAGGTCTCAGCTCGTTATTTCATTTTTAATGTCCTTATCAATATTTTCACGTTTCATGTATACAGAATGACTCTTTCATTTCATCTTAAGAGGTCTCAGCACGTTATTTCATTTTTAACGCCCTTATCAATAGTTTCACGTTTCATGTATACAGAACGATTCTTTCATTTCATCTTAAGAGGTCTCAGCTCGTTATTTCATTTTTAATGTCCTTATCAATATTTTCACGTTTCATGTATACAGAATGACCCTTTCATTTCATCTTAAGAGCTCTCGGCTCGTTATTTCATTTTAACGTCACTTCAGGTTCGACTCGACCACGAAGAGACCACCCACGACAACTATGGAGGATGAATCTTCGACTATGGCGATGACGACGATGACGACGAGGACGAGAAAAATGATGGAAGATTCCACGGAGAATGCGAGTCCTTTCCTGGTCCATGGGGCACCCATGACGGGCCCGATTAATGGGGACGTTTACCGTGTCCCTATGGGGCCTTACGAGGAAAAGGCTAAGCCCGCCATCCACGGTCGAACCGAGGACGACCACATTATGGTCGTCACCGAAGAAACCGTTCCTTCGAGGGGACGTGCTCTGAATGTCACCGCTCCGGAGCCGACCAATTCTCTACACGCTAATGTGACGGACCTCAGCAACGTCAGCATGGACGATGACGACAAAGAAGTGGAAGGTAACTGTATGGGTGTTTTCGAATCCGCTAGAACAACCGTTGTCGATGTAAAAAAACAAAAGAAAAAAGAGAGAAATAATGCCGATCCAGTTCTCTCCTTCTCTGTCGATATGCCAAGGAAGTCATCGTAGAACTTCGTTTAATGTCTCTGTACATTTTGTTCGAAGCAACTTCGTATGGGACGTCTGATAAGTAAATCCTAACAGGGGAAAAAAATAAAGAACTTATTTCGGAATCTTGCGACATGTAGTGGATATTTGTTCATGTTTTCACGTTTAATAAATATATTTTAGGCGGAGAGTACATTGCGTCTCACGACGATGGGAAGATATCTGTGCCAACGGTATTGCTGCCGACCACGACGATGTGCATCGATGGGAAGAAAACGTATTCGATGGGTGAGGTGGTAACGAGGGATTGCGAGGAAAAGTGCGCCTGCGGGGAAGGCGGGAAAATAGTCGACTGCAAGCCTTTGTGCATGAAACCATTGATACGTGCTGGAAAGGGAAGTCATGACCCTCTTTGCGAGGAAAAAGTGCTTCCGGAAGAGCCATGCTGCGCCAAGCTGGTCTGCGCCGAAGACTCAGGTCGGGCATGGTTTCATCGTTAACTCCATCGGCTACAGGAACTAATATCGCCTATTTCTTATCAGAACTAATATCCCCTATTTCTTACCAGACGATTTTCTTTTAACAGCTGTGGAACCGGAGGAAACCTGCGAGTTCAGGAATAAAACCGTGGCCAGGGGCCAACGGGTCGAAGATGGCTGCACGAAAGTCTGCGTTTGCGAGGCCGAAGGACTTCTTAAATGTCAACCGCGATGTCCACCTAGTGACGTCACTCCTGGGGTAAAGCAACACGATCGATGCGTCGTCCTGCCCGATCCTAGGTACTCTACGTGAAATTACAAATCATAAATCGAGTGCTTTTCCGTCCGACCAGCCTGTCCGTGCATCTTGCTCCCTAATTGTTTTCTTATCACGTGCGTGCATTATCGAGGATCCGCAATGTCAATACTCAGAATAATATATTCCATAATCCTACGTTACTTTCAGAGACTCCTGCTGCACGATAACTCTATGCGACGTTACTCTAGGCGATCAAGAAATAAAGGCGGAAAATCCATCGGATCTCTCGGTTAACTTAACCGACGTTAAAGTTCTTAACTCCACGGCGATTAAAATCAAACTGTCGGCGAAGTCATCCGAAGATATCGTGATCGAGCTGTCCGACAACAACCACCTATGGAGGCAACTTAAACCAGACAAGGGTAAATAATTACCGTAACAATTACACCATGCACCGTGAATCTCTTTGCACGTAAGTATAACGTAGGATTTATTAACAAATGTTATTACATCCTCGTCAGATGGGATCATATCCAATTTGGAGCCCGCTCGAAGTTACTACATTCGGATCTCTGAAGGAGGACGACCAGGACCCGCTCTTCAAGTCTCTCTTCCGGCGGAAGTGATAAAGACGAGTATAGCTGAGAAAGGCGACAAGAATATGTGCACTCATCGTGGAAAATCTTACAAAATCGGCGCAGAATGGTACGACGAGTGCATCTCGTTCTGTACATGCAGTAACGGTGGGAAAACCGAGTGCATCACTATCGAGTGCCCCACGGATTCTGGATTGGACGTTCTGGATCCTCATTGTATAGACTGGGAAACTGTACCAGCGGATTTCGAACCTAAACCACCTTATTGTTGTCCCCAGGTAACGCATGACGGTTACCCTAGATTACTAATAATTATATCTAACCGGCTAATTTGTATATTAAAATAAGAATCGCAATGCATGTCTGTAAACCTCTGACGACTGCTGACGTGAATTCACGTCATCTTAAATTCTATCCCTGATTGCCGCTGACGTGGATTCACGTCATTTTAAATTCTATCTTTGATTGCCGCTGACGTGAATTCACGTCTTTTTAAATTCTATCCCTGATTGCCGCTGACGTGAATCACGTCCATAACGTACACGATACAAGTTTGCGGCAAACAGTTTAAGAATTTCATTATTTTCGCGAATGTCTTAATCATTCGAGTCTTCTTCGATTTACTTAACTTTAATCATAAATTAAACGCCGTGTGAATTTCTGCAGGAAGTGCGCTGCAAGAACAACGGGTCTTGCGTGTACGAAGGGCGGTTGTACGACAATTGGAGCAAAATCCCGACGAACGTGACCGGCTGCGAGAAGGAATGTTTCTGCGACATGGGGAATGTTACTTGTCAAGCTGCTTGTCCCCCTGTACCCGCTTTGCCCCCTGCTAATTTGCATTGCCCCTCGGAAGAAGCCGTCCTGATGAATCCACCTGGTGACGAGTGTTGCGTACATTGGGCTTGCGGGCCCGCGACGAATAAACCTCCAGGTTAGTGCCAACAGGTGACAAATAGGTGGGGACACCCTTAGCTATTTACAATAACTATTTACAACCCCATGGGAAGCATGACATGCCGGATCCCTGCATGATTTAAAAGTCCCTACGACTACGGTGATATGTTATCCAGCTCTGGGTATGAGAGACATTTCTGACATTTTGACACCTCCAGTGACATAAGCTAAGACACCGATGGGACAATATGGTAAATAAACATATTGCCTCTTTAAGATACCAAACGATGAATTAAAACTTGGGATACTTGAGCAATAAATTATACAGCCAATTCGGGGAGGATCGGAGGTTGCCATTAAAAAAAAGAAAAATAAATTTCGAACATCATTTTATAATGTCTTATCATTTTTAAACAATATTGTTGTAAAGAGCATACCGCAAGGTATTATTACTTTAGGGTTTTTAAGTTAGAGGTATTATCAAGAATTCTCTTGATAAGAGTTCAAGTCGTAAGGTGCAAAAAAATTATTTAATACGAGGCGGGCAAATCTTGCTCAACATTGTACAGTATTGATTAACTTTATGGTGGAGGTAACCATAGTTCTTAGTGATGAGGTTGCCATAAAAAAAAGAAAAATGAGAAATTTGGAACATCATTTTATAATGTCTCACGTATTTCAATGTAATGCTCATGCAGCCCGTTTTTCGCTTATTGTTGTAAAGACCATACCGCAAGGTATTATTACTTTAGGGTTTTTAAGTTAGAGGTATTATCAAGAATTCTCTTGATAAGATAAGTCGCAAGGGGCGATGCAAGAAAATTGTTTAATACGAGGCAGGCAAATCTTGCTCAACATTGTACAGTATTGATTAACTTTATGGTGGAGGTAACCGTAGTTCTTAGTGATAAGTTAAGTACTGACTGACGAATTCTGGTCCATGGAATTGGGTTCGAAAGTGAAGCTTCATTTAACTATCTGGAATGCGGACCTGACTGGAATCCCTGTACAGAATAGGAGGGAAAACGTTTCAACATAAGAGAAATGCCGGAAAGCCATCCTCGTAGGTGTTTCTCGCCATCTTTCATCCCTTCGTTCCGAATGATACGTGTCATGTCAGTGCACAATTAATCTTACAAGGTAAAGAAGGGATGTCAAAGCCATTAATGATGCGCCGACCTAATTAGTTCACCTATCACGTCACAGCGTATCAACATTTTTTTGCCTAAAACCCTGTAAATAATTACTGGCGCCCTCGCATATATTATAAAAAAAAAGAAAATTCGAAATACCGAAGATTAGGAATAATCAAATGATACCGGAGTACGTTACGTTTAATTGTAAACGAGTGTTACACCCTAGACATACCCGAAGCGTAATTGTAATAATCGCAAAATGGCTTTCCCATCGTTGGGATGTTTTCTAAATCGCAATTTATGTTAATTCCGACGCAGAAATATTCCTCTCGTCTCTGGACCTCGGACACGTAGAAGATATGTATACAGGGTGTCCCATAATACGACATACGGGGAAATGCGTCATGAGTAATTAATTAATTGGCATGCACTTCGCGTATTCCTGCGGTCGGCAGGCATTGCGCAGTATCGGCGAACGGTCGTGCAATAACTTCGCAATTCGATAGGAAAACTTCAAAGCTCAACCGGTCGATTTTCTCTCGACATGACAGTGATCGAATCCCTTCCATCGATCACGACATATTACCGTCCCAGTAATTAAAAATGCGCACTTTCATTGAGAGCAGTTCCCAAAGAAAAGTAATCCCGCCGCGCAGATATCAGGACACTGTATAATATAAAAAAAAATATAAAAAAAATCGGTCCACGGATTTAAAAAGGCCTCTTCGAAGTCGACAGGCTTAAAGCGACTCTCGGTTACCATTGAGTAAAGAAAAGTAAATAAACAGGTGGAGCACCCCAAAACCACGTGGATGGGAAGAGTCGGAAAAGGAGTTCGATGCATGTCTAACGGAGCTACTAAGCTTGTACATGTATATATGTGCATTGCATATATGATAACGAATGTCGCTGTAAATATGCATGGATAGCGGACCGTCAGGACCCGAGCAAGTGACAATGGACTTTACTTATTGCAGGAAAGAACGCGACGACCACGTTAACCGGGCCCTTAGCGAGTAGCAAAAGACCGAATAACAAGTCGGAGTCGTTCGGGCCCATCCAGGACTCGGGAAATGGCGACTCCCTCCAATGGGACCCGAAAGGAGTCCCACCATATCCCGACACGACCGTCCACTATCCCATGGACCCGGGGCACCCGACGATCCCATACAACGGGCCATACAGCCCCGAGTTCCGACCGACCCCGCCGACCGTCGAAGAAGTCTTCCACCTGTCCGGCCAGCCGGAAAAGCCATCCCCGAAAGACAAGTCGAAGTCGAAGTCGGACTCGAAGAAGCCGGTGGAGTCCTTCAAGCCGCACAAAGAGTCGTCGGATCAACAGTTCCTCGGGCCCCTAGACCCTGGAAAATTCCTGGACAAGTCCAGGCCACCTCCCGGACAGGTCCACGAGGTCCCTCCACCTTACGTGGGTCCTACGAACCCTAACAAGCTCCCTCCGCCGCAGAAGGGGAACCACGTCCCCGAGCAGGCTCAATTCGTACCTTTGCACAAAGAGACCTTCGACTTCGGCCCCGATAACGGGGACGTCGAGGTCGACCGGTACGAAGGGTATCACCCCGAGGCCAGACCTCCGTACAGACCGCCTCCCCCTCAGATCAGACCCGGGGACCCGAATGGCATCGTTCAGGTTAGACCCGACGATCCTAACTTCCCTCAGGTTGGACCCGGAGATCCTAACTTTGCCCAGGTTAGACCCGGAGATCCTAACTTTGCCCAGGTTAGACCCGGAGATCCCAACTTCATCGGCCAGATTAGACCCGGTGACCCAAAAATGAGGCCCGACGACCCCAACTTCATCGCTCAAGTTAGACCGGGCGACCCCAACTTCATCACCGGCTCGAAAAAGAAGGTCTCCATCGATCCCTTCGTCGACGACGACCGGAGAACCAAGCCACCCTCCCCTGTTCTTAAACCTGGCCAGAGAGACCAGGACGAGCTGTACCACCTGATCAATCTCCAGCATCCCGGGCTGATCCAACTCGATCAGCGACCTCCCCAAGGCCACCCTGGGCTGTACGACCTCCACCAACAGATCTCCGGCCAGAAACACCCTGGCAATCATCTGCCGGCCGGGTATTTCGGCCTACCCTCCCCTGGGAAAAAGAAGCCGCAGATCTTCGCCCAGAAGAACGAGAACGGCGAGACCACCTATCACGTCCACTCGGCGGACATCCCGGAGTCTCCGCACAGCATCGAGGAGCTTTTGGCACACATTAACCAGCACGATCCTAATCCAGGCCCCTTCCAAAGCTATCCTGGACAGCCGGCCTTGACCCACAACTTGCCCACCGGCTCGCATCCACCTCTGATACCCCAAATCGACCCTAGCGTACCGCACTCGGGACTCGTGCAATTAAACCGTCCGTTCGCCGCACATACGCCCAACCAGTCAGGTTCGTCCCCATTAACCGAGAATTCCAATTTTTCACACGATTCTCTCTCATCTTCTCGCCCGATAGCGATAGTCTTCGCTTACGGAAGAACGTAATTACCAATATTTCATATGTCGATCATCCTCGGTACGTCGGACGCATCGTCAGGGTTGGACCTTTACGAATTAAGAATTCAGTATCCATACCCGAGGATCATTAATACTAAATAATTAATAATTTACGGTGGTAAATGTTAACGCGGAGTCCCCGGAAAGGGATCTTCGACGCGAGAGGAATTCTTGAGGATACATTTATTGCTATTAATTAATATCATTATAATTTATATATGGCTCGTTACGATTTGACAAACGATCCTGCATAGCGTCTACTATAATTACGTTCTTCGGAAAGCGATATGTTATCGTCGTTTCGCGTTTTTAGGGATGTCGATTAATTCCTTCTTCCATTCGTCTTAGGTATGGCCCACAATGGACCTCCGAATTTTTCTATACCCGGTGGAATCCCCGATCTGGGTCCTCAAGGCGCCTTATCCTCTTCTGACGAGATCGTCGTTAAGATCGCCGAACCCGTCGATGCCAATACCGTCAGATTGGTGTTTGCGGTACCTCAAGTACTTGTAGGACTCCATGGAAGAGTGGATTTGCGGTACACCAGTGATAAGGCGTAAGTGGTGCAAGGGAATTACCGAAATGCGATATTCTAAAGCGTAATCCCCGATGGAGTGTGTTCCTCCGATTTTCTCCGGAGTATTCCGGAGCCCTGGGGACGAGACCTTAAGGGGATGTGAAAGCGGCATCCGAAAGCTCAATTGTTCATAAAACTTTTTATAGAACTGGGTATCTCAAATCGTTTCATACTTTAAAACGCGAATATGGAGACCCTAAGGTAGGTCCTGAAACTCGGGAAATTTCACTTTTTATTAACTATGTTTAAAATACCTATAAAGAAATTTGAAAAGAATGTATCAGGACCTTCCTTGTAGTCTACCTATTCACGTTGTAAAGTTTCAAATTATTTGGTAAACCGAATTGGGAGAAAAGTTTTATAAACAAAACCTCTTCGACGCCACTTTCACATCACCTTAAGGGGGGAGATACATTTTACCGGATTTCTTTCAATGAATTTTCATGAATTGTTCCTGCCGACCTATTGAAAAATCCTTTCTCGTAGATATTCCTTGACATCTTGTCTGCTTGTAGAAATTTTTTAATAACATTTCACTGAGTCGTCCTCGCTAGGCGCGCTGGACCGCAAGAGGCTGCATTTAATCGGTGCCCACGATTTTGACCGATCCGAAAGAAAAATAATTCCAGATGAATGTTCAAAGTTAAAAACAAATGAGAAACAATTTTCTAGTACCTCCCTAGGGAGAATCATTGAATTTTACCCCGCTTCTAAGGTCTCTATTGAAACCTACGTCTTGGGGTTAATCAATGAAAATCTGTCGCAGGAACTTCGACATATCCACGTGGAAGTCTCAGGTGTTCGTACCCCCTGAAGACATAATAGCCACCCCGCAGTTGGAATTCAACTTGGGGAACCTGAAGCCTTCGACCGAGTACAATGTGAAGATCATCGTCAAGTTGAAGGACCTATCTAACACGTTGAGCAGTAAAATCTACAGCATAAGGACATCCGAGATCACGACATTGCCGCCTCAGATACCAATAGACGCGGAGCTCAGATTAGTGGAGACCAATTCTACTTGGCTCGGCGTAATGTGGAAGAAATTCACGGATTACGAGCTGCAGTTTATCGACGGCGTGCAATTGCGTTACAAGGAGCAGGACGGTAAAGTCTATGCAGCCACTCCGTTGATTCACCGAGCAGTAATGAACTACGTAATAGAAAATCTCAAGCCCTCGACGACTTACGAAATTGGCATCATAATCGTACCGTTTCCTGGACAGGCAACGGAGCTGCGAAGCGAAAAAACGGTAACTCGAACGACTAATCTAATTCCCCTTTGATCGTTATCCCTAAGAAAATTAGTATATCTCTCTTATAAAACTCTTTATTAAATGGGCCAATCGGTTTCGTTAATGGCTTAAAAAACGCAGAAAAACCATCCAATCTCGATGGCCTTGCTAAAGTTGACTTTACTCATTCAAGAGGTTTAAAATACGACGTTGAAAATAATGACTAGGTCTGAGTTTCGCGCCTCTTATATGTATACATACTTGGCGCGAAACTCTACCGAGTTTCTTAACGAAGTACAAACTTAGAGCCACAAAGACTTTTTTAGCTTCCCTTGATAGATTGCCGGGTTCCCACTTCCAGTTCGATTCTTTTTGATAATAATGTATTAATTAGAAGGATATAGGTTTAGCTACTAGTAAAGCGGTGTAAATAAATTTCTTTGAATAAACTCTGCAGATTCATGCGACAACCTCGATGGAGCCGGATCCTTACGCTTTCGACGTCAGGGTGGAGATAAAGACGATAAAATCGACCGACGTCGAGGTATCTTGGAGCGGAGTGCCATACCCAGAAGACAAGTACGTCAACATCTACCGAGCAATCTACCAAAGTGACAGTGGAAAGGAAGACACGAGCACTTTCAAGATCGCCAAGAGGGACAGTCCCGCGAAGACGATCATCGGTGACCTCAAACCTGGTACAAGGTATCGGCTGTGGATCGAGGTTTACTTAACGAATGGGAGGATCAAGAAGAGCAACGTTCAAGACTTCGTTACCAAGCCAGGAGTTTCGTTAGCCTCGGGGGTCTCTCAGCAAGGTATAAAGTGAATTAAAATATATATCAAATTATAATTATATAATATATTATACAGTAAAAAATTACTCCGAAGCGAAGGCTTAACATCTTTCAACCCTTCGACAGGGAAACTTGCCTCGATCCCCCTACACGAGGGAGACTACTATGGCCCCTTGGTTATAGTGGCAATAGTAGCGTCATTGGCGATCCTGTCTACCTTGATTCTACTAATGATGTTGATGAAAAGGCGGACCAGCAGTAAAGCGGATATATCGCCTCGTAAAACGACATCCGCCTACGACAATCCATCCTACAAGGTAGAATTACAACAAGAAACTATGGGTAATTTTTACGTACATTCCTCTAATCCATTTATCTAATATCGTAGCACTCATTAATCCGGACGACCCTTGGAAGTGTATTAATTATTTTACTCTTTCTGGATTTCAGACTTGTGAAGATGTTATTACAAACGGACGAAACAAGACGTCGGAACACGAGATGGCGACGATTAATTCAAACAGCAATGCCAAGGAAACTACTTAAAATTCATAACTTATTAAATTATATTTATTTATCCTATAATATTAGTATACGATATCAACTCCGTCCATAGATGTTTGTATATTAGAGCTGTGTACCAGTAAAAATGACGTGCACGGCTTTTACACTATACTTCGTCAACCTTGACAGTTATTTCTTTCGATTCATTACTCTCTCTCTCTTCTAAACGGATGAAGACGTTTGCATTAATTAATTATAAGTGTTTCAACGCGTAATACTAACGATATACTAAAATAGTAAATTAATAGGAAGCTGCAACGATTGATGTCTGAACAGGTTCTCGGTACACTATTTATTTAACCTAAGCTTAATGACAAAATTTTATTGGTACACAGAATAGGGCAAGAGATTGTCGTTGAATATAACAGAATGATAATTAAACACTCAACCCATGATATTAAAGGCGCATTAATGCCTCGGGCATTACAACTTTGCCCGACACGTTAATTTAAATTACGATCAAATAGTATGTTGTATGAAAGATTGTATATATGTTGTTTAAGCAATATGTAATTTTTTGCTATACTATGAAAAGATAATTATTATTGTCGTTTCAATAAAGATATTGCGAGAGATTAATCATACGTTTGATCGGTCGATGAAAATGTTCATCGGATGTTACTAATCAAAATTCATCACATATCGATTAATGGTCTAAAGTATTAATTTATCACTAACGTAACAATTCTATGTTTTGTTAAGCCACAAGTATCGCACGACATGTTCACCATATTTACAGCTTAACGATAAGTGATGGACAACACAATCCATCGTTTACTAGGGTAATACCCTACTTCGATTAAATAAGACATCTGGATGTGGTTAAACATTCTTTTATTCATTTCATGATATACACGTAAATGTAACATACAATCCATCCATCGCTACTTTGTAAAATAAACATTACACACTGGGCTCGCAAACATCCATCAAAAAGAGTATTAGCGATCAGATAATTAGTAATGGGCCTTAGTAATTAATTTACAACTCAAAGTTGGTCATGTTTCTACTTTTAAGTGTTAGAAATAAGACTTCAAGGTGTCTTCAACCTGGTTCGGTTCGGTTGTTGGTGCAAAACGTGCAACAACTTTGCCTTCTTTGTCGACAATAAATTTCGTGAAATTCCATTTAATATCATCCGTGAGTAAACCGTGCTGTTGCGTCTTCATCCATTTCCACAATGGATGGGCATCTTCCCCGTTAACGTTAACCTTCTCAAACAGATCAAACGTTACGTTGTACCGTTTAACAAATTCCATAATCTCCTCCGAAGTGCCTGGTTCTTGTCCACCGAATTGATTGCTAGGGAAAGCTAAAATCTCGAGCCCATTCGTGTCTTTATGCTTGTTATACAATTCGACAAGTTGTTTGTAGTTGGAGTCGGTTAATGTGCAGTAGCTGGCAACATTGACAATCAACAGAACATGCCCACGATATTTCTCTAAAGCAACGTCCTTCCCATGTATGTCGTGTGCATGGAAATCATAGACCGACTTAGCATTGGCCCAATCGCTGTTCTGATCGAAACTCTTTGCTTGGCCGGTACAATTTTCACTACCGTCCGGGCACTGATTTCCCATGACTCCCAGAGCACACAGTGCGGTATACAATACGGCGAAACCTAAAATATAATCTCATAAGAATTCTAACGACGCAAGAGATTAATCCACAAATGCGTCGCAATAGAATACAAATAATAAATTAATTTCTGACCAAACGCTCGCACGATTAAAGCATACTCTATCGAAGATACGATCTAGCATTTAATTTTTACTTAAGTAAAAAGACTCACGAAGCATCCTTATCGTTTCTGATCAAACCGTTCAGGATTTCGGTACCTCCCCTCTGCTACCGTAATCTTACGTATCAGCCAAGACCTCCGTGCAAAATATCAACCTGGATAACAAGGGATACCAAGTTGTAATCATTGTAGATGACAAGCAAAACGTCAAAATACGAGCAAATGAGTTAACCAAGGCACAAGAATGACTTGTAAAAAAAAATTGCACTCTATACCTCGACAGATGCGTCCGACCTCTTCCTTGTTTCGATTCTTCCGATATTTTCAAAATTGCCGACTTTCGCGCTAACTTTGTACACCGCGATCGCAAAACAATTCAAACACACATTGTTATACCATGAACCATGAATTACTAGAGAATGCCTCTTCTACGATTAAAAGACTCCCTAGTGAAATATCCCATCCTAGATTTCTCGACAGTAAAATGAGCGTCACTGGTGAAATTTACTAAGATCGAAATGCACAGCGTAATTATTAGCGTCACTGGTGAAATATACTAAGATCGAGGTGCACAGCGTAATTATTCGTCCACAAACTACTCGAAATCGAGATAGCAATAGAAAAGAAAATGGCCGTGCTTGTCTAACCGGTTGCGCACAATATTAACGTTACTCGGTAGAAAAATGACTCCTTTCATCATTCGTTATGCTATACCGAGGGCAGGGTTCAGTAATTTCCCGTTTTTCAAGGTGTTTGACGTATATTACATAAACTACGCAGTTTACTGTAGAAAATCGTAGAAAATGAGTAAATTACGTTTCCAATATGGCGGCTGCCGCAGATGGACGATATACGTATCCGCTATGTTATAAACGTATTTTAACGTACACGTAAACGCGTAAATATTTTTAAAGACTAATTTCCCACTTGCGTTCAAAATTCTTTCGATTTAAAACTCTCTTTAATATCAAACTTCTAATTCGATTTATTATTTTCTACTTAGAAACAGAAGGGCGTGATATACATTGCGCTTGCGTAGAAAACTAGACGTATTATACCTGGTAATATATACGTAGAATACCACGTATATTAAATTGCGTATATCGTACCCAATCCTGACCGAGGACTCCTTTATTGAGCGAAAAATATATAACAAGACTGTACACCCAGGAGCAGGAATAACCTCAAGGACGACTACTCGGACAAGCATTTCACGATTATTGTTCAGTTTTTCCTGAGATGACTTCTCGAGTAAGGATTCCCGTTTGTACAACGCGAAAATACAAGGATGTGCAGAGAGGAAAAATATCCGCATCTCACCATGATTCGCAACTGCGATCTACGAATCGGAATTACTTTCATCCCTACTCTGTCCTCATTTAAAATCAAACGCAATAAATTCCCGCGACCCCGTGAAAATTTGAAAATCCAATCCCGCGTTTATAAATTTAATATAAACTAGACTTAACGTATCTATTCGAACCAAGGGAACATTTTCGAACGAAACGTTCATGTTTCGTTTTTGCTTGCGTCTTATCATGTATGGAACTAAGACGCACTGATCAGAAAAATGAGAAGATCTAGGCGCTCCCCCGAACCTACTAGATTCGTCTAACCTAACAATTCGGGAATGTTAAATTGTCGAATTTCATGGAAAAATGTCGAAGATTACTCACAACCGGTAGAAGCGTCTTTCCTGGCCGGTGGACTGTTGGCGTCTGCGACTGGTCTTCTCTGTGAAGAATTATATCGGGACAATCCAATTAACCGGTTTAAAGTTCACAGATTGGCGGGACGCCATGGTAGGGGACATGAGCAGGTAGGACTGGCGAATCGGCGATTCTGATTGGCCGGTTATCCTTGCTTCGCATCCAACCTTGGACCAATCACAGCTCACCGATTACCGAGGTGCAATCCCATATCGCTAAACTGCCGTATTCTTCTCACAAAGGCGAACAAATCGCGGAGCATACATAGGCATATCTCACGTAACGTTAATTTTTACCCAGAAATGTAAACATGCTTTGACGTATTTTTTCTTTTAAGACGACGTGATAATCCTTCAATTATAATTATCAGCCTAGAATAATCTTCCATGTGTGCTTAATCGCTCTCGGTTATTCTAAATTAAGCAAATACTATTTTGCAACCACCTAAGTATTTAAATTAAGAATAAAATTACTAGGAAATAGTGTAGACTCCGAATATGATTGCGAAGTTGGATATAAACTGAACAATTGTTGTCGAGCACCAGTCGATCGACTATTACTGAACTCTTTGACAGAAAAGTTGCACGATAGTTGGCAGACTATTAGAAAACATGAAAATAACGAATTCCTTTTTGTTGCAAGATATGGAAAATGTCAAATTTTATAATTCCATGAAATGATAAAATCACTGGCAGAAATAATCATCGGCATTACTGTATGTAAATGACCTAATGTGACTCGGATTACGTGCTGCACCTGTTCCTATAAGAAAAGCGATCAAAAGGCCAAAGACAGATGTCATTTTTATATAATTCCATCTGTACAAACATTATCAATATATACACATATATTGATCCTTTTCTGGCCATCTCCCTTTTTCGCCATAATTTCGCTTACTGCTTTGTAGAGCTCTATTACTACTCCATATACCATTAATACAGCTAATAGCAAATAACACCACTTAACTTTCAATATTCCTAAACTAAATTAAGCACGCATTTCAAATATAAAAGGAGTCCTTTCTAAGTGCATAAAATACAATTTCAAACATTAGTCAAACACTACAGCGCTTCTGTATGTCCATCCTTGTTACTCCTACACGAGTAGACATAACCTCTCCTCTGCACAGAAGCTCTGCGGGGACATGTGAGAGCAAAAAGAACGCTCCCCCAGTAAAAAAGACGCAGAGGGAAGAGCGCATGGATAAAAATTCTCGAATCAATAGGTAAAGTCCAAACCTGTGCTAAACGAAGGATCGTGTCTACGCTAAGTGAGGAACAGTTCGGTAAACTTACCAACACTGCTCGCTTTTGATGGTAAGGGAAGAACACTCGTGGCGCCCTCTTTGACTTTACTTTTCACTTACCTTATTTATTTTATCCGCAAATGGGGAGCAAAAGTTGGTGAAAGCTAACGTACCAAACCAGAGGGCAGCACAGGATGCGATCGCGCGACCCTGCCCATGAACAATCTCCCAACTCATCTCTGCGCGGGCACTGTCTTGGGTATTATTACTAAATCCGCCGCATAGGATTTTTCGATAACGCTGTTGGCTAATTTCAATAATGAGTAAACAGCTGTTTAGTGGAAATGTTTATCGCGACTGTTGGAGGGGTGTCTGGCGTTCTGGTGGCTGTCACTCACTTAGATCCTAAATAATTTTAGGGGTAAGTCGTTGATGCGACAATGCTCACCCGAGTCTAGCGGACCTCCTTACCATCTAGCCAACGGGCCAGATTAAATCTTCCGAAGGAAATTATCACCTGGAATAATGGCCCAATGTAAGCTAACCCCTAGAGAGTTCATTACTAATGCCTTTTCACCGCAAGTCGCTGCCGTTTGCTCGGCAGCGGCGGATACCACTTGCCAGAAGAACAATTTGTCATTCATCGAGCTGCTGCAACCCTTTTGTAAACTTAATGCCGAAGGTAAAAAAAATATTTCCTCAAGTTATATCTACACACTGAAAGCTGATTTTAAAGTTTTTTCACTTATCTTCTCGGTTTTGTCGGACGTATTCCTGCGTACGGATGAGCGAGCCGTAGGCGATGTAAAACTTACTATCCAATTACTTGAGATCAATAGATGAGTCGAGATCTAATTTGCAATTTTATCGAGTTACTGTCTATGGTTCAGAAATTGTACATTTAAATGTGTTCAGATTTAGGTACTTTTAAGGCAAATATCGTTGATATAAGCCAGGAAATTGACGTTAAAGCATGAACAATGCTACTCTTTACAAACTAAATATTTGAATCTTGTAGCGATAGTACTGCAGCATGAAGTACGGAATTATTTTTATGTTACGATCGATAAGAATTTAATGGTTTTTAGGTCATTTCAAAGATCCACAGGGAACAATGATTGTAGTACGAAATCTACACGTATCGGTTCAAGATGTTAGCGCACGACCGCCTCAACCTACTCTTGCCAGGAAAATGTTGAACGAATCCGTTAGTTCTGCTCCCTGTGAACGTACTACCATTATTCAAGTAGGATCGACCGACCTGGAAATACCGGTCTCTGTTCCCTGGTTTGAGGCTTGGAGAGAAATGTTTCTAAATGTTCAATTTCCATCCGATCACGAATTCACAAAGCATTTTTTAGCATGCCTGATTGTTGTTTCAACTGCAGATGAGAATCCTTTGGAAAAAATACAGCATATGGGCGCGCAATTACATCAAAGTGTTCCTGGAAAATTACCAAAGTGGTTCAACAATAATGCTCTCAGATATTACGTTTTAATACACGATGCAGTAAGCGATGACAAATTTAAGTAAGTCCAAAGCATGCACTTAATCATCTACTGTCTGATAGAGTCATTCGATCTGATATAATTGAATAATTTTTTTTAATGAGTACTCTGTTCGTTTCAGGGCTGAAACAGTTTTTACAGACATGAAAAATATTTATGGCATTAATAATTGCTTCCTACTCCAAATGAACTCGAGACAGCCAGGTATCACGGATGACAATGCTCATTTACCAGATCCTTGGAGTCAATTTCTTGTCAAGCATGCAGATATACCAGGAAACAGTGACCAGGGTAGCTCTCCCCGAACACCTGCCGATACAGGTGGAGTGTCTGCGATGCCAAATGAAGTCTCATCCGAGCCTGACAAGTAAGCGAAATCTATGTACTACATAAAACATGTCTAATGAGGAAGAACCTGCAGAGATAACGATCCAACAAATAAACATCTGATCATTTTCAGATCTAGCCAGGCTGGAACCCCGGTAGCCCTTCACAATCCTACTCTAGCTTCCCCTGATGTGACTGATAGAATTAGTCTCTCTTCCGAAATATCTGTCTTGTCGAGTGCCCAACTGGAAGTTGGTCAAGAAGCGGTACCAGTTATTATACATCCTCTTAGCCCAAATGAAGAGAGGGTGTACCACTTCAATAGTGTAACACATCGACATCCAATGGAGAACAGTGCTCCACTAAACGACAACGTTTGGGCTGACTCGCCGAGTCATCCAGTACCTCAACATGGTGCTAGACTGTCCTCTAACGATCTAGAGAGGTTAAGAACTCTAATCACAGAATTTTGCATTAAGAGTTTATTGCCGTACGTTGAAAAGCAAATAGGACTTTTAAACGACGTAATATCTAACAAGAAAGGTGTGAGTCGATCTCTGTTCAGTGCGACCAAGAGGTGGTTTGGGACAAATAAACCCGGTGCTCCAGGATCTACGTCATCGAATGCAGTCATGTAATTACACTCTCAAAGTATTACCACCTAAAAATGATTTTCAATACCGACTCTGTTGGAAATTAAAACGTTGAATTACCTTAGATCGCTCTCATAATCGCAAGTAAGTAACAAAACGTAACTATAATTATTTAACTTTCTAGTTACGCAACCGATTCTCCAGAATTACAACTACGCCGCCTCGGTGATCTTTGCTTTATGTTCGGGGATTATCCACTGGCGTATCAAGCGTATCACAGCGCGAAACGAGACTTTGCCGCGGACCAAGCATGGCTATACTACGCAGGTGCTCTGGAAATGGCTGCTTTAAGTGCCTTTATGCAAGGTGAAATGTCTCGAAAGACAATCGAATACATGGACGACGCGATACTGACGTATCAGAACAGCTGCAAGATGCCTCAGTTCGCAACAAGAGCAACCTTGTTGAGTGCCGAGTGTTTGAAAGACCGAGGCTTGTACGGAGAAGCTGCGAAGCAATTAATTCGCATGACCAGCGAAGACTCCGATTTGAGATCTGCTCTATTATTGGAACAGGCATCGTACTGTTTCCTCAATCTGAAAATGACGCGGAAATACGCATTTCATGCCGTCCTTGCAGGACATAGATATTCCAAGGCAGGCCAAAGGAAACACTCTTTAAGATGCTACCAGCAGGCTTACCAGGTGAGCGGGTCAAAAATAATTCCTTAAAGTGGTCGTGTAGACAAAACTAGGTCCTAAAATGTATCCGTATAACATTTAAGGTATACCGCGGCAAGGACTGGACCTTGGCAGAAGACCACATTCATTTTACAATAGGGAGACAAGCCGCTTCCTTGAAACTAGTCCTGGAGGCTACCAAAGCGTTTGAGAAGCTCTTGAGTGTTTCCAGCAAGCAGCCCGCTCCCCAGCAAGCTGCATTTCTTAGAGAATTTCTGCACACCCATAACGTGAGCTCTTCGTACATCTTCGTGTATAAATCGAAAGAAAATAGATCGTTAAGGTAATTACAGGAATTTCTTCCGACTCCAGGTACTGCTCCAAGATGAGGCGACGAAGAAGGACGCGTTGCCAGTCCTGCCTTTGCCCTTAATAGACGGAAATCGTATTAAGGTATTATTTGGCCCTCTTCCAACTACGGAAACTGGCAAGGAGGCTTTCACTCCGGCAAGTGGAGTGACCTTTGATAACGAAGACACCGACGAGGCGAGGTGGCTCAAATTGGAGGAAACATTGATAACGGAGGCTCAAGGAGTCGCTCCGATGATATTTAAGCCATCGAAGTCCCTGTACTCCGATAGAACTAATAACAGTATCAAGCCATACGCCGTGTTGGATGAGCCGGTGCACTTCTCAGTGGAATTGCACAATCCATTGCACATCCCCTTATCCCTGAGTGATGTCAAATTACTGTGGTTGTTCACGAGGGACGGCGAAACGACGACCAACGAGAAGGAAGTCAATAATTCCGTGCAATTACCCGTAGATACTCGGACTATTGAGGCGATCGTACTTCAGCCAACGTGCAAACAGTGCGTCCTTCTCTCCCTGACCCCGCGTAGAACTGGGGATATTAAAGTATTGGGATTAAGTTACAATTTGTGCAATCCGGGTTTCTCGACCGTTGACCAGCCTGTCGCCAATCCATCGATCGCAATCGCCGGCAAGAGGTTGTTCGAGGTTCGAGGACCCAAGTTAAAAAACATCAAAGAGAAGCCCGGGATGAACATGTACGAAGTGGACTACAGACTGGAGATGAACGTCGTCCCCAAAGCGCCGTTCATGCAGGTACGAAAGGCGCTTGATAAACGCTGACTCTTAAGATCCTATAAACAAATTATTTTCAGGTCTTCTTTGGCAAGATGTCGCCGGAAATGTTGTGCGGAGAGATGCAGAGAGTGACGGTTAAGCTAAAGAACGTCGGCAATTCGACCTTGTCGAACATCCACGTGGGCTCGAGCGACTCTAGACTCTTCTCCTGGGACGATCACTCGGAAAACGCGAACGGCGGTGGGTAAAGTTAAAACTTCACAATTGTCGGCCCAGTTAGTTTATACTTTTGGCCAATTTACAGGGGTGGCAAGGAAGCTCGACAACCCCGTAATGAAGATCAAGGTACCCGAGTCTTATGGCCACTCTTTGGAGGCTGGCGGAGAGTTTCGTTTCACCCTTTGGATCAGAGCCCCTCACAAGAAAGGAAACCACCGGCTGGACTTGCTTTTCTACTACGAGAACCCCGAGCCGAAAAGTGTCCCGAAATACCGGGTCGTTCGACACACGTGGCAATTGACTCTCCTGGACTCCGTTCAGATCAGCACGAATGTAATAAGAAGTGGAGTATGCAAGGACGACTCTCCTACATTGAACATGCTGATTCGCGTAAAGAACTCGAACGAGGTTCACGATCTCGTGATGAACGAGATATCGTTAACGAGGGTGTCTCTGAGAAGCGACTCCTGGTCATTGTCCGGTCCAATTGCCCTGCCCTCCAATGTCAATATACAACCTCAAGAGATGTTTCACCTCTTGCTGAAATTGCGCAGGAGTAAGGAATCCGACTCGGAGTTTTCCGACGTGTCCTTGACAACGGACGGTGACAAGTCCATCACCGACTCGCCGTATATTGACTTCGTCCAGAGGAGGAACATTCCGTCAATGGATGCAAGTCCGGGGGAATCGCAGCTGCAACTGCAACCTGCCATTGACAGTTCCCTGGCAGTCGCTGTCAAGTTAAATTCTATATTGATTCTCAGGTGGACGGCCAAGGTGACCGAAAGAGGTGTTGCCACTCGACACGCCACTGGGCAGCACCATATCGACATTGAATTTCTAAATAGACTGTATAAACATCCAGAGGTCTCGCAAACCGATAGAATAGAATACAGTGGACGTCTGAAGATCTTTGGACCCGACAGAGACGTGCCCGACTCGAAAGTCCCTCGTAAAGACGAATTGTCCGAATTGGACTGCTGCAAAAGTCTGCTCTCCTACACCCTGCGACACTCAAGACGGATCTCTCACAGTTTTCAGAAATCCAGGATATGTATCGTTCCCGTGTCGATTAACCTACAAAATCATTCGAATTCGAAGATCGATGTCATGATCGATACCAAAGGCACCAGTAGGTGAGTATTTTTTTTAGATCGGTTGAGTTCATCTACTACGGGCTGATTTATGTTACNTTTATAATTATTATGTATCTACCGATACAATACATTTGTTTCTCATTGTTTTCCAGTCAGAGTACCCTGAATGGTGCTAAGTCTCAGTTGTACTCACCGGAAGCTTCGACCTTCTTCCGATATGTTTGCCACACTTCGATCAACTGCGAGATAGAGTCGTATGGACATTGTACTCTTCAATTACACGCTGCAATCGCATCACCCGGCACCTACGACTTGGCATCCAGAGTTGACGTGTCGGTAAAGACTGTAAATAGTAACCAGTTCGTCCCCCAAAACTGGCACATGGAAAGTGTGTGCATAGTTTGCGATGACACCACGTAGGGTAATCTCAAAGTTTCGGCCAAGCTAAATTCGTTCTCACCTCGACGAGTTTTCTCGGTGTCATTCCTCGAAGGCCTGTAAATAACCTCATGTATGCCAGGATTTTTTATTACGATTTTTCTAGAAATTCTTACCCGACGTTTCGTTTATAAATATAAGGCCTTGCATGTAGAACGTGATTATTCAAGAGTGCCTGACACTATTTTCAGTTAAAAGAAGCCTCGGTTTAAAGAAACTTGGAGAAAATGCCCCTCCCAGGAGCAATGCTTTCATTTGCAATTCTATTGGCAATTGAGTATGACCTTAGAATTTCGTTTTTTTTTTTTAATCCAAGAATAACCTATTCTTCCACAAAATGTTGACAGTTCAACGGTAGAGTTTTTCTGGTCGTACCTTTTGTGCCAAAAATGAAATCATGAGTCATACTTTAATAGAAAAGAGATTTTGGTGCATTTTCCCAAGTTCTACCAAGGGCTCCTTCGTTACAGTAATCTTCCTATCGAATTATAAATGGACTGTACGTCTTTCGTCGATCAAACTCTGTACAACCTTTTACATAGTATTCACATCAGGGTGTTCTCTGATCACTACCTAGAATCTAATAAAAAAATCCATGATATGACAAAAAGTACTTCACTGACCACTGCAAAGTAACTTGTTAGTGGAATCTTCTTGTAACCGATACATATCGTATCCAGTCATAATAACTTCATAGTAATTATTTGCTGTACCTTTCATTACTTTTGCCACTGTACTGCGTTTGTACTGAAGATATACTCTAGAGGTCAATGCTCGAAATGGTTATAGAAATTTAAAAGGGATCGTACTCGTAGGATAAACCGAAAAATGCAGGGTCCGCATTACATTAAATAAAGTTTGTTACGATACTTTAATCCTATTAGACCGAAGTTGTACAGAGATTGTTTTAAGCCATTTCATAGGGCTCTATTATAGCACCGCAAAGGTATTGCGTGTCTTGTACAGAACATTCTCTTACATATACTGTAAATAATATTAAATATAACAATTCATTGTTCAAGAGAAGTGAAATGTTTATTGAGCATTATGTAGTTACTTCAAACGGAATTGCAAACGTCAAGGCACGTAGTATTTAAGCCAACAGATTTTTGTTATGACAGCAATTTAATTATTTCCAGAAGAACAATTATATAAGGATCACTTGAATTTTGTTATCGATTTTTATAGATACCAATACATTCATTGTAACATACGATACGACACCGTTGTAATGTTCATAGTAGTCTACTGGCAGGTAATCGACTTGAAGTAAAGATATAATGTGCTCATTGTTGAGAGAAGTTAATTTCTTAAAGCTACGTTTACTTGAACCAATATACGCGCATATATTGGATTTATATGTGTATTATGAGACACGAAAAAGTTATATACATAATGTATTAAAAGTGCAGTGCGTATTGTAGATTCATACAATAAGCATTTTACATGGAAACCCTGTACAGTAGGGATACATTCAATTAGTTTTAAATTAATGCAATATATTGATATAAGTTCGGGGGTGTGAGTTCATGTAAAAAGGGGTGTCAATCATTATTTCTTATGGACTAGCGTCAATAACAGATGTACATCTAAATAGCAGATATACTCCAGCTCGTTCTTCGGTAGAACCCATAGGAATTTAAAATTCAGGGAACCATCATTATCACAAACGAGTAAGCGAGTCACTCGTAATATTCCTAATATGTACGATTCACAAATAAATTTTATCATTAACATAGCCGTGTGTAAATAATGTATTAATAAACGATATTAATTATAGAGTGCGTTTACAGGTCCTTATTCTCGCGTAAAGATTTTTTGACCTAGTCCTCGTGTTACCTGACCTTTCTCAACGATTCTCGGTAACGGATCGATAGTATCGATTGGTATCGATATCAACCGAATGAGGGAAACGAGAAGTGTCGTCTGCAAATGACATTTTGCGGGACGAATTTTAATGACTGTCGGCAAGATGTGCACTTTATTATTCTCACTGATTGATTGCGCTTAAAATCTCGACAAGCCCGATCCCCTTCTTCCATAACGAGAGCGAAGCGTCGAGGAATTTACGAAAATGCTGTGTAAGTAAATTTCTGGAAGGAAATAAAAGAGACCGAATCGTAATGTCGCCATTGCGAACGTCGGGACGAAAACTGCAAATTTCTTCCCAAGATAATTTAAAAACCATAAGAGGAAGTACTCTGAATGAAATATGAGCTCTTAAAACCATTTTTATCTGGAAGTCCGGAAGTGCAGTTACATAACCTCTTCAGTTGACTGCACGAAGGGAGTGATAAATGAGTTGATACTCCCGGAAGAATTGGTATAAAATATTTGAGAGGGCATCAAAAGGTTTGCCGAATTAATTTGATTTCAAAGTCAATGACTTCGTCGTGCAAGTAAGAGAAGGGAAAGGAGTTCATCGAAAAGGTTTGAGTTTTGTGAGAAAGGAGCCACTTCGCTTTGCAAACATTCTGATGAGAATGCCATCGAAATTGTTCCTGGAGGTTTCCTGTGTATATGACGAAGTGTCACGTACTGTTTTGGGATAGCTAAGATTGCAACCTTGTCAGGTTTTAATGTACAGTGATTGTAACGAATGGAGGCAATGCGATAGCAATTTGAAGGTCATGAGATAACCACAATTGTTTTCTTGCACCTGAGCCATAAGGAAGCATGGGAAACTACGGACGAGATGTCGTAATATGGTATGTTTCTTTTAGCGATGTTTTACGCTAACGTTGCAAATAAAAAAGGGAAACCCTGCTTTGTGTTTTTACGACAAAACTTGACGCGCCATGAATTTATATACTGTGTGTACTCATCAAATTCCTTTACCGTAGTGTACTGTTGTTATTTTTGATATGCATTATATATGGGATAACTCAGTTGATCGAGTTGTTCTCGGAAAGTGACGATATCTTTAAGAATTCCACATCCTTTAACTGGGTCATACGTCTGTGCCTGAACATTCTGGGCTATTCTACAATTCTGTTACCCGGCTTCCTTATCTACAAATATGTTCGTTACAGCAAATACCTTCAATACGAAGGTGAGAAATTTACATATGATTTAAACAATGTCGTGCCAAGTTGATGATTAATTTCCGTTATAGGTAAAGGATGCATATCACGATTGGTTCGTGCCTGTTTCTTGGGCAGTGGAGAAGCAGGACTATTGGAAACGACTGTGTACATTCCACCGCAAGCCAGTTCCAACCAGCGTACAATTACACAAGAAATGTTACTGCTCATATACTGTTTCTTAGGACTTCAGTTCAGTTACTTGACATGGGGATATTTGCAGGAAAAAGTGATGACTCAGGTGTGCACCTCAGATTCTATTCCAGAAATAAACTACTAAATTTTAAATCGATATGCATTTTTTTTGCAGGAGTATACAGATGCTATGGGAAATAAGACACATTTCCAAGATTCGCAGTTTCTAGTATTTGTTAATCGGATTCTTGCATTTCTAATGTCTGGTTTATATCTGCTCGTGCAAAGGCAACCGCGCCACACAACCCCATTGTATAAATATGCGTTTTGCTCGTTATCTAATATTATGAGCAGCTGGTGTCAATATGAAGCCCTTAAGTATGTTAGTTTTCCTACTCAGGTAAAAAGAAATTGAATTTTTTTCATTAAATAGATAGATGAATTAAATCATAGATTTAAATGACAGTTGTGCAAGGTCACTACTTTGAATATAAATATAATGACGATTGATTACAAATGGAAAATTATTTTAATATATGAACGAGTAAATTACATTATCGTATTAATCGTGTTTCAGGTATTAGCAAAGGCCTCGAAGATCATCCCTGTGATGATAATGGGAAGAATTGTTTCACGTACAACATATGAGTATTATGAATATGTAACTGCAGTACTTATTTCAATCGGAATGACATTATTTATGCTAGGTAGTGCCGAACCTAAAAATGGTAAGTCAAAAATATTTATTGAACTTTAGGAAAAATTATGTAATTGTATAATGTAATGTTTTTACAGAAGGAACAACGACCCTCTCTGGCCTAATTTTATTGGGAGGTTATCTTTTACTTGACAGTTTTACGAGTACCTGGCAAAATGCACTTTTTACAGAATATGGAGTGACTAGCATTCAAATGATGTGTGGCGTTAACATGTTTTCTTGTTTACTGACGGCTCTGTCCCTTTTTGAACAATCGAGTTTTTCCTCAGCCTTTACATTTATGAGCAAGGTAAGATTCCATGACTGCGTTTGAAAACTTTTGAACCGTTTAGCAATCAAGGTATTAAGAATCCCTAGGAGAGATTGCTAACCCCCAAAAAATATTTGATTGCAGCATCCAAGTTTTGTAATAGATTGCTTGCTGATTTCTACCTGCTCTGCGGCTGGACAATTATACATATTTTATACTATCTCCAAATTCGGGCCTGTAACCTTTGTTATCATAATGACAATTCGACAGGTAAATTATAGTTAATATATATTATAAGATGAACTTCTCATTTGCCAGTAATCAGCCTTATGAGCGAGTCTAATTATATTTTCACGTTTTCGTTCCAGGGTTTGTCAATATTACTATCCTGTGTCATATATCAACACCAAATTACAGTTCTTGGTGGATTTGGAGTAGTACTGGTTTTCTTTTCTGTCTTTCTACGAATATATTGCAGTAATCGACTACGAGCCATAAAAAGAAGGAGGGCTGAAGCAATGAGTATCAAAGACTAGATTACTTTTGACTAAATCAAACTCGTTTCGAATCTTAATAGCAACACAAACCTCAAAGATTTGAGACAATCAGCATTAGTCATGGTCCTAGTCGATGCCTGACATACGTCTGCAGAAGTGTTTTGCGTACACTTTTACAATCAAATTATTTAGCTTCAGACCACTTACAATTAGTGATATCGTAAATATACTTTATCTTTTAATTACATGCATGTTTTACATGAGACATGTGAATATTGTCATGACATATTTTAAAATTAAATATAGTGCATACTTCTGAAGGACGTCGAATGCTATATTTAAATTAAAATAGTTAAAAACAAATGTTTTATGATCCTCTGAAAGCAGTATTTCATCGCACTAGAGAAAGTAGCTCAGATATTGAACACTGAGTACTTTTTTTTTTTAAATTACATTTATAAAACTAACGTGGTTGAGTAAGTTTGAATTATTCTTCAACCTTTTTATTTGATTTTTGTAATCTTTGGCAGTACAGTTTTCATAAAAAATGTATGGATGTATACAATACTGTATGATGAATGAAGTATGATCTATGTAATATATGAACTGTGATTATATTAGATCTTCTAAGTGTGTAAAATTGGCGATGAAATAAATAAATAATGTGTACATAAAATTCTTGAGGTGTGCCTTTCAACATTGACATGTAACATGACGATGAAGTAATCGGTACATTTACTACACAGAGATCTCCTGTAGTGTAATATAACCATACTTTAAAAAAAGTATGCAATATTTTGTAATTACACGATACAGTGAAATAAATTGCTTACATACAACGATGGTAACAGACCTTAATCTTCTATTAATAAACTTATCGATTGTTTATGAAAGCACTTATTTAAAGGTACCACAAATACAACGGAAGTCATGTAAATTTGATTGTGTACATCTAATATATCCCCTTGGCTAAAATCTATGATACACATCTTTAGAAAACATTTATCGTGCGATCCTTAAAAATGCACTGTCATTGAACACATTAAAAGAAACAAACTGACACTTTCAATACTTTAGTCTTCAAGAGGTGTTGGTCGATAAATTGCTATAAGGCACATGATTGAGATAACAAGTTCAGAAGCCAGTAAAACTAACTGAATGCTACAGAGAATGACTTCCAGTCTAAGAACATAATTCTGCCATATTAGAAAATATAATGTAGCTAACGCGCTAGGTACTGTCAAGACAATTCCCAAAAGAATCGGAAGGCCACGTTCCATTAAATTTCCCTTGCGACCAAGATAAATTCTACCACTCTCCGTCGCCAAAAGGAAAAGTAGCAAGGCGAACTCTGCAAGCGTCGTACCGGTACCGGGCGAGGGCAGTTTAACGGCTTTAAATACTCCCATACCCACTTCACATACGGCAAACATGCCGAAGTAAAACGAATTCAGATACATAAGAATCTCATAGGTTAAGGATGAATTCATTACCATAGGCATACTGCTTGGTGTTTAATCTGCTCGGTTCAAATAAATGTTTGAATGAATTCCCTGCACAGGCATGGTTTTTCTTATTCATATGGCGAACATCATGAAGTAACACCTGTGAATGTTAAATTCGGTTTATTGCACTCACGTTGCCGGGAAATTGTAACTCCCACTAAATCACATCTCACATGAAACATCTATCAAGGACGTTTGCTAGGTTAGGTGGAGTGCAGAATAAATGTTAATTAAGTTCTTTTACCTACCCGTGTCTTCTTATCATGACTATTCCGCAAGAATTTCAGTAGTTAATCATGTTGTCGGCCGACTGTTTATTTTTAACTTTGGTTGGCTGGTTGCATCAGAGATGAGCGGGGAGATGTTCACGACATCAGGTTTGTTCGCGTTGCCTGCACTTTCTGCACTCGAGTATAACCAACAGAGATGATTTGGTAACTCCTTTCTAGCAGAGATAAGTTGCGCCGCCACTGAGAGGTAACTGGTGGCAAGTACATGTACATGTGCATACATACAGGTGCTCCATTGACGACTATTGGCACCCGATAGCACATGGTTAAGGACGTTGGGTTCGTAGAAGCCGGTACTCCATTAATAAGGGTATCTATCGACTCCGAATTGTTACTTCATTAATTGCGTCGACATTATTCTACGAAATATAGGTAAACTTCATGCATATTTTGCCAATGTCGAGAATTACGATTCTGGGATGTTTCCGGAAAGCCATTCGGAATGTTGCTACTCTTTGCAATCATTTAAGATAATTATATGGACGTTTGACGTACGCTGTTTTTTTTTTTTTTTTTTTAATGAGCAGAGTGAACTAATAAATTTCTTTTATCACTAATTTCTAAACTAATAGATTTCATGGCATTTATTTGTAATGGAAATCTGACAGATTTTTATTTTGGAGTAATTCAAAGCAACTTAGTTCAATTCTGCATTATTTAAAATTAATAGTATTAGGAATTAAGTACGGTCTTTCATTTGTAATAAACTAATCGCTTTTGATTCTACAGTTTCAAATAAGTGACGAGCTATGCAGACATCGAAAGTTGAAACGATCTAGTAAATAATGTTTAGTTATGTCGAGGATTCTTGATTAAAACAACTGAGACTTCAAAGGTATTGATCATGGAAACTGACATACTACAAAATATTCAGGACCTTGGGTTAGTATTTGCGACCGCATTGCCGATTATTATTCAATATTGTTTGGATTTAATTTTCGGAAAGTACAATAATTGTCGGTTAAATTATAATGCAGGTACAAGGGACCCTTGGTTGACGATAACAAATTATCTGCAGCATTAGATAGTGGCCCAAAATCCATAGATTTTACAGGACTAGTTTCATGGTTATCAGACCAGATCGCAGTACTCAGTAACCTGGAAGCAAAAATTCATCCTACTTCGTCGCCCGAAGACGCCAGTTCATTTATGTTGGAATTAAGTTCATTTCTTAAAGAAGTGGGATGTATACATGAAAAACTGACAACGGGAAATATCAATCACAGATTGTCAACCAGACAGGACAGAATTGTTTTACTAGAATATTTAATAACCGAGCTTATGACAAGTAAAATACTGGTGGCTAAGACACAAGATAATTCTACTAATTTGCAAGTCACTATTGTAAGTTGAATCATAGTATTTAACATTTATAATTTATAATATTAAGTTAAATAATGTTACTTTCACATTTATAGAATGAAAGCGATACTGCTAAATGCTTAAAAGCAATGTTACTAGCACTGAAATTTCAAAAGCCGCCTGAAAATATCACTCCGGAATTACTGTTTAAAAAGTTAGAGACTAAGTTACAAGAACTGGTAGCACAAGTTCCACCAGCACTTCTCGATAAACCAATATTCATTGGGGAATTATCAAAGGATCAATGGGATAAATTAGAACAACTACAACAAGAATTACAAGAAGAATATGAAACACGACGTCAAATGTTGTTGAAAAGATTGGACGTCACGGTTCAATCCTTCTCGGTAGGATACTTAAACCTCTTCAACAAATATCTAATCACACTCTCGATCGCTCTATGTAGTTTTTTTATTTTAAATAACGTAAGTAATATATCAAATAAGACCGTACAATTTTAAATTACGTTTTCTCTGTTTAAGTGGTCAGACAGAATAAGGCCTAAAGAAGATCAGTTAAATACCCTTTACCAAAAGCAAAGGTCTATTATGATGAGTAAACCTAACGTGACACTTAGTGACTTATTGGCAGCACGTTGCGATTTAACAATACTAGAAAAGACTAGCAATGCATCAGTTCGTAAAAATACACGTAGTCAAATAAACAAAGTGATTATCGGCGATGTTCCTGACCGAGGTGGAAGACCATGCGAGCAGGAGGCACCTCCACCAGAAATGCCATCCTGGCAGAAGGATCGTGTCCAAGGACCTTCCACTTTTAGGTGAATATCTTAATGTTATTAATTATATTCTTTTGAACCTGTTACATTTTACAATTATCAATTTCCTGTATTAAATTGATTAGAGGTGGACGTGGAGGAAGTGGTCGAGGAGGAGGAGCTCGTGGTGGTGGTGGAGGTGGCGGTGGTCGAGGAGGTGGTGCAAGCCAGGGTGGATATCGAGATCACAAAGATGCGACCAAAAACTTTGGACAAAACCAGTCGGGCTATCAGCCCAAGTTAAATCCAGCCAATTATTTTCAAACATCACAATCGACGGATCCAGCAAAATATTTTCAATCATACAATGAAAACAAAGGTGGGGGTTATACAGATACCAGAAGTGGAGGTTACAGTGACAGCAGAAGCAGTAGTTACAGTGACAGCAGAGGCGGAGGATACAGTAACAACAGAAGTGGGGGCTATAGTGACCACCGAGGTGGAGGCTACAGTGATAACAGGGGTGGAAGTTACAGCGATAACAGAGGAACAGGAGAATACCATAGAGGTGGTCAACGCGGTGGTAGGGTCCAAGGTGGATGGAATCAAGGCGGTTACAATCGAGGTGGAAGAAATCAAGGTCAGCAAGGAAGTGGCCAACAACACTATTAACTTGGAATTTCAAGGGAATGATCTGAACCATAACTCTTCTCTCTACCACAAACAATACAACTATCACATTAGTTACTTTTGACATTAATCATTGTCTCGCATAATAAAATATTTATAACGGCATCAACATTTCCTTACGATAAAAACCTTTGACTCATCATTTATATCCAATGCAGCAATCTAATGTCTTTGTTTTAGGTTAGGATATCCCAATCTATGTCGTGCTTATTTTTGTTTCTATTGCCCTACGTACTCATTCGATATAATCAAAAGATATAACCGAGTTCTCTAAACTTTGTAGCAATGCTTTATTCGCTATAAAACTACGCTTTCAACATATTACAGACGGAATATACTATCGTATATGGGAGTGTTTCGATACTCAAGGAGGGAAAAAGTTAAAGTAATTTACAAGTATGACCAGAGTAGGACTCTTATTTTTGCTTAAAAATATGTATGTTCCGCATAGCATTCAACATTTACCGTTGTTAACGATTCAGATATTTCGGCACGGACATCGCATAATACTGTAACTTTATCTGCCAAACTATAAACTGTGATAAATTTTATATATATCAACTGCTCCGATGAGCATATCAAGACGGTGTCTGTATGCACAGCATCACGAAGTAACGATGATAACTCCGAGGCAAAGACTGACGATCTACTCCAGTTCCGGCTGACTAATTTGTGCAACCAATAAGATCTATCTCGCGAGATTATATAAAAGAAGCACGAGTAGTTTAAAAAAATATATATATCTAGCACAGCGATACGTTATTTAATCCGTGGTATGCGCCGAGCGTTTAAGGTTAAGTGAACCACATCGAGAAGAGTCACGAAGAAAACATATCGAATATACTATTTCGTTAGCATCCCTTCCTCGAAGTGATAAGCCTGATAGAAACGCGGGTATATTATTTACAAAATATTTACAGCAGCGAAAATAATTACAGCTTTCGGATAATCATTGTAGCACGTTAATAGATGGAGAGCCTATGTATATATATATTTATATTTATATTTATATATTTAATTTTTTCCCTTGGCAGGAGAGCACAGCAAATTCCATTTCACGTTTGCGAAGGCCCGAATTTAAAAGATTCCTCTCCCCATTCTTTCCCCATATATTTGGATGCTCGATAACGATCCACGCAGCTTCGAATATCGTTTTCCTCGCTCGGGAGAGTAGACCTGGGTCTATAAAAAACAATCACGCGATTATCTACACGTAATATTAAATATAAAACAACAGGCAGCTCTAGGGTGACCTGACCTCCCCTAAGTCTACGATTTGCATTAGCTCGCATTTGCTTTCGTTCGATGCTACTGTCGAACTACGACGGAGACAGTCGATTAACCGAGTCTTACACAAGTAATCCGTCTTTCGATTATAATACTAGAAAAATGCGATGCGTAATTTTAATGCACTTTTTTTTTAATGCACGTCGGTAGTAGCTGCAGGTTTAAACGCCGTAGCTGCCTCGGTGCTCACTTCTGCAATAATACTTATGCCCGGCTCCACCGACCTCGGTTAAATCATCGATTACCTACCCGTAGGTTAAAGTTAACTTCAATTATTCTAATTCATGTTTTCCTCGCGGTTGAAGTTGGATTAACCTAAGCTAAACGACCGAATTTGGCTGGTTAATCTAATCGACAGTTAATGGAAATTAACCCGTCGTTAAAGATGTGGCGGAACGTGTAACTAGTTGTAACCGAGGATTAGCTATTTGACCGAGGTTGGTGGAATCAGGCATTAAACGGCGCTAGCGATAGTAATGAAATAAATCAACGCTAGTCCTACGAGTAATCAACTTCGGCAGAAATGGCCGTTCCCGCGGGAGGAATAAGTAAATCATTATCATAGTTGATTTAATGTATAGCTTTAATTTGTAATATTTTATATAAGGAGCTTATCAATACTTTATCTTCAACAATGTATATCGGTAATATTAACGTAACAGCCTGCCAGCAGCACGAAGACTCATATTCTTTCTTTTTCTCTTTCCCTCGTTTCTTTTCTTCTCTTTATTAATTCTCTTTGCTACGTGTTCTTCCCGTTTCGACCGTGAGCGCGTAAAAATCTCTCCATCTCGTAGCCTTAGGACCGAGTAAATTAACAGTACGGTGAAATCGAGTCTAACGCTGTACCTAAACGTCGGATACATTTTTGATAAAGCAACATGCAACTTCGTACTCGACCGAAGACTCACGTAGAGAAGTCAGAAGTAGAGAATTCAGAAGTCTCCATAGAAGCCCAGAAGGATACGGACGTTTGGTGCATGACAAATAGTACTATAGCCAACGGATGGCGGCGCTGTAATCATCTCTCGATCCCCTTTAACCGTAGGGCAATATATAACGGATTGTATTCTCTCGTTATCTTACACACAGTACTATGTTATCTCTCTTTTACCCGCACTCCTCGTTTCTTCGCCAACTTTTAGAACATCAACCGCTAATACAGGACCTGGGGTTTCTACGTAACTTTTGAATTCCCTGGTTCCGCGCAACCGACTCGCGTGCAACGCCGACGAGATGCATCGCTTTCAACGAACATCCGCGTTACACCATCAGCAGAGTACGGCGAGTTACGAATATTTGGCTCGTTCGAACATTTAACGGCGTTATGAAAGAGTCATTCTACATATACAACGCGTTAAAGTATTAATAAATACGTTCTCCCAACCTGGGTGCACCGAGTCATATGAAACATTAACGCCTGATTATGGGGAGACCAAAAAGAAGAGCGCGATGCTCGTGAGATCTGATCTTTCACAAAAAAGCCCGTTCTTGGTTCTAATCCAGGCTCACAGGGAAATTCCTTTGAAAAATGAAATATCCCAGGCATTCGCGTTCTTCCTTAGGGCCTTCATACTCTAGTGCTCAAGTTTCAAAGGATACGGTGCGCCCAGTTTGGAGAAAAGTCGTATAAATATTTTCACCCTTTTGGTACATAGAACGACCCTTTCATATCGCCTTAATGGCGCAACAGTGACCGCGAGGCTTCGACCTTCCGACCCCCCGGGTAGTCATCAATTTCTCCGCGACTTTAAACCTCCGCCGGGATATCTCGAACCTTTAATGGAACGTCTCCTCCCATCGGAAGGATTCCTTCGTCAAAGTCCTAGCCCTCTCCTTCCCTCTTCGAGTTCCGCTCCTCTTGTTCTCTCGTCATCTATTCCGATCTAGTGGACCGACGTCGACGACCTACATGCTCCCGATCGGGAATCGCCGGCTCCTGGGCACCGACCTCGACCGTTCTCTTCGGGACCACGCGGTGCCCGGGTGTATCTTATGCGGTGGAAAAGCAGGAGGGACAAGGACGTTGTCCCTTTTTCTCGCTAAGCGGAGTTCTAACGGAGGCGGCACGCGTTTCTGAATCTAGCGGCTTCCTCTGTGCCCTGCGAGAATCCTTCCTATCTCTCTTCGCTTCGGACCTGATCTGCGTTCGTCCAGCCGCGAGAAGATCCCGTTTTCTCCCGGCGACGACGTCCTACGTGGTCGCCGTTCTCCTCGACCAGGACGAACTCTAACTGCTGGCATTACTACGGCAAAGCAGCGCGTAGATCAGAAGGGAGCGAGACAGGGACTAGCACTTGTTCGGGTCTGGTGGCGTCACGAGGAACTCGTCGGCGCGTTTGTGGTCGGAGAGAGCTCGCATCGTGTATGCGTCCTGCGGCAACTCGCTTTTCCTTCTAAGCAGCGGCTTCGTCGTGTTCGTGGTCATCTTCTTTGCCTGGGGAGAACGGAAAGTCAGGTCACTCGGAAGAGGCGGCGGCGAAGGAACGACCAACGATACGACATTAATAAATATTCATGGAAAATCATTTTTCTCCCTCAGCTTAGGGACGCGATGAGGTTAACATTTTCAACTCGTTGAACTCGAGTTAAAGCAAGTGTCTGCGTCAATTGCAATCATTTCTCCATCTCCTTCCTTCACCGATTTATTAACTCGAGAGCCCAACATCTAATCAAGACCCACACCGCTAATCAACGTTACTTAACAAATAACACTGCTCAGGGTAGTTCAGTCGTTAGGGTACAATCGGGAAGATAGGATTTGAATTTTGGATATAAAACGTTCTCATCTATATCCCGGCTAATTTGGGGAAATATCACCATCTCCCTAATTAGGCCAATTACTAGGTTCGTTAGGATTAGCTGTACTTTCTATCCTCGAGTAGGTTGTGTTCTCGTGGGCCTCAAGAATATTAAAAATGAAGCTTTGCAATTTCCATTAGACTGGTATCGATGGAATTTAAAAAATAGGAATAAAATTCTTTCAGGTGAGATTCGTACATTTCCTTTCGTGCTTCATGATACCAGATGATGGTACTTGTGCAAAAAGCGCTGCACTTTTCTCCTAAATACTGTAAAAGTGCAATTGCACTCGATTTGAACAATGGCCAGTCGTCGCATCCGATGACCGGAGCGCCAAAGGTGGCGAAAGTGTCAACTAAATGGAAAAGTCCAGCTAACCCGAGTCACCAAATCGTCATCGAAGCGGTCAGTGGAGGAACAAATCAAACCTGTTAAAGGCTGCTTAAAGGCAGTTTGCAACAATGTCTAAGCGGGTAGCTCGCGACGTTACCTCGTTAGCCTTGGCTTCTATCTTTTCCAAGGTAAGAGGACTTTGGTCGCCATCCTCGTCCGGCAGAGGACTATCCAGATGTTGTGGCAGTGAGTAAGACTGATTGGCCATAGATTTGTTAGCGGCCTGGTAATTAGGGTGCCTCATGGCTAAAGCTTCCACGCGAACCCATGCCTCGTCTCTGTCTTTCAAGAGCTTGCGTTCCTTCTGCCGATCCTAAGGACGTCACAGATACATTTACTTCGCCCGATGGGTCGTTTTCCTAAAAAAAAATCAGGCACGTCGCCTCGCTCATACCTGATAGTACTGTTGGGCGCAGTGGTCGAAAAGTTTCTGGTTCATCTCCATGAAAAGCTTCAGCGCGTTATAAATAAGCCCATGAATGGTCTTGTTCCAATGACCGCGGGAGTTCCTGTACAGAGCGGGATACATGATCGGCAGGATGACGTGATAATTGTCCGAGATCAGGGACAATATGTATTCGTTGTTCCAATAGTAGAGAGCCCTCTCGGCCACCTACAAGCAGAAGAATAAATTCCCGAAACCGAGTTAACCGGGTGAAGCTCGCAGGGAAAAAGAGAAAAAAAGAAAAAGAAACATGGGAAGTATCCACGATAATGGGGGGACAAAAATCGACGAACATTAACCTGAAAGTGCGGGGACGAGACGCTCTTGGCTAATTGCCTGAACATCGGGTCCATGACTTTCTGAAACTCGGCCGGCTCGACCACGTCGAGGATCTCCTCCATCTCGTTGAGGAACATCACTTCCTTAGGAGAATGCGTCTTCGGCCAGAATTTCAATAGACTCCTGATAACGGGCTCGGTCAGGGAGGGATCCTTCTCCAGGAATTGCACCACGCAGTACGCCAGCTGCGGATGGTAGACGGAGAGGGACTTTGCTTTGTGCAAAGGCAGGAGCACCTTCAATAGAAAGACCTTGTGCTCGTCCTTCAGAGGTAGCGCGAAGCCGTTAATGATACTGAAACAGAAATCAGATGGCAAAGTCAGCGATTTCAAGCTCGGCTGTTTCCAGGATCACGAGGATCATTAAGGGGATGTGAAAGTGGCATCCGAGGGGTTGATGTCCATGAAAGTTTCCCCCGAGCTGAGTGTACCGAACCGTTTCGGACATTGCAACGTGAACATGGAGGCTATTAGGAAGGTCCTGACCCTCGTGAAATGATTTACAACAAATTTTTAAAATATCTACTAATAAATTTTTCAAGAATTCAAGTTTCACGAGTTTCAGGACCATCTTTATGCCCTCCGTATTTATATTGTGAAGTTAGAATCTATTCAGTACACCCGGTTTGGAGATAGGTATCACGGAGGAGAACTCCTTGACGCCATCTTCGCGTCGCCTCGATGAAATCCCGGATTCCGAATCTGCGTTCATCGGCATCACCTTCCGAGGATCTCGAGCAGCTCGGCGATGCCGTTGTGGTGCTCGGTCTCGTAGATAAATCGATAGAAAACGTTATTGATCTGCTTCCTGATGTACGCCCTGAGGCCGAGGAACTTCCCGTAGATCCTGTGCAACGTGGTCTTAAGGAAGTCCCTCTCCCTGGGATCTTCGGAGTCGAAGAGCTCCAGGAGCTGAAAGACGAACTTGTGGTCGATGTAGCGCTTGGCCACCGAAGGCTGGAAGTCCTGCGACTCCAGGAGGCGCAGGAAGAACTCGTAGACGAGCTGCAAGTGCGGCCAGGCCGCCTCCAGGGTAGGTTCATCCTCTTCAGGGTCGAATTCCGCTCCGTTCGGGTTCGACGAGGGCGGCAACGTGCGGAACAGGTTCACAGCAAACTGCAAATCGACTTCTTGCATTTAATCTGCCTAGTCCATGATAAGTAAACAGATTATTAACGATAAATGAAATTCCACGAGTTTCAGGACCTACTACAGCGCCTCCCGTGGCAAACTCAGAAACGAATCGGTAGACCCAATTCGTAAAATACTCTGACCAACAATTAGATCTCTCAGATACATCTGCTGACTCTTTGATATCACCTTAACCGTGCGTTGCACTCACCATGTTTACCGCCTCGGGATAAATGGCTTCGGTGATGACGTTCTTGTTTTTGGTCACATACTCGACCATCTCCTGAAGAGCCCCGCGTTTTACTTCCTTCCATTTCAGGTCCGAAAGGGGATCAGACTCGAAATCGAAGAGTACGCAGCACTGTCGCAGCTTCTGAATGAAGAGTTCCTCCCTCTCGTTGCCTTGCTGGGCTTCTGCAATCAGACGGAGAGATTTCATTACCTCAACCAAGAGAAAGAAGCAGACGTAAGCAACTCCCATGAGAGTTTCCACGTGGCCAAGGTTCCCTAACTAAAATCAGGGTGACAAAAGGGAAATAAATCACAGCGCATAAGTCAATACCTGAAACAGAGCAAAAAGGGATTTCTAGGTATCACGGGGAACCAAGGAGAAGATATTGAAAGAGGACCTTTCGAAAATTACCGATCAACAGAGGCTGCAACGGCTGATAGTGCAACTCAGAGACCACCGGAAAGGTATTGTGAGGCTCGTGAGATAAAACGGCTGCGAAGGCGAGTCCCTGATGGAAGCTGGGACTCTTGGGCAGTCCTGAGCCCATGGAAGGACTCATGCCCCCCACGTGGACCATTTCTTTCGCCGGAAAAACTGATTCCCAGGGATGAATCTCGCCAGGCTCTCCGCCTCGGGTTGGGACTTTTCCTCGCTAATGTCCCGTCGCTCACCCTGGGTAACAATCGATCTCGTTACGGGCTTATTTCCGGGTTTTTGCGGCAATCTGTTGCTTCGGGATCGCGCCCCATTCCGCGCCGAGGTCGAGGTCCTCTTAACCCTTTCGCTTCCACGGGTGACTATAGTCACGGTACGGTTGGTCCAATATTGCCTGCCCGGTCAGACGAATTTCGCCCATATGTCGGAAAGGCTCCGCGTTCAAAGGGTTAATTAAATTGGTCTGCTCCGATCCCGCTCGTCACTCACAAGACCACGAAGTCTCTCCTCGCTGACAATGAGCGAAAAAATTCACTCTCTACACGGACTAAACAATATAATATATATCTCTCTTATCACACAGCTTATAGAAATGGAGGAGACGCGAAAGGGTGGGGATATCCGAAGGGAGGTATCTTCCGTCCCTAAACTACTCCGGAAGTTCTCACTGCGCAAGTGCGAGATGCACTACAGCACTTTCTCATGAAATAACGACACCTCGAATTGAATAAATTCCCCATTTGAGGGGAGAGATAGAGAGAGAAAGAAAAAAGAAGGAAATTTCCTTCGCGTTTTTACCATTCACCCTATCTGACCTATCAAAGGACTCGTAACGCGTACAGCGTACTTCCGGAAAAGTATATAGACAAAAGATGCGTCAGTTTATCCTCCATTGGACCCTTCGCATATGCACATCCTATGGCAAGATCTCCGTCTCTATAATCTCTGTCCGCTATCACTTGGCGTCCCTTCAGGACGATCTCCGTTTCGCGTATTGCGCGCTTTCCCAACTACGCGGTTCTCATCTCTCGACCCGGCCCGAGAAAATCCCCAAATAAAGAAAACGAATCATTATTAAACGGCACTTTAAATGGATTTACGAAGTAATAGAAGGAATATATATATATATACATAAGTTATGCCGGAAGGGTGCTATAGTCCCACTTCGCGGACAAACCTCTCGTCGCCCTCTCTGTTGACGAGTCAACGACCCTTTACGGAAGGGGTGAAAGCCGGAAAATGTCCGAAAGGGAGTTTTGAGCGCAGTAGGTCGAGGCCGGAAATATTCTAGGCCCTAGTTTCGATTAGGTATACCCAACGTTTCTTTTCCCTGGGGAATTATTTCAGGGCGTATCTCGAGGGGCGCGACCCCGGTAGACGGATAATCGAGCACCTGTAGCACCTACGCGACACGCCTAGGATCGCGATTTCGGTTATTTTCCTGGTGGAGCGGTTTCCACGGGGGACGATGGTCGCAGCCGCGAGAAGACGCGAAATCCGTCCGGGCCGGATAAGGTGCGGAAACCGGGAAGGGATGAGGAAGCTACGGAGCCGGGGTCCGGGTCCGAACTGTTTACGTCCCGCGAATGGGGAACGCCGGGTGGGGTCAGCGCGCATGCGCGCGCCCTTCGACAATCGATATCCCCTGACGTTACGCGGGAGCAACCCCGATTGACCGGGCCCGGGTTGGGGAAGGCCAGGAGAGCCCCAGACCCGCGCGGCCCATTCAGGGACCTGGTGCAGACCGCAGGTTGCACCTGCTCGAGACCCGAAAGGTGATTCGATGATTGGCCCTCTTCTTGCTTTTCGGTCCGACAGTTCACTTTTTACGAAACGTTTGAAATTGCGATATCGATGACTTTATGGCAAGGTAGGTTTGAAACTGCGATTAATCACTTTACAGCGAAGAATCATTTGAAACTGCGATCGATGACTGTGCATCAAGGTACACGTCTCATGAGCGACGTGCGGGAACGATCCGATAATTGGCTCTTTGATAAGGGACTTCTTAACACATTCGCGACCGCTGACGTGAATTCACGTCTTTTCCAGTTCTATTCCCGGTTGCCGCTGACGTGAATTCACGTCTTTTCAAGTTCTATTCCTTTTTTGCCGCTGACGTGAATTCACGTCTTTTCAAGTTCTATTCCTTTTTTTGTCGCTGACGTTTCATCTGGTCGAGACCCGAAAGGTGATTCGATGATTGGCCCTCTTGTTACTTTTCGGTCCGATGGTTCACATTTTACGAAACGTTTGAAATTGCGATATCGATAACTTTATGGCAAGGTAGGTTTGAAACTGCGATTGATCACTTTACAGCGAAGAATAATTTGAAACTGCGATCGATGACTTTACAGCAAAGAATCATTTAAAACAGCGATCGATCACTTTACAGCAAAGAATCATTTGAAACGGCGATCGATGACTGTGCACCAAGGTACACGTCTCATCAGCGACGTGCGGTAACGATCCGATAATTGGCTCTTTGATAAGGGACTTCTTAGTACATTCGCGACCGCTGACGTGAATCCACGTCTTTTCCAGTTCTATTCCTATTTTGCCGCTGACGTGAATCACGTCCATAATGATGGCTCGCCGGTACTCGGTATTTGAAACGGAAAAGATTTTCCGGTCGCGAATGTGTTAAGGGGAATTTCAGGCCATGATAGATGGATCTCTTCTAGAAGACAAGACAAGGCTTTACGCCAATTGCACATTTCCATGAGTTCGCGGAAGTCGAGAATTTCGTATCAGCCCTCTGATAAGTGCTTTTCCAGACACCTGAGACTCCCAGCTCGCTCGATAGGTCTCACGATTAATGCGACCGGGATTCCGCGATACCCTGATTTCACCTCTGTTTAAACGCGTTGGTAATGAGTCCGTTGATAATTGATCTATCTCCACGTGTTCGCAGGCCCGATTGACGGTTCCGCGTTGGGAAAGGTCAGGAAGCCCTCAATTGCCGATCCATTCATGAGAACGCCACGCCGAATGGCCTGCACTCCCAGCAGGAGTAAAGTGCTAAACGCGAGAAGTGTTTCACCCCATCCTCCCACGAGCCGTAATAATCCGTCGATTATTTATTAAATAAATTCTAAGAGTGTGGGAGCAAAGTCGAGGGCAAGTTTCATAAGCGACATCCCTGAAATTCCCATTTCATACGACCGTGATTAAATAATCGGGTTAATTATCTCGGCTCGTATAAGATAACTATGTAAAGCCCTCCTCTAATTTATCCTGAAATAAAAGAAAAATGAAAAATGGCCAGGAGTAAAGTACTAAACGCGAGAAGTGTTTCACCCCATCCTCCCACGAGCCGTAATAATCCGTCGATTATTTATTAAATAAATTCTAAGAGTGTGGGAGCAAAGTCGAGGGCAAGTTTCATAAACGACATCCCTGAAATTCCCATTTCATACGACCGTGATTAACTAATCGAGAGATTATCTCGGCTCGTGTAAGATAACTATGTAAAGCCCTCCTCTTATTTATCCTGAAATAAAATAAAAATGAAAAACGGCCAGGTTTATCCCTGGCGAGGTGTTCCGAGGGGAAAATCAAAAGTCAGGAGACACGAGGCGAGCACAAAGTGGGGTCGATCGAAGCACCGACGACATCGCATCGGATATAGCAACGCCGGCCTATTTTTAATATCTCGGTCTTTGTCACCCGACCAGCTGACGGCGACGAGCCGCGCCTCCGAGGCTCTCTCTCCTCCCTCCCGGTTTTCAGGACCGCGGGAAGGGAGGACTCGTGAATTGTAGATTGTACCCCTGGAAATAGCAAATTGCAAATTGCAAATTGGAATGCGCGACCTCCCCACGGCCAGCATCCGGCGGGTCCATCCCGTGCAAACGTGGGAGACAAGTGGTAGCACGTGTACGATTGGCCGTACACGCTCGAGTTTCGGTCCCGGAGGAAATAAGGTCACGTCGACTGTCCGGAGAATTTCCCAGTCCATAATTGAATGCGAGGGCACGGCTCCTGGGTACGCCATGGGCGGTATTCCTATCTGCCAATAAACGCCAGAAATAAACGGGATAAATAAAACGCGTAATGCCTGCAAGAGGAAGAATCCCTCATTACTAGTCGTCCTCTCCCTCCGAAATAATATTAAAAAAAAAATATAAAAAAAAAGTCGACAGGGTGGAATCTTTAACCAAACCGGAAGATGTACATAGAGTAATAAATTTTCAAGGTAACCACGCGGAAACTCCTGGTCAATTTCAAATGGTCGTCCACACTTGCACTTCATTTAGAGCTTACTTTATCGGCGCAGTTAGATAAGCCCTGTCGAATTGTATCGATTTATAGTGATATCGAGCGATGAAATCAATGATCTAAATAACCCCTGGTTTTTCCCCTTTCGGAAATTTCGGTAAGTTTACTAGCGCTTTCCTTATTTACCTAAGATTTCTTTTTAATTTTTTTGTTTTTATATCGACAGCCCTGAAGGATTCATTTGTGCCCATAATTATGAAAGTGGTCTAAGTCAAAATTAAAAAAAAAAAAAAAATGAGCTTATCAGTTATTTCACGCCATATTATTTCAAACGAAATTAATTCAATGTAATTTCGAAAGAAAAAATACATGACTTAGACCACTTTCATAATTATGGGCACATTTAGCGCTTGCTTTATCGGCGCAGTCAGATAAGCAACGATCAGCAATGACACGCGTGACACAAATTTCTGCCTGCTCCGAACCTTTAACAAAGACGCATTTTCTACGTGAAATTCCCTTTGCGTCTCCTGTTCTTGAGAATTCGGGGGACCCGCCGTGAGTTTAAGTGTCGGGCTATTTCGACGGAGCCTTTGTGCCCAGTGGACACACAGGTGCCTAGATGTATATCACGGAGCGCACTCGACACGATTTCCGATTCGACGCCGACAGGGTCCTTTGAGCGGATAAACGTGCAAACGAATGGTTGGTAAAACGAAGAAACAAAGACCGGAGAAATATATACGCGGAGAGACTTTCGAGATGACCTGATATCGAGGGTAGACCGAGTACGCCTTGTCGGCGTAAATGCCGGAGAGAAGTTTTCCTTTTCCTTTTCCCTTCCCACAGATCGATTTGAATTTAGACCCGATAGCTTTTTTTTCTTCCTCTCCACACACCCTGGCTCGGCATGCGGACAACGAGGAATACCAATTGCGCGGTTCTTCCGCAACCACGAACATCGCGGATAAGATAGGGCCGATAAACGGCAGCAAGTATGCGGAGAAATAGTTTTACCAGTACAGGTCGTGTGATTAACACTATTTCTACCAAAGGTGTCAAGACACATTTTAAAATTTTAACTTGAAATTATTTTCAACGTTATAATAATTTTTTCTCAATTAATGTTTTGAGTTTTCGTATAACAATTGTTAAATTTATTTACCGGTATCATTTTCCTCCAGCTTATCAAAACCTTTTGGTCGAAATAGGTATACACAAAATCGTGGTAGAAATAGTGTTAAAGTGATGTGAAACACGGCGAGGAACTTGATCGACGTCGGTAAAAAAAGATTTTTCTAAATACGTCGTCGATGTTTGTTATTATATAGACAGCCCTGTCGAATTGTATTGATTTATAGTGATATCGAGCAATGAAATCAATAATCTGTGTAAATAACCCCTCGTTTTACCCCTTTTGGAAATTTCGTAAGTGTACTTGCGCTTTCCTTTTTTACCTAAAATTTCTTTTTAGTTTTTTGTTTTCATATCGACAGCCCTGTCAAATTATATTGATTTATAGTGATATCGAGAAATGAAATCAATGATCTGCATAAATAAGTCCTCGTTTTACCCCTTTTGGAAATTTCGTAAGTTTATTTCCGCTTTCCTTATTTATCTAAAATTTCTTTTTAGTTCTTTATTTTTATATCGACAGTCCTGTCGAATGTATTGAATTATAGTGATATCCAGCAATGAAATCAATAATCTGTGTAAAGAACCCCTCGTTTTATCCTTTTCGGAAATTTCGTAAGTTTATTTGCGCTTTCCTTTTTTACCTAAAATTTCTTCTTAAGCCTCCAAGATTAGTGCTATCACTGCGAGTTCCTCGACCGAAGAACTCATTTTGCTTCTTCTTTCGATGTTCGGTGATTACGGCACGGATACGGCACGGATACTGCACGGATACGGCACGGATACGGCACGGATACGGCACGGACCCTGTACACCCGCTTGAATCGACCTTAGGAATCGACGCGTACCCGCGAAGATTTAAGTGCCCGATGAAATCTCTCGAGTTTATGAATCGCATACGTGTGCACGTATTTCAGGCGCCTAAAGGCCAGATAAGAGCCGACCCCTAGGAAGTGGATGCACGCCGCTAAAAATACTCCCTTCACAAAGGCGTAGCGAGTTATCGAGGATCGCGAATCTCGATTGGCCTGCTCTTCGGAGAGGCGGCAACCTTGAATCAATGCCAGGTTCCTGAGAAAACACGAATAAAGGACACTTGAAAAACGCTACGCCGATTCGGCGACGCGTCACCGGGTCCCCGAGTTCCCTATAAAAGAGTTTCCACCGAGTTTCCCTTCGCCTATCGAATGACCAAAGTCACCGACATTAGAACGAGACAAGCACCGATCAATATACTAACTGGATATCTGATATCCTACAAAATGGCGGGACGTTTTGAAGCAACGAAAGCCCCCCGTTCATGGGCACATAAATTAATACTTCTGTACACGCTCGTTACCTATTTAATATCTCTGCCCTTAGGTACTTGGCACTAGGGTGCCTTGAATTCGTCAAAATGCTCCCCAGGTTAGTACATAGATTAGTGGGTATGTTACCGTGAATGACCGAAATTGGAGTGTGTCGACTTTCACCGGTGAATGTCAACAGATACCAAATACGTCGGTGAAAGATCGAATATTTCATTACATTGTTGTACATTAGGACCCTCTACAGTGTGTGTCGACAATTACAGATATTAGTGCATGGTGAATGTCAACATTTACCGGTGTAAGTCAGAAATAAGGGTATTTAGCAAATATTTCGGACATACACTAAGCGACTATGTGAATTTTTACATTCACCGGCGAAAGTCGACATTCTCCAGATTTCGGTGTTTCACTGTAACAGGTACAAGTAACCAGTAAACAAACGGATTGAGAAATGAATCTCGAATGCCACGTAGAAATGATTACCGCCATTGCGTGTACAGGGCGAGGATAAAATCAGAAACGACGTTAATCCCCAGGACGAGTAATTACCCCGCGCCAGGATACCACGGAGGGATCGGCACGACCTGGAAAAAAAAAAATGATACGCCTAACATGCAGTCGTTGCAATAATCGTAAAACCCGTGCACTTCCTGGCCGTTTCCGATAGCCGATCTACCGGGAATATCGATCTCCAGCTTCAGGGGTAAAGGATGATAATGTTGAGTCCTCGTCCACGAGGAGGGAAAACTCGCCGAGGACTCATCCAGAGGAGGACCAGCAATGGACCGACGTAAAGAGGCCCTGAATAATTGCCCTGTATAAGTAGAGTACACGGGATACCGCCTGGTCCGGTACAGCAGCCAGCGGACCAAATAATTATCCCTGACATGCAACCAAGGTGGTACTTGTTGCGCTAATCGCCCGTACGTCATCTGAAAAGAAGCATCTCGCGTCTGGCCAATTAAAAAACTAAACCAAAGTATTAACCAGCCATAAGAAAATCGCTCTGCCGGTGTCATGCTCGAAATGTTTCTAGCATTGATCTCAGTTCGTTGTTGAAAAGCGCCTTCCTGCTTCCTCTTCCAGCCCTATTGCCGAATTTTTCTGAGCGTTTTGGTGGGAGGAACGAGGAAAGAATCTATGATATTATTGGTCGCCCCTCCGTAAGGACCGCACGACAATTGCGCCCATAATTATGAAAGTGGTCTAAGTCAAAATTAAAAAAAAAAAAATGAGTTTATCAGTTATTTCACGCCATATTATTTCAAACGAAATTAATTCAATGTAATTTCGAAACAAAAAATATATGACTTAGACCACTTTCATAATTATGGGCACAATTGGTCACGGAAAAGGCCCAAGAAGGGAAATCCATGCAAATACGGCCAGGACGCAAGCGCGATAAGACCCGTGCAGTTCGGGGGTCATAAAACAATAACCTGTACCTGACGCTCGCACGACCGTCTTCATCCTGCCTAAGCTGAACACAATATCTATTGCATCGTCCGAAAATTATAGCTATTAACCTAGTCCTACGCGGGACAAATATATTGGATGTTTACCGGTTGAACGTCGGTAATACCCGATGTGTACGTGCTAAGGGTGGACAAATCCGTCTTAACTTAGGGAGGTTATTACAGAAATGATTTCCTGCATGAGGGACTCAGCGAATTGGGAGGATGGTCTTAACAGCCGGCTTCCATCTACAAATCAGGGATGGAATAGAAATACAGAAGTAATCAATGAGCGGTTTAAATCATTTCTGCACCTATCCCTCGGGGGAGAAGGAAAGAAAGATCCGGTAAACATCCGGAAAAATCTTTTAAATTTACTCTTTTTATCCGATTGTCGGTTCAGATGGACTTCCGCCCGAGAGATAGGATTTCATGGGACGCGTTTGAATGGTCTTTTCTCGGTTTCTCACCGGTTAAGAGCGGCAGTTTCTGTAGTTCCCTGTTCTTGGAGATGTTGAACCTCGAGCTGCTCTGCCTCTTGTCCTTCTTGATGACGGGCCCGCCAGGTTGATACTTGATCTTGTTGATGAGCGTCGGCGGCGGAGGCGGAGCGCTGCCGCTGGGCGGACCCCCTGATACCTTGTTCGTCTGTATCGGGAAAAAAGAAAAAAAAGGCCTCATTAGAGAAACGTCGTCGAGCGTTCGCTCCCTTCTGCTAAACCTCTCACGTCCTCTCCATCTATCTCCGCGCTTGTTCGCGTCACACCTGATTTCAACGTTCATTAGGCCGGATCTTTGCGCAGGTGGAGGTTTCCTACGCCGAGGCGATACAAATTCGATCTCGGTTTCGCGTCAAGAAAGAGGAACACATTTTCCAGCCGATGTGCTTGGCGCAAAACTCAACCGAGTTCCCAGCCGGGGGTCGCGGGAAATTTCCAAGCGTTCACGGCAACCAGCATCGAAGAATTAAAAAAAAAAAAATCCGCGCTTGTTCGCGTCACACCTGATTTCAACGTTCATTAGGCCGGATCTTTGCGCAGGTGGAGGTTTCCTGCACCGAGGCGATACAAATTCGATCTCGGTTTCGCGTCAAGAAAGAGGAACACATTTTCCCGCCGATGTGCTTGGTGCGAAACTCTCCCGAGTTCCCAGCCGGGGGTCGCGGGAAATTTCGAAGCATTAACGGCAACCAGCCTCGAAGAATTAAAAAAAAAAAAAAACTCTGCGCTAGTTCGCGTCACACCTGATTTCAGCGTTCATTAGGCCGGATCTTTGCGCAGGTGGAGGTTTCCTACGCCGAGGCGATACAAATTCGATCTCGGTTTCGCGTCAAGAAAGAGGAACACATTTTCCCGCCGATGTGCTTGGTGCGAAACTCTACCGAGTTCCCAGCCGGGGGTCGCGGGAAATTTCGAGGCATTAACGGCAACCAGCCTCGAAGAATTAAAAAAAAAAAAAAAACCGCGCTTGTTCGCGTCACACCTGATTTCAACGTTCATTAGGTCGGATCTTTGCGCAGGTGGAGGTTTCCTGCGCCGAGGCGATACGAATTCGATCTAAAATCTCCTGGATGATTTCGAGAACATCTTAACAAACTCGTAACAAAAAAAAATAAAATCCCCTCGAAAGAAATACCCCCAAGAAATTCGGACGATCCCCCGGAAAGATTTCGCGGATTTCGCGAATTTCACAGACGGCTTGGAGATTTGGCAAAGGACAAGAGCTCCCTCGTAAAAAGTCTTTACATGGTCGAAAACAATGGTAACGGCGCATTTCGCCATGCTCTTCGACCTATTCCTTCGACAGCAAGTCGCACACCGCAATCGAATGTCACCCAACAAACGAATAATATCGCCACCAAGGGCCGAATTCTTGAAAAGTGAAACCCCACTTGGGTCTTGAATTTTTTTTCTAGGACGAATGCACCTCGTCGCAATATGGCGCCTCCGATACGACTGATCGAAAGGGATTCGCGATCTAAGACTAGGCCCCGGAAGTGCAACGAATAAAAATACACGAGAACGCACACAGGTGTATCGGGGCGTACGTGGCATTAGTCGCGATCAACGTGCACTCCTCGAATTGCGCTAAGTAGATTTGGCACTCGTTGCCAAAGACGGCCTCTATTTTTTCTACTTAAGAGAGACGCGGCTCTTCACCTGGACGGCCAGGTTTTCACCTCAGGAATTCCTCTTAAAGAGTCCTAGGAGAGAGCCGTTGCGATCGTTAGTTTTTTTTTCTTATTCTTTTTTTTTCTGTCTTACGCTGACCAACGGATTATTTTATATATATATTTATTTATTTATTTATATATTTATCAGACAGACAGACAGAGGATACACGTGTCCAAAGCCTAAAGATTCGGAAAACGGAACTGAAACCACGTGCCTTCTTCTTGAAAACGTTCCCGAATGCGAGGTTGCTGAAGGTTTGCATTTTACTTTGCATGCCGGAATCCAAGATGAGAAGAAGTCCCATTCGCTGGTTCAAACGATGCACTTGGAATCCCAGGACTGCGTATTAATTCCGCTGCCATTTGTAGCTTGTTTCGGGCTACTATTCCGCACTTCCGGGGGAAACATTAACTTTTACAGTCCTAATTCACCGTGCACTTCGTATCCGGTCGCCTCGTGGCGATCCCAGAATCGTGAAAATCGCGTTTTCTCCCTCTCCAGCATTTCCCCGGGAATCGTCTCCGTACCCCTGATTTCCTCAAATCTTCCAAGTTACTTAAAAGCGACAGATGAAAGTAATTACTCTCAGCGTTCGTTACATGTGAAAAGTTCGTACACGTACCGCCCTAGTCCGATAAATTAACCCACTATGGGCCGAATTTTTCATTAAATAAAAAAAAAAATTGGAGGAACGAAAATTCAGCAATTAGGAACCTATATATGTGCCCATAATTATGAAAGTGGTCTAAGTCAAAATAAAAAAAAAAAAAATGAGTTTATCAGTTATTTCACGCCACATTATTTCAAACTAAATTAATTCAATGTAATTTCGAAACAAAAAATATATGACAGACCACTTTCATAATTATGGGCACATATATGCAAATGAAACAAAAATTTTTCATTTAAAATTTGACCTGAAAGTTACACGGGCCCATAAAGGGTTAAACCTCCTCTCCCAAGAATCGAAACAACCCGATTCGTACGAGAGATCGTTGGACGAACTTTTATTCGAGCAGCTGTCACGGCGACCACGTGGCCGAGGCGCGAGGTACCTTCGGTGGTAATTTCTCTTGAATTTCTTATCCCGCCCCGTCAGCTCCGTAAGACCCATTGTTACCGTCAAACGTCGGTGTCTTTCACGTCGCTCGCTTCGGGCCAATTTCCGCGATTTCGATCCCCGTGAAGCCATCTCCTCGAGAAGGAAGACGGAGAGACCGCGCGATAGGAAGTCCGCGGCTCTTTTTATTTCCCCCATTTTCTCTCGACATAGTCCCATTAAATCCTAGACGAGTAGCTCCACGTGTCGTAAGGTTCGGCCTGCGGCTCGATATCGGGCCGATCGATATCGACACCCGACATCGATACACCGGGCTCTCGAGATTGGCTCGGCCTCTAATTCTCGCCTCCGGGGTCCCACCACCGAGTTCGGATTTTTCTCGCCCCTTTTCCACCCGGGAGGAAGCATCCAATCAAGGAAGAAGGACTCGTCTTCCCTCCATTCGACCCCGACCTTCCCCAATCGACGAGAGACGCGATAATAATCGAGCCCAAAATATCCTCCGAATTTTCGCCCCGTGACGCGAGTCGAGATCATTTTTTTCTTTCCCCCCTTTAATTTTCTCGGTGAAAAGAACCAATTGAATTTCACATCCAAGGAACCGATTAGATCTCAAGTTACGAGACGGACAATCGCGGATCGACGGTATAGAAGATAAAGGTGAAAAATAGATATGGCAACCATTTCGACCACTATACGCGAGCGATTCGAAGGTTACACTGAACGGCGTCACCAACTACGCACTCGATTGCGAAAAAGGACGGCGTCGTTGGAAGGTATCGATAATCGTCGCCAATAGGTCAATTCGTTAGCGCCCTGCTACCCGTCATACGATCGTACCCAAGTAATTACACTAATCGTTTCCCCTGGGAAACGATTCGTCGTTCTCCCAGACTTACAAATCATCGGAGCCAATTTCAACCGGATCTCACGAAATTTCGTTCCCGAAACGAGCGATCATGATCCAACGTTAAAAAGTCTCACATATAAAAAAAGAAAAAAAAATGAGGGATTCTCACATCACTCCTAAAATCATGAATTTTTACTGCTGCAAATCGTTCGAAATCAACGACGCATTCTCACAATTTTAAAGTCCAGCCTCACTTGTTATCGAATCTCATTGTTGCTTGTCACATGAAATCAAAGGTAATCGGTTCTCAAAGAAGGCAAGAAAAGGAAACTCGAAAATTCGCAGACCGAATGGCGACGCGTCGTACTTGTTCCACCAGGGTATCGCGTCTAGCTTTTCTCTTATTTCCTTCCCGGCGATTACGTAAAAGCGATCCGGTACGTCTAGGATAGCACTCGTTCCTTCAAAAAAGCGCCAGTCGGACTGAAAAACCGATCGAGCGATTTTTTCCCGAGGTCCGAGGCCGAGGGGTTTTTTCCGGCGATTACGCAAAACGGTTGACAAACACGCCACGTGGTCGCTCGGTCACGTGGTAGGGCGGGCCACGTGACCGAGGGAAAACGTCAAATCGTCGCGCGCGTGGTCCGATCAGTGTGCCAAGCGCGTACTATTAATCCTACTATTTGTACGATCATTTCAGTCCGGCGTTAATTTCTTCGTTGTAAGGGATTGTGCCATTAATTTAATCCGATTGTACTAGATCAAATGGAATTGAAGTTGGCAACGGCGGGTCCGATCGGCGCCACTCGGCGTCGAACCGCCGCCCGAGGCGGACGCAGCTCCGTCGCGAGAACCGCGGGCACCGATTGGCAGGCGTGCCGGCCAATGTTTACCGCTCAAGTGCCATCGGCGTGACTGGGAGTTCTTTGAGAAGCGGTAGGTTCCAACCTGTCCTTAGCTCGTCCCCACCCGAGCCCCGCGCGACCCCACCACGAGATATTTATTGCGATAATCGCGTATATAAACAAATCTCTCAGCCGCGGCCTTCGGGTACGCGCCCGAGAAGAAGAGGCTTCCCCATTAAATTATATTATATATTAAATGTACCGATAGGTTTCGTTCATAGCTTAAAAAAAAAAAAAAAAAAAACAACGCAGGAAAATAATCCAATCTGGATAACCTGGTCGAAGTTGACATTACTTATTCAAGAAATTCGGAAAAGGACAATCATTCTGCAATTTGACGCGACAGGGTAAAACATCGCAGATAATGACGAGGTCAGAGTTTGCGCCTCTATATATGTATATGTTACCGTGAATGACCGAAATTGGAGAATGTCGACTTTCACCGGTGAATGTCAACAGATACCAAATACGTCGGTGAAAGATCGAATATTTCATTACATTGTTGTACATTCGGACCCTCTCCAGTGTGTGTCGACAATCATACACCGGCGAATGTCAACATTTACCGGTGTAAGTCAGAAATAAGGGTATTTAGCAAATATTTCGGACATACACGAAGCGACCATGGGAATGTTGACATTCACCGGTGAAAGTCGACATTCTCTAGATTTCGGTGTTTCACCGTAACATATATATTTGGCACGAAGCTCTTATCAAGAGAGAGATCACTTAGTCTTTTATTTATTTTTTTTTTTTCGCGGAAACGGCGATCGCCTAATTTCGAAGGTCGCGCGCTACACCTGACGATTGTCGAGATCGTCCGGCATGAAGTTAGGTTAGGTATGGGGGTGATACCAAAAGTCACCCAAGGTCGGCGGGCGGTGAAAAGACGTAGCCGCCTGGAATGCACTTATGTATTATTAGAGTGCTTTCTATTCGCGCGATACTCGAAATAGATTCGTACACGGGTCCAGGACGAGGGCCGAGATCTCGAGGATTCTTCCGGACGTGGGAAACCAATTCCAGACCGTTAGATTTTATGCTAGGTCGGAAATATTTGAGGGCGAGTAACCGGATACCGGCATATCGACCGGTTCAACGGTACGTGGCTACCGAATCGGGCATACGTTCAATTGACTTATCTTACGCGTACAACATCCTGGAACAATCGGGGTAAAATATTAAAAAATGATACGAGGTCGAAACAAAATTCCGCGGCCGTTAGAATTTCCGTTAAAAAATCGAATCTTTTAATTAATCTTGTTGCGAATTGTGTAAAAGAATTAAAAAGAAAAGAAAATGATGTCTGAGCGTTTTTAAGGCACGCCGTGCATTTTTAATTAATACGGCGTGGCTCCAATTCACCTAGTTGGACATGTTGGAAAATAAGAGAGAATATTAATTAACTTCGTGGAAGTAAGTTTAAAATGAAATTATGAAACCTTGTGATGTGATCATTGTTGTAATTAAGTAATGGACTTGTAATGTGTCAACGCGCGCTCGGAGACCCTGGCGCCACCTGTCGGGCGCCCGGCGAAGCTGTTGAAATTTCCACAGTATCATCGACTGATCTCGCCTAGTAAAACGTGGACTTTGCGGTAATTTGCAATTCTCTTTTCTTATTAGACTTTCCATACTTCTAGGGACGAACTCGACCAGACATTATGTCTGTTATGCAACCATACAAGACGCCTGGTAATAGAAGGTCGAATACGACATAATTGCAGCACCGAGTACCATCACTGACGTGTCAAAGTTTTCAATACCTGTTCGCTTTGCATTGCATAAGGGATGCTCTCCAGTATTTTATGAGTGTTGCATAAATCATGCATACTTTAAAAATAGACTCGGAATTATGCAGAAGAGAGACACGATATGTAGGCCTCGGCTGTTTCATAAACCAACGACACATTTGAGATAGAAATATTCCATGGAATACTCAAACATGTTAGACATACCAGAACGGAGTTGGTAATAGTTTCATCCATATAACGTTTCCATAAATAATATAAATATCTCCACCATAAATGGCATTCACATAAAAATAAGAACAACTATGTAATAACTTGTAAACCTTTAGAAATACATCAAACAACAGTTATTCCTCGGAAACTGCTTCTACGTCGCTCCGATTTGCCACTCCCATGATACCGCCTTAACCCATCTTTCGGAACTAACCACTCACGGTAGTGATGAAGTATTTTACGCAACTTTATCCCACTTCAAGGTATAGAACTATCGCTGCAAGGCGGTTAGACCAGGGACAGATCGCGAGATGGTCCCATAAAGACGGGTCCAGCCCGATACGGATTGGACGTAACCTCACCTCGTCTGCGATGTCCGACTCCTTGCCATTCTTTCCCTTGTCCTTGCTCTTGACTGCGTCCTGCAACAAAAGATATTGCGGGCGCATTGAAGTAGCGTAAGCAGGGAAAATCGAGTTGGGACTTGACGTGATGAGAGGAGTACCATTATCGCGCGGGCGAAATCGCGCAGTAACGAATCGCCTTCGAAGTTTCTGACTCGAGGACGGACTCGCGTCGAGTCGCGCTACGGGTTCTGATGGCCTAAACGAACTGCAGTTGGAAGCTCGGCAGCCGGCGGGGTTGTTCTCCCAAGGCTCGGCAGCTACGTGCCTCCGAAAAAAGCCACTGCGCTCAAACCGGCGTGGAATTACCCTATTAGACGCACCTTCTCCTTCTTCTGCCAGTTCGGCATTTTATCGAGCGCACTGACGGTAGGAAACTAAAGGACAAACGGGCGGACACGCTTTGGAACGTAGATCGGTCAGCGGCCTGCCAGCCGATACACGGCGTTCGTCCACGGCGGCCATTGGCCACTCGGCCGACGTCAAGTGTCGCGAACGCCGAATCGCCCGTGCCCTTTACCGCCGTACCGGCTCGACCGAAACGCACCCCCGCGTTCGCCGCGCGCTCGACCCGCACTCCTATAACCTGACCTCGCTCCTTCGCATATTTCACCGACGACGTCGATTCCAGGGCGGACGATTAATTAAAAGCACACTTTCTTTTTTCCGGCGAGCGCATGACAGTTAGGTGGCGCTGTGCGTCGCTCGTGGCGGCGGTACCGACGTTTCCATTGGATGCCGATGGATACGGGTGCGTGTCGCCGCCATCTTGAAATCGCGATGCGCGTCATTGGTTTCCTGGATGAGTTTCGCTCCGATTTACGTTCCGTTCTCATGGGCGTAAGAATATATATGGACGGAGCTCAAGCCAAAGGGTTTAGTGCTGGAGTAGAGAGTAATGCCAGAGATGAGCATGTCTGGTAATGCCCGATTGCACTGTAACAAGCTACTCGCTCTTGGCAAACATGCTGCCATCTATAGCGCATTATCCAAACTCCTTACTCGCGTAGATTCGAGACATTGTAACGAAATCCGGGATTTATCGAACCCAAACCCAGTAAATCCGAATTTAAGTGTCGATCGAGACGCTCAGGATCGGATTTGCATTTTAAATTTCGCGCGTCACGAGCAACGTTTGGCGCCGTTCCTGCAAATGTTTCTGCGGATGTATCTTCACCTAATAGCAAAGAAATATTCATTTGTTTAGCAATATGAGTCGACAGTTCACCAATCTTATAATTAACTTTTGAGACCTTCTAGTTTGGTTTTCAATAAAAATGGTATATCCTCCGTTGCATATTTTTAACTTAAAATCATATTTATACAAGCGTCGTTGTAGGCAAAGGCTACTACGTGTAAAGAAGCAATTCAGAAGTGGGAAGAGAAAAATGCGTTAACTGCAAGCGAACAAACAGAAATATCGCTTAGTTTTCAATGGCCACCAATCGATAAAATGGATAACAGTCTAAGTACATTAGCGAATGTCCAGTGAGTTTTTCATTGATCAAGTCTAGCGAAAAGCTTTACATGATAAACATTTGAAATCTAATAGGATGTTGTCCCTCTCCACGAACATGATCGAAAAAATATCTGGGATAAACTCGCTAAAGAACTTGAGGATTCTATCGTTAGGCCGTAATTATATTAAAACGTTTTCTGGACTGGAGGCAATTGGAGAACATTTGGAAGAATTATGGATATCGTACAATTTAATAGAAAAAATTAAAGGCGTTGCTGCACTTAAAGCATTAAAAGTTCTTTATATGAGTAACAACCTGGTAAAAGATTGGGCAGAGTTCAACCGCCTACAAGAGATTCCCAAACTTCAGGAATTATTGTTTCTAAATAATCCCATATGCGAGAACATGGACGTCGAGTCTTGGAGAACGCAAGTAATGAGAAGGCTACCCACTCTCAAAAAACTTGATGGCAGACATATTGTGTTAGTTATTTTTATAGAAACAGCACTTGCTACAAAAATGTACTTAATCAACAAATAATATTTGTAATATTATTTTCCCAGGCATGCTACAGATGACTGAATTAAATTTAATGAATATAAAATTCCATTCCAATTCCGGCACACTGCTAAGACTAAATATCACTTTTCTATTGATTTATAAATCTATGCTTTACATATTGACTTTCAATAGTTGAGTAAACTTCAGTATTTAAAATAGATATGATGAAAATGGATGCTTGTACCATTTTAATTTTATGATGATGTATCGAGATTGTTCTCACTTTTCTTCAAACTTGTAACCCTCAGGTACATATTGAAACATTTTAGTTTTCATAATTCTCCACTTTCATGTCATTCAGTCCTAATTCGTCATTTTGACTGAAGCTTCTCTCATACTTTGTGATTTTTAGTCTCTCATCTGGTCCATCCTCGGATAAACTTTGAATGAAACTATTGCCTGCCGGATCGTCAAGTACCAGTGTAACCTTTTTGTTTCCCTTAAGAATTTCCTCTAGTTCCGCAATAAAGTCATCCATCCTTTTAGCAATATTTGGATCACAACTGTCACCACTAAGAGTCGTCGAGGAGGTCAGCTGTTCCTTTATAGCAACAATAATGCCTTCAACTGTAGTGAATCGACCACCTAATGTAGAAGAACCTACTTCCATCTCAAGTTCAGGTATTTCCATATTGCAAGTTTCTGATTTTAGTAGATCTCGACCGAAGTCTTCTTTTCCTGTAATAGTTATTTCCATCTTGATTCCTTGTGGTTCAATTCCTCCACCGCTCTTAACTTCGTTTGTTCTGTTCCCACAAATATCACAATTTGTAGCCATGATTACAACTTCCTTGAAATGTGGAATATCTGAAGATTTAATAAAGAAGTGAATCAATTAACAGATTCGAGTTATCGCATAAAGAAAGCAAATTATTCATTTAATTATGTCAACCTACTCGTCATTTTCATATTAGTTTCACATGGACTGTTACAAGCAGGGCAATTTGTAGGAAACGTTAAAACTTCTCCTTGCAATTGTTCAAGGGTGAAATCTTCATCGGCAACTGGTTTCAGTAACGCATCTTCATTCTCATAATAGATTCCCAATGAACGATCTTGATCTTTTGTTCGTTTAAAGTGTTTAACTTCACATGATTTATCTTTAAGTGGTGTTTCAGGATTTTCAACATGACAATTTCCTGAGATGTCTTCAAAAATGATCACAAATGGTTCTTTTAAAAGTTTCAGAGAACGTAATTTTGACAGAAATAAGTCTATTTGAACTGCTGATGCTTCATTTTCTTTTCTGCGTACAGGTTGGTCCTGTTCCAATCCGGCGATACTTTTGTCGATGATTCCTTCTATCGTTGTTACTTCTTCATTTAATAAGAAACACAATAACAAAAGATGTTATACCCTATTTTATAACATCTACTAAAAAAAACGTAAAGCACAATAACAACGTACCTCCTTTTTGGGAAAGAGCAGGAATTTCAAAATCTAAATGTGGAATCCGAACCATAGTATAGTCCGATTTAACCACTTGTCTGTTCAAGTCCCTAGGTACGGAAACGTTCAATGTTATTCTAACACCTTTATCGGCAACTTTTCCTCCATTCTGCAGCTCATTATTCTGATATCCACAAAATTCGCAGTCGAAAGACATAATAATGACATCTTTATAATGTGGTATTTTAGTTAATAAAAGTCTCGTGATACCCTAATCAAAGGAAAACAATTACATATTCATTATTAATTACTTACTGTCAGGGTATAATGCGATTGTATGAATACGTACGTTTTGTCCACAATTCATACATAAACTTTCGATCTCATTGATTTCAGATTCTGAATCTTCTGCCGCAAGATTTCGAAAAATCGGCTTTTTGTCCTCACTTTTCGTCGGTATTTCGTTACCGGCCATTTCGAAATATTGAGGTTAGGTACTACGTGGATACGATTAGGGAACAATCTGGAACAGCTTTAAGTTTACTCAAATCACTACTTTCAATTCGAAATAGTCAAAATATTCCATTCTGCAATAAGCAGCAGAAATAAATAAGATGTCAAGTAATATATAAACAAATAACGATACTTGACAGAGATCAGTTGGGAGATTGCTTACGGGTAGAGTCGCGCAATTGCATTCTATGCTGCCCTCTGGTTTCGTACGTTATTAATATTATTTGTTTATATGTAAAAAGCAGAGACTGTAAAAAATAGCAATCATGGGTAACGAAGAGTTGGTGCGAAACGTAAAAACAACATTTTCAATGTATGGTATGATTTTATCGAAGGAACTTTGTGGAATATTAGCTAAACATTTAAAAACCATAGAAGAGTCAAAACGAGATTCTTATCTTAACGAAATTACTGAACAAGTGTTATCGCACCAAGTGGAAAACTCCCACATTACGATCGAACATATAAAACATGCCATAACAGAATGCCTCAAACCCGAATCGAGTTTACAAGACACGGAGACTGTGATAAATGTTATAAATGCTTTTGATATTCCCAAATTGAAATATAATACTGACAGGAAACAGTATGAACTAAAGAAAGTTGAGAAGGACTTATACGCCGACGCTATTTACAAGCCTTTGTTATTCAAAGACAGGTTTTCTATATTATGGTACAGAACTTTGCGTCATGAGATGTTTACTCCTATTCAGTTCGGCCAAAAGGATGCAAGTAAATGTGAATTAACTGCAATAGAGTATTTGTTCAGCGAGTCAAAGTCTGATAATGTTTTTGTAATGGGTATGTTGTGTCAGCTTACCGAGGGTGACTATTACTTGGAAGACAGCAACAGGGTTGTTAAAGTTAATCTGCATAATACAATATCCTTTTCGATCTCCGACCCATTATGCTTTATACAAAACAATGTAATACAATTTTATCTATATGATTCTTAACTTGTTCGCAAAAATTCCAGGCAGAGCTTCTCACCGAAGGCTGTATAGTTATTGCTAACGGAGATTACATAAATGATGTTTTACACGTTAAAAATATGGCATTTCCGCCTGCAGAATTGTCAAGCAACAGTCGTGCACATTTAGGAAATATGAATACATTTGGAGGTCCACATCCAATATCTTTAAAAACTTCTGAGAAATTGAAGACTCACGAATTGACCGTTGGTAGCGAAGCAATGATAATATTCGTCTCGGATCTCTGGGTCGATGATGCACTTGTCCTTATTAAGTTTAAAACAATGATTGAAGGGTATTCGGACGATCCACCTGTAGCCTTTGTATTTTGTGGCCAATTTACGAGCACTCCTTTAAACGCAGGAAGCATCGAAACCGTAAAAGATGGTTTCAAACAACTGGCCAACATTGTGGAGCAACACTCAGATATAAAACAATTCAGTAAATTCATTTTTGTCCCCAGCTTGCAAGACATAGGTACACCAAAAATATTGCCAAAAGGATCGTTGCCCGAGTACATTGTGGAAGACTTTTCAAAAAGAGTGCCCGGTACCATACTGGCCACAAATCCTTGCAGGATACAGTACTGTACGAAAGAAATTATTGTCTTCAGGGAAAACATGATAAGTAAAATGCGTCGTAACACAATTATATTCAATGACGCGGAAGAAATCGAAAAACATGTAAGTTTCCCATTTCTATACACTACGTAGCCCTCGCATCGTTAGGTCACAAAAAATCTAAGATCCTGTGTCCCGATGTTGAGATCACTTTCTATGGAACCAACCATTGGCGTTGTCTCCTTATACTACTTCATGATATACATCATTCATCGATCCAACAATTTCATTAAATTGTTTCAGTTTGCCAAAATGATAATATGTCAAGCACATTTAGCTCCCTTGACTTTGTCCGTTAGTGCGGTATACTGGAAACACGATTACGCCTTGCAAATCTATCCAACCCCTGACCTCATCGTTGTTGCTGATCAGTACGAGCCCTATGAGACCGAATACAACGGCTGCTTAGTCATTAATCCAGGATCATTTCCAAAGAACAATTTCTCATTTAAAACTTACATCCCCTCGAGGAATCTAATAGAACACTGTGAAATCCCCAGCGAGTCTGACAGTTAAGTCCGTACCATAAGTGCTGTACATAATAATTAACCGAAACATTGAAAGTGTAAACTTTCACAGACTGTACAATATTTATTATTCTTCGTAAATAATAAAATCTTTCACTTTTTTACAATACTTCAGATGCAGCCCCTTCGCTCACAACTTAGATTAACAACTTTAGCATTAAGTTAACAGTATCTTCAATTAAACTAAATTGGAGTTTTAAAAATAAGTTATGATCACTCGTCGAGGATACCGGAGAAGGAGACGGGGCACTGATTGGGATCCCCGCGGGTAAGAGTAAGAGGAAAGAGTGTCGAAAAATTTATTACTACGCGTGAATTCGCATAATCAGCTTACAGAAGCTAATTTTGTCCTATCTTTGCTACCGCAGCTTCTTCGTCGTTCGCGCCACTGTGCGGCGTGGCGAGCTTAAATATTCTCAAGTAGGTAACAGCCGACTAACACTGCAATTTTCGTATTTTTTCATTTTCTACATCTTCCCAACACTCTTCTCAGTCTGCGACTCCGAGCGGAGTCTCGCCTCGGAGTTGTTGCGCGCGGCATAGGCAGTAACCACATCTATCTAAGTTTAATCAACATAAATAATATGTAATGTAATAGTAAACAAGGTGCGTCACATCGGAATATACATACAATCTTACAGGTACAGACTGCGTGCCTTTCAAGACCTTCCCTCTTCGCACTGGAAGCATAACCGTTTAACTGGCCGATAGAAAATTCGTACAAAATGTAGCTGAAGTCTGTAATATCCGTTAAACGGGAATCTCGATTACATTGATTATTTCTCCCCAAAATGCGCCTATACCGAGGGGATGTGAAAGGTGGCATCCGAGAGCTTAACCCTTCATGAAACTTCTCTCCGAACTGGGTGTACCAAATTCATTTGGATTTCATTTCTTATAAAAAACGTTGAAAATATCTATAGGCAAATTTTGTAAACAATTGAAATTATCCTTACAGCCTCCACATCCACATTGTTAAGTTTGTAACGATCCGATACACCCACTTCGGAGAGAGGTTTCATAAAACCTCTGATGCCACTTTTGCGTCCTCTTAACCGAATCACACAAAGTACGCGCATAAGTGACACGTTATTATTTAACACGCGCCTTAACGTAGACTTTAACGACAAACTATATAAGACATACTTTACTCGTGGAACGTTCGACGCTTCAGCCATATTGGTACGAATCAACGCCTGATAAGTCATTTGTCGATGACGGCACGCTTTCCGTCAAGAGGACGTACACGTCATCGTCGCAACGAATACTTCATCGGCAGAGTGAATCTTTGACATAAATACATTAGGTGAAGATTGTTTTCTTTAAAAAAAAAAAAAAAAAGAAAACAAAAAATTCCCTCCACACAGAGCTTTGCTTCGTCCTAATCGATTTTCCTTTCTGCCCCTGCACACCCACGTTAAGTGAGTTCCTCGACGTGTTTCACTTCGCCTTAAAGGGTACAAACATCTTGCCATGTACCTTTTGCGAGGTCTCGCGAGACGCAGCGAGAACTGCATTTACTGGGAACTTTACGTAACGCATCGTAGAAATGACAAAACGCGCGCAAACAATTGCGCACTCGCGGGTATTAAATTTTTCTAGGAAGACAGATGCGACCACGATGTACAAAAGAAGGGGGGAAAAGAAAAAGAGAACAGACAATGGATACACGAGATTTACCCGTGACTCGTCGAGTGTGTCATACACGTCCGAACACATTATTAAACAACGACCGATTTACAATGTCCAAACTGCGCGATAAAAAGAAAACAAAGATGAATAGACTATTGCACATCCTCGGAGAATTCAATATCCCAACGTACATTGCGCATACCCTATGTTCAATTCCTCTCGCAGGATCGTCGGATGTATCTTATACGTATATGTATATATATATAATAATAATACACAATGTTTATGTACCGGTGCTTTCCTCGTGTAACTATATACAGATGCGTAAGTCGAGGCATTAGAGTTATAAGTTCAGTCAACGGACGGTATTGGGGTCCCTCAGACTGTAAATCTCACGAATTCTTCTGCTGACCGTGTATCTCTCCTGAAACGAAATTCAAACCAATTATAGACATTCGGCGGAAGAAAATTTACATATCTACGAATTTAAATATATACGTATGTACACGTTTCGTCTCCTCTCCCGGGTACAAAAATTAACAGCATCTTAACACACTTAATGTCCGGGGAGTCCTTTCGTTACTTCCGCTTTACATTCATTGATTTGTTGCTCCGTTGAAACTTCAGAACAATTAAGGCCGTTCGTTCCTTGTTATTTCTAAGGTCCTTTACGAAGCTCAAAGTAGTAGATCTGTTTTACCGACGTCGATCAAATTTCTCTACGTGTTCCACATCACCTTAATGTGTCTTCTACAGACGTAACACCTGGCCGTAAACAAGAGACAACAAATAAACGACAAAAAGTAACTGCATCTTAACGCTTAATGTCCGGGGAGTCCTTTCGTTACTTCCGTTTTACATTCATTGATTTGTTGCTCCGTTGAAACTTGAGAACACTTAAGACCGTTCGTCCCTTGTTATTTCTAAGGTCCTTTACGAAGCTCAAAGTAGTAGATCTGTTTTACCGACGTCGATCAAATTTCTCTACGTGTTCCACTCCACCTTAAGGTGTCTTCTACAGGCGTAACACCTGGCCATTAACAAGAGACCAAGCCGAAAACGGCATCCTAATTTCTTTTCCTTACTTTCTCTCTGGTATCTCCGACAAGCTTGATTCCTTTCTTCGGCATCGAAGTACCAAAGCGTGATGGCGTATCTCGTCTTGTACGCCGGTTGGACCTCGTGAGGATTCCTTCGGTCCGACCAGAAGAACAAGATCCTGTCGAACAAGGGCTCGATGTCGGCCACCTGATCGCGCCATCCCTCGGGGAATATCCTGAGGAGGCCCCCGTTTTTCTGAAAGGCATACAAGTAGATTAACCAAAATTGCCATTTTCCACCGTACCCCTTGAGTTGGGCTAGAATTTCGTACACGTGATAGCTCCCAATCAAACAAGTCGATTAGAATCCAACAAAAGTGGAGTTAGTGATATTTCTATTCAATTAACCCTTTGAGCGGTAAGCACTTCCGACATACGGGCGAATTTCCTTAGACCGTGCGCACGATATTGGACCAAACGTCGGACGCACACATGCGTCGACAGCGCTCAAAGGGTTAAGAATTAAAACTGTAACTATTTTAATCCCCTTTAAAGCACGGATTTCTTCAAATAAAGAAAATAAGTCGAGTTCAATCCTCACGGTCACGTTTTCTCCAATAAAAAGAAACATTCACATTAAAGCGGACTTAACCCTCGTTAGAGGAATGTACTCTTCGGCAAAAACTTCGGAATAAACCGACCGTGATCCCTGGTCAGGATAACTGAGGCTTTAACAGAGGTTTAAAATATTCCAACGAGCAATCGCAATGTTTAAGCGAAACGCTAGGTGTCGTACCTTAATGTCCCAATTCCTGTTGAGATAATAAATCGCCGTGATGCACCTTCCGTCCCGATTTGGATTGTCCACGTGTTTAACATAATGCGATCCGTGGCCAGGGTAGCAAGCGACCATTGCCTGAAACCGAAAGAAGGTTCAAAAATGAGATCCCCAGGGATAGGAAAGTATATAGAGACAACGAGGAAAATCATCGAAATCCTGGAATTGTCGCGACTAGGTGCAACAATTCGCCGAATACTCGTTCCCATTGTGGGATAGCCGGGAGCTGCGCATTTCATCGAGCACGACCGCTATCTCGACATTGTTACTAATAAATCCCCGCGAGCGCTTTGTCTACCTCACGTGTATTTTCCTTAGGGGTCTCCTAAGATAAGCAATCGCGAGCAATGCAATTCGCGAGGTCAATGCAAACACCGGGGGAGAAGCAGCTGCATGTGCAAAGTGCACAGTTTGCCGTATTACATACATGCCGTATAATATACATATACGTATAAATATATACGTATGTAACGTTGTAATGTAATACGTATGTATTGTCGTTACGTTGTAATGCATTACGTATACGTACATACGCATACATAACACTTTCATATCATAGAGAAGCAGCTGCATGTGCAAAGTGCACAGTTTGCCGTATTACATACATGCCGTATAATATACATATACGTATAAATATATACGTATATGTATATACGTATGTAACGTTGTAATGTAATACGTATGTATTGTCGTTACGTTGTAATGCATTACGTATATGTACATACGCATACATAACACCTTCATATCACCTTAACACATTCGCGACCGTTTTTAATTGTTTTCCATTAACAAATACCGAGTACCGGCGAAAATAATGAAATTCTGATACTGGTTCACGCAAACTTGTATCGTGTATCGATATGGACGTGAATTCACGTCAGCGGAAATCAGGGATAGAATTTAAGATGACGTGAATTCACGTCAGCGGCAAATCAGGGATAGAATTTAAGATGACGTGAATTCACGTCAGCGGCAAAACAGGGATAGAATTTAAGATGACGTGAATTCACGTCAGCGGCAAATCAGGGATAGAATTTACGATGACGTGAATTCACGTCAGCGGCAATCAGGAATTAGAACTTGAAAAGACGTGAATTCACGTCAGCGGTCGGGAGTGTATTAACAAACCCATGTCATGAATGGCCCGTGGCATTATTTTCGCGGCTCGTTCAAACGAAAGTTCTTTCAATGAGTCTGAAAAAAAAAAAGGAGCGAAGAAAACCAGAGGGCATTCATACGTGTCCCGGCTCTATCTTGATTTTTATCAGTTTGACAAGTACCCTCCTTACTGTCTAACGCGTTGCGGTTCGCCGCATGCGGTAGCTAAGTCACGGTGACAAGGCATCGAGTCTGTTGTTTATTACACCGAGACAACAGACAACGTCCCGTGTACCCTGATTTCCCCAACATACTCGAGGGATTAGGGTACCCACCCACTTCGGTAAAGATAAGTCGAGACATAGAGACGTACACCGAGGATAGATAACTCCACGGCGTGCACGTGCTCCGTGATCCTAGCGCGCCGCCTAAGTGCACCGCCCTAGGGATACAATCAGCGATTAATTAATCGGATTTCGATCTAATCGAGCACGGTTCGATAAGATTCATACTTCGAGGAAGCGTGCACTCGAGAGAATAATCCCGGCCGAAAATCAATTGCAATATCACCGAACGCGTGAATTGAATTCTCCCCGATCTGACGTCTATTGCAACAAAAGAAGAAAAAAAAAAAATACCCAGAATTTTTACCTAGGGAATATAGGCTTTTAAACATGCATAAATTACCATCGAACGGCATTAAGTCGACATTAACCCTTTGAGCGCTAAGCACTTCCGACATACGGGCGAATTTCCTTAGACCGTGCGCGCGATATTGGGCCAAACGTCGGACGCACATATGCGTCGACAGCGCTCAAAGGGTTAGAGGGCCGTTCTATGTGTGTATATATATTATATATATAAAACGTCAAAATATTTATAAGACTTTTCTCCAAACTCGGTCCACATGGTCTTGGTTGTCGGTATAAGGAAATAATTAATAATTGTTATGCCCAATTTTCAAGTGTTCGCGTATGTTCCTTCAAGTATGATTTCTTGTTACGACCGTCAATACCTTTTCCGCGTGCATGATTCACTTGCCAAAGTTACAGAGTTCCGAGTATAAGGTACCACCGATCTGGCAACAATAACTAATCGTTAGCAGGAAGGGGGTATGCGAAAGTGCACACGACTTCTCCGCCGTAGACGACGTACGCAGGAAGACGTCCGACTTGATTTGCTATTCCAGCATCCAAGCCCGTCTGGTTCCCCCCGGTAAAGGCGTCCTTCTCAAGATGACCGATCTCGCCGAAACGCAGAGGTCGAGAAATAAAAGACGCAATTCCGGGTGAATCACGGCTAAGTCGCCGTAACGACGGGACTTTAATCGGCGCGTTATCGCCACCTGGCTCGTTAAAATTAGACTTCCTCGGGAGTTGTTTAAACATTCGCGAAACGGGTCCGCGGTAAAGGAATCCGAATCGTGAAGTAAAAAATCGGAGGGTTTCATTTTTTTTCTCAGAAAGAAAAAAAAAATGTTATACTTACTAAAAAAATATTTTATGCATGAAATGACGTTACGAACGTTTAGGGATAAATCGACGGAAAGACTAGAAAGAAATCCCAATCGTGAAGTGAAAAATCGGAGGGTTTCATTTTTTTGTTTCTCGGAAAGAAAAAAAAAATATGTTATACTTACTAATAAAATACTTTTAATGATACATACATCCCTCAGGGTGTATCTTAAAAGTATTTTACGTCGGGTATACGCGATGAAGCTTTATGCATGAAACGTTACGAACGTTTTTAGGGATAAACCGATGAAAACTAGACGAGAAGTCTAAAATCCGGGAGTTCGAAATAGAAAGGTAGAATGGAAAGGTGGACCAAAGCTGTGCTACATTCTACGGAAATATTTGAGGTTTTCGAGCTAGCACTGGATCCGCCCGAGGAAAGTGTACCAGAGTCCTGACTCATGGAGGGGAACCTCCTTCACATTCGACACGATGACAAGACCGTCAACAGCTGCCAAAGCTTGACGTAAAGTCCCCCTTCTATGGAGTAGAATGCTCAAAAATACGAATTTTCATATCCAAGAGATTTGACGTCCAAAATTTCGGACTGTCATACAATGACTATTTAACCTTCTATGGGCCGAATTTTTGTTTTAAATAAAAAAAAAATTGGGGGAACGAAAAATCAGCAATCAGGAACCTATATATGCAAATGAAAAAAAATTTTTCATTTAAAATGTGACCTGAAAGTTACACGGGCCCATAGAGGGTTAAGGTTAAGGCGACGTGAAAGTGGCGTCGAAGAGGTTTTGTTTATAAAACTTTTCTCCAAACTCGGTTTACCGAATAGTTTGAAACTTTACAACCTGAATAGGGAAACTAGAAGGAAGGTCCTGAAACTCATGAAATTTCAATTCTTTTCAAATTTCTTAATAGGTATTTTAAAAGTAGTATATAAAAAATGAAATGTCACGAGTTTCAGAACCCATCATAGGGTCTCCATATTCACGTTTTAAAGTATGAAACGATTTGAGACACCCAGTTCTATGAAAAGCTTTATGAACGATTGATCTTTCGGATGCCACTTTCACATCCTTTATAGGTATTTTAAAAATAGTATATAAAAAATGAAATGTCACGAGTTTCAGAACCCATCATAGGGTCTCCATATTCACGTTTTAAAGTATGAAACGATTTGAGACACCCAGTTCTATGAAAAGCTTTATGAACGATTGATCTTTCGGATGCCACTTTCACATCCCCTTAAGTGAAACACGTCGAGGAACTTGATCGACGTCGGTAAAAGATTTTCTTCTAAATGCCTACGTTACCAACGTTTGTTTTCATATCGACAGCTGTGTCGAGTTAAGGGTTGGCATAAATCCGCCTTTTTTTTCCTTCTTTTTTATAAGAAGCCGAGGGGTCTCAAGGGAACCGTACACTGGCGGACATGAATGCCTCCCTTATGGACGTGGTGCCGCAGGGGTAGGAAGAGAAGGCATTCATGCCCGTCACTGTACACACGTGACTTTCGGAAGGGAGCTCCGTGTACATGATCACTTATTACTCGGGGCCTTGGCCCAAATTTCAGCGTAACCTTGGCACACACCACCGAGTCAAGTTAATCGGAGGTCAGACATCCTTCCGCCTGGCGTATATAACTGCCTCCAGAAATACACCCAATGATTTCCAGGCCCGACCGCCCCACCCACGTTACAAAACGTCCCATTGAACCCTTTCCCTTACATTAAGATGTTATAAAAAAAGTTCATTCTGCATATACCAAAACGCCACAATATTCATAAAAGGTTTCCCCAAACCGAGTTCACCGAATCATTTGAAACTTCATGGTATGACAAAGATCTTAAGCAAGATCGCGATGCTCAGATTTCATAAAAGAAAATAGTTTCTTTTCTTTTATTTATCCCAGACTTGAACCACGGACACATTTTTTAGGGAGGATCTTTTCTAAGGAAGACACCCATGACATTTCGTTAAACCAAAAAAAGAAAAAAATGTTCCGTTCATCCCGAACTAGAATGAAGACATTGCCGTCACATATTTTTCATATTTTACGACTTTTTAACAAGTGGCGGCTGCCATTTCGTATAATTCTTAATATTAAGTGCACCAGCCGTCAACATAAATATAAACGCCGGTAACGTGGGGCGTCAATTTATGATCCCGCTCAAGTATCCGAAATGGCGTTACGCCGAAAAGGGTGGAGACCGAAGATTGTTTCAGACGGTATATCATTTAGGGTTTTCTTTTTACCGACGTCGAATAAGTTTCTCGGCGCCTCACATCACCTTAACCTTCGTGCGACATGTAGATAATTACTGGCAAATGGAAGTTATCGCGTACCGGTATTGGATTTTATATATCGAACAGTCCTGGGACAAATGCCCTATTTTTTATGCATGGCAAGACGACGCACGTGTCACAAGGCACGTGTGCACCGACCGGGATATGCGAGCGCGGAGAATAGGTATATACCGAATTTCAATATATACATACCTAATTTCAATATATCGATAATTATCGACAAATGAAATTTACCGTGTACTGGCATTGAATTTTATATATCGAACAGCCCTCGGACAAATGCCCTTTTTTCCATGCATATTTCCATATATGCATACCTAATTTCAATATATCGATAATTATCGGCAAATGAAATTTACCGCGTACTGGTACTGGATTTTATTTATCGAACAATCCTGGAACAAGTGCCCTTTTTTCCATGCATGTTTCGATATATGCATACCTAATTTCAATATTTCGATAATTATCGGCAAATAAAATTTACCGCGTACCGGTATTGAATTTTATATATCGAACAGCCCTCGGACAAATGCCCTTTTTTCCATGCATATTTCCATATATGCATACCTAATTTCAATATATCGATAATTATCGGCAAATAAAATTTACCGCGTACCGGTATTGAATTTTATATATCGAACAGTCCTGGGACAAATGCCCTATTTTTTATGCATGGCAGGACGGCCCACGTGTCAGAAGGCACGTGTGCACCGACCGGAATCTGCGAGCACGGAGAAAGGATAGGTACTGGAACTTCCGAGGGAAAGGGTTCCGCGAGAGGAGAAGAGAGGAGAGGAGGGCAACGGCCGTCGACGGAAAGCAACGGCGAGAGCGGGCGAGGAAGTGCCTACGTGCCGGGAACCATACAGCGACCTAGCCGAAATCAGATCGTCGCGGGTGACAAGCGCGATATATATTCGCGCGATTAATGATCGCGAGACTATCGCTGGCGATATGCCAACGCGTCTTGGCAGGACGACCCGCAAATCGGGAGATTCGCCGAACGCCACCCGACAATTGGGGGGCCTTAAGGGGATGTGAAAGCGGCATCATCGATCATCTCAATTGTTCATAAAACATTAAAACGTGAATATGGAGACCTTAAGGCAGGCCGAAATTTCATTTTTTTTGTTTATAAACTATTTTTAAAATACTTATAAAGAAATTTCAAATGAATTGAAATTTCCTGAGTTTCATGACCTTCCTTATAGTCTTCCCATTCACGTTGTAACGTTTTAAAGTACTCGGTAAACCGAGTTGGGAGAAAAGTTGTATAAACAAAACCTCTTCGACGCCACTTTCGCACCACCTTAAGGCGATATGAACTGGACGTTCTGTTTACAGGGCGTAACAAAACTCGTAGTCACGGTTTATACAGCGCTATCCTTGTTGAATAAGGAGTCGAAAAGTCCTGTATTACTTTTTCCTACCGAGATACGTCTAACGGGGAATATCCTAGGATTGGATTTTCTACCGAGTACGTAGTCGGTATCACCGTTCGGCCGTGCGATATCGCTATCGAGAGTACGTCGGTACAGTTTCCTCCACAAATCGGATAAATGGACTCGCGGTCGTCTCATCTCGCGACAAGTGCAATCTCGTTGGCACCTCGTTTCACCTCTGGGAAGGTTAAAGCCAACCGCTCTCGCGTCCGCGGAGTCGGACGAAGTTGCGCGTCGGCTCGGGCTAGAAAACCAGAAGCGCGCACGTGGGTGGCTTCCGAGGTGCGCGAGCGGTGGGGACCGGCCGCGGCCTACGTGACGGACTGCATTCGACACTTTCCTCATCTTTCGCCTCGATGCAAGCGATACCGACCGATCAAACGGATCAATCGGATAAGCCGACCGCTGATCGAACGCACCGATCCGACACCCCCAACGTACATGGCCACGAATGTCGATACAATTCATTGTACAACTCAATACAAATTACAAAAATATGAGAAATCACCACAGAAACGATTAAATCAATTACTTTCGCGAAATACGTGCGTTGGGTGTTACGTGCAAAATAAAACGTAGGAAAATATACTGGCGATCAAAAGTGTCGAGTTAAACTGTCCGATATGAATTCCAGGACGGGAAGTTCAACTTGAAAAGTTTATACTAAATGTTGACGTCGGGTCATTGGTACAATTTACGATTCCATTATGATGTCGTAACTCGTAGCTTTGATATAATGGTGGTATATGAGTAACTTGAACTATTCAGTTTTCTGCTTCTATTCTTAGCGATATGCATGTTATTCTGCACTGTTGGAGTATGGTTCGATAACTTTGTTTTTACGCCTGTACAATGGCGTTTAGATTAGAGATGAAAATGTAAGCAGGACTCTTGCTCTTGTAATTTGAGAGACATTAAATGTGGGAACGTAAATAAAATAGGAATTATGTATTTGATAATGAAGGTGCCATGTTGATATTTACCTTTGTCCTGCCATTGATCGTATAATTTCCCATCTTGCCATTGTTATGCATCTTATTCGCTCGCATGATAATGGCGTCCACTTGGGATATCAGCATTCCAATATTCTGGCACTGTTTCTCCTTCCCATCCAGCCACGTGATTTGATCACCACGAATGGTCTTCAAGTCGCTTGCCGCGGCTTTGTTGGACACTAACTGTCCATCTTTAAACAACCCGGCGCTGTACATGTTTAATACTTCGTTTAACACTGCCGAGCCCTTGTCGATACCCAAAAAATTGTCTACCACGCACACACCGTATTCGTCCATGTCTCTAATAACGTTGCGACAAATGTCTTCGATTATGCACTCCTCGAGCTCGTTTCTGTTTCTATGAAGGAACGGAGGTGGGTAATCTTCCTCTCTTCCTAACGGCACCTCCGGGAAGTTTTTGATCCCGTTATGCCGATGCGTAGGCATCTCAAACATGGGATTTTCCGTAGGAGCCAGGATTCGTGAGGTTTCCAGTGCGGGGTTCAGAGATTCTGCTCTAGCTCCTAATATGGTATCCTCCGAACTGCCTTCGTACGTTATCGGCGATGTCCAACCGTCCACCCTTACCGTGCGAGTATTATTTCTTCTACCGTTCCTTCCTTTCTTTTGCACTTCTACTCTTTCATTATGATTTACCAAGCCCGTGAGTTCTTGATGTTTCGTATCTGTAACAAGAGTTCCTATTATCAATTTATTATACCTTCATACTAAATTTCATACCCCTAAAATCGTGCTACTTGAAATGAAACTGAATTTCTAATTAAAAATAAAAATCTAGTCACAATCGAGAAATGATCAACGTCAACTTTTTGTGGCAAACTCGTTCCCTTGTCTTATGTTTCTCCCAGGAGTCCATTCCTAGGTACGACACCAAACTTTCAACGGGGCAAGAAATAATCGTCTCGAATGTAAACCAACTCAAAGAAATAATCATACGAAAACTAAATGACAAGCCAGTACTCTTGCCGGGACGTACCGTCGACCCTGGCCTTGGCCTGACGTCCTCCCTCGTCCTGGGACTCCTCGGAACTCCTACCGAGACCCTCGTATAGGTTAGGAAACGCTGCGACGTCCAGGAGCCTCTGGGGGATCTCCGCGACGGGCACTCTCGGCGCGGTCGGGCCGGGAGTCGCGTCGCGCGGGTCCTGGGCTCTCTCGACGGGGTGCACTAGGCAAAACTCCTTGTGACGTCTCCAATCGAGCCTCTGGTGGTCCTTGTTGCAGTAAACGGCGGACTTGCACCGCGAGCACCTCAGGAGGTTTTCTTTCCTTCCGCAAATGACGCAGCCCGCTGTTGCCGTTCCCGGTGCGATTCTGTTCGGTGTCTGCACGCGACTGATCGTCGGAGCGGACATGTTTCACCGTTTATTTCCCCGGGACGAGTGCCGACGACATTTCTACGGCGGGCCGAGTCACATACGCACTCGGGTTGGCGCGCTGTCGACACTGCACGATGCCGCACACAGCCAAGCTCTCTCCGACTCGGCTTTGTCCTCTCTCTCGCCCTCGCGCTCTCTCCTTTCCTCGCTCCTATCTGCCGCTTCCAACCGTCGCTCCGACGCGCTTAGAACTTCCTACGGAAAATTTCGCACCACTCGCAAATCTCCGCGGCATTTCCTTTCACCGCCAATTTCGGGTGCACTCGGCATGGCTCGCATTTTTCAGGTTAAGCGGATGCCTCGAGATGTCGCCCCCTCTCGCGGCTGACGTCACGCCTTGCCATCCACCACGTGCGAGCGGACTTGGCCATCTGTGGGTGCCTCGCTGAAATGGCCCGTGCAAGATTTACTTCGCCACGATGTCTATTATTTATTTTTAATCGAGAATTGTACATATGCTTTCGTTCTGCTCCACCCTGTAATTAATTTAATGGTCCATACATTTACTGACAAGCACCGTGACAAAAAGGTCCCAAACTTCCCGCCTCCATAAGTCCGCCATTTTTATATATACCTTTCGAACTTATTTCTCTTAAATTCTCCCTAAAGCATAAAAATAAGGCAAATCCATAAGCAAATATTTCCCATACCTTCCCTTTTTCTTCTAGGATCACTTTGATTAAAAAGCATTTCCCAACCTACTGACCCCCATAATAAAAAAGATGAACTACTATACTCGCTCCCCTTGTGAATAGAAGATTGAGGCTCAGTAAATTTGACAAGTGACAAACGACCGGATGTGCTCTATTTAGCACATAAATAAAAGTACATTTAACAGATATACGTCACTGGGAGGTGGCAAACATTTTTTTTTCAAGCAATTAAGTACTTCCTCGGTGTAATAATTAAAAAATATTTCAGAGTCTAATATTTGACGATTGATGGTCTATTAAAAATTAAAAAGATTACCGATCAGTCCTGACTTTCTGCGAACGACGCCGGGATTACAGACTCGCCGAAGCCACTCCAAATCCCACTCTACGTCGATATACGTGTAACCTAACATAATCTATCATAACCTTGGGATATTTTTAAGTCCTTTTTTCATCGAGTTTCGGCCGAGCTCGTGCGGAAGCGAGCAGCCTCGAGTGGAGGAGTGACCTTCTGGGCTTATCGGCAATTTTTTAATCAATCTCGTGACCTGACAAAATCGAAGTAGCTTTAACTCGTGAATAACACAAACCGAAAAATATTCTATACATTGTGTGTCATAATTTATTATAAAATAATTAAATCGAGGCATCGCGTCATCGTTTACACTTTAATGAAAGAGCGGCCAGACTTTAATCAGGATTTTCGGGTTTTGACGGCTTCATAGCGATTATAAATTTAATGAGGTCAGAAGAGCTTTGGGCTGTCCAAAAAAGTTAAGGGGCATTGGGGAAATAAGGAAGAATTAATGTATTGTAGTTTAAACGATTGTTGAGATATTGAGCGTTAACCTTTAAATAAGATGGCTGCAAGGACGTCAGCTGGTTGCCATGGCGACGAAATGGCGTCCTGTCAAAACAGTCCACGTGACTCGACTTGATTGTCGCCTCTGTTTTTTTATGTACTAACGTAAAAAAAGACTAATCACTCGGAAGTAAGCGGTCGCAAACATGAGTACCTTCGTACAAAATGTGCAGATCAGGGATGGAGAATACACGAAAACTATCTATACTATGGTATACAGGATAAAAATTAAAGATGACTATGTACATATGTAAACATGAAATTTACTTTCTTCAGATTACAAATTCTTATGTATTCAGGGTTTCAGTAATGTAAGAAAACTCAGACGGTACGAGTGAAGGTTGGAAAAGTAGAAACCTACCTCGGTTGAGAATGTTCATAATGTTCTGTCCGAGACATTTGTGTACGAGAACAAATTTACCAGTCTAGCAATTATACTTCTATGTGAATTTTCTTTTCACTCCTATTGTGCAGAGTGTTATCAATTACTCACTAACTGTGAAGTTATGTTACATATGAAATGGTTTATTGATTTAATCTTTTCTTCAGATTAAAGAACAGAGGTACACCGAGACGATCCAGATCTTGACAGCTCTTTTAAATACACACGCCAATGTATGTGCTTCGATACTAACATCGGTGGTAATATTGTTAGCACAGGATTGCTTATATTAAAGTATTTTACAGTCCCGGCCATGTTTATCTCTGCTGGCGCATTGCTACTTTTACACGCAAGACTTTGTTGCTGCTTCTGGTTGTTATGAAAAGTTGGTTCAAATGTGCCCCGAAGAAAATATATACAAACTTTATTACGCACAGTCACTGCATCAAGCATGTATGTTCCAAGAAGCTTGGGCAGTATGTAGTGGTATTGCTAACCAACCTGATTTGGAGCATAAAGTGAAAAAATTACAGGCAGCTATAAAGTACGGCCAAGAAGATACCGTAGCTGCAAAAAGTCTTATCGATCAATGTTCATCCGATGACGTCGATACAGAAGTAAATCTGGGATGTCTTCTGTACAAGGTGAAAAACTTTTGAGATCAATGATTTAATGTTCTGACTTCCTCTTGTCGTTATCTTTCAGGAAGAGCAGTATGAACAGGCCCTGAAAAAATTTTCTACGGCCTTACAGATATCTGGATTTAAACCACACTTATCATACAATGTTGCACTTTGCTATTATAAACAGAAAGAGTATGCCTTGTCACTAAAGCACATCGGTAGGTTATAAATATTTCATTTGCATAAAATTGCCTCTTTCATACTTAATAATTTATTAAGCATATAATTACCACATTATTGTTCCAGCGGATATCATTGAACAAGGTATAAGAGAGCATCCTGAATTAAGTGTAGGAATGACAACCGAAGGAATTGAAGTTCGGAGTGTAGGAAATACTTTAACATTGCATGAAACTGCTCTAACGGAAGCTTTTAACTTAAAGGCAGCTATTGAATATCAACTGAAGAATTGTAATTTTTTCATTATTTTACTTACGACGACTAAATGGTGGAACAAATTTGTAATAATCAAGTGGTTACAGATGAGGCAGCAAGAGAAGCATTGACAGATATGCCTCCACGCTCTGAAGAAGAATTAGATGCAGTTACTCTGCATAACCAAGCTCTGATCAACATGGACTCGAGTCCAAGTGAAGGCTTTGAAAAGCTACAATTTTTGCTTCAACAGAATCCATTTCCTCCTGAGACATTTGCTAATTTATTATTACTGTACTGCAAATACCAGTACTATGACTTAGCTGCTGATGTTTTAGCTGAGAATGTGCACTTGACTTACAAATATTTAACACCAGTAAGTAATAAGAGTTAAACATATTTTTTAATTCAGATAAAAAACAGCATTGACCAAGGTGAGAACTGTTATTTATTCTTAAAGTAATCAGCTATAAATTGAAAGTAAGCACGGGCTCTTTCTATGCGCTGCTAAGAATAATTGACTGGGATAAACAGTCCGTACACTGTCTTGTAAAGAAAGCTGCAACTGAGGTGAATTATGACTTAGACCTTGAATGCTTACATTTCTTGGAACGATCACGTTTATGAGTTTTGGTGTCATTGTTATCTACTTCACCGGTAGTTTCCCCATCACTGGAGGTACTACTGCGTCTTTTCTTCTTGTGCTTCTGTTCTTTAGAACGTTTTTTTTTCTGCTTCTTTTTTCTATCTTCCTGGTCGGATTCATCATCACTGTCGGTACTGGAATCTTTTACTTTGGATTTCTTTGACTTTTTCCTTTTCTTTAATTTCTTTTGTTTATGCTTCTTTTCGACATTCTCAGATTGCCGATCGGTTGAAATAATGGGAGGACTTTCTTCTTCCACTTCCGGTATCAACTCATATTTTTTCCCATCTGGACTCATGAAACAGTCCTTTGACAAATGTCCTGCTGTACCACATTTGGTACATGTAGTGTTTAAGACTGCCTGCAGTTCGATGACTTTCCTTTGAGTAGGGACTATAGATTTTCTCTTTTGTTCGTCTCTTTGTAATTGAACACCATTAGGATCTAAGTCCATTCCATTGCCTTGATTAACATGTTTCATAGACAACCCGATTTTTCCATCATCCCCCATGGAAATAACTTTACACCAGACACGGTCTCCACGTTGTAACACATCTGCTACGTCATCGACATGAGTCGTACTGACCTGAAGTAAATCAATAGTAACGTATTACTTTCATATTTACGAGTCTTTATAAATTTTCTATTTTTATTCATCTCCTGAACAGTACCTGCGATTTATGGACCAAACCCTGTTGCGAACATCCTGGAATTCTAATAAAGGCTCCATAATTTTGAACAGAGGCTACCTCTCCCAGAAAGATTTGATTCAGTCGAACACTACCCATGTTTCATAGAAATACATTACTGACTACGAACGCGCGAATTCACAAGATTAAAACACAACCGTTGCTTGTTGTGAATAATAATCTATAGTTAGCACTGTCACAAATGAGAAGAATGAAAACATTGCGTGGAATAGGTTAGGTTCGGTACAATACCGGGGAGCTTCAGTCCTGTATCTGGTTCAAAGATATAAGGCAGCTTAAGGGGCCCTCAGGATACAAGTTTCAAAAGATCTTTAAAATACAACCATTTTTGTTCATATTTCTGCCTGTAATTATGAAAATGGTCTATGTCATGTTTTTTGTGGAAAAATTAACTCCACACTATTGTAGTGGAATTTAAATATATGCAACACAAAATAAGGGATAAATTAATCTTTTCAGATTTTTTACTTAAACCACTCATAATTATGGACACGTTTATATTTTAGTTTACAAGATTTAAACGTTTTATTTTCAGTACTTGTACGACTTTTTGGATGCTCTCATTACGCAGCAAACATCTCCTGAGGAAGCATATAGAAAGTTTGATGATCTTGCGAACAAGCATACCGAAGCTCTGCGCAAGGCTACTAAACAAGTTCAGGAAGCAAGATTAAATCATGATGACAATGCTGTTAAAAAGGCTGTGAATGATTATGAAGATGCACTGGATAGATATGTGCCAGTCTTAATGGCTCAAGCTAAAATCTACTGGGAACTAGGAAATTATTTGCAAGTCGAGAAGATCTTCCGTAAGAGCGTTGAGTTCTGTAACGAGCATGAAATTTGGAAGTTGAATGTTGCGCACACTCTATTTATGCAAGAGAATAAATTTAAAGAGGCAACCGGTTTCTACGAACCCATAGTTAAAAAGAGATCCGATAATGTATGTAGAACATTTAAATCATATTTGGCATTGTTATTGATATAATTTTACTAACTTTTTGCAGATTTTGGAAGTGAGTGCTATAGTTTTAGCAAATCTGTGCGTCAGTTATATTATGACATCGAAGAATACTGAGGCTGAAGAATTAATGAAGAAGATTGAAAAAGAGGAAGAGACTATTTCGTTTGAAGAGCAGGATAAAAAATTGTTCCATTTATGTATTGTAAATTTAGTTATAGGAACCTTGTACTGCTCTAAAGGAAATTATGAATTTGGAATCTCTAGAGTGATGAAGAGCCTCGAGCCTTATAATAAGAAGTTAGGCACTGACACCTGGTTTTATACAAAAAGATGTTTCCTTTCGCTTCTCGAACAATTGGCTAAACAGTTAGTAGTTTTGAAAGACTCCATGATGCAAGAATGCGTGCAATTTTTGGAACATTGTGAAGGTATTCGCTAACAAAATTTATAACGTTTTATATTTCACGTAATTTAGATTCCTGTTTACAGTTTAATAATTTCCAGTTTATGGGAGAGATGTTCCAACAATTATCGAACAGCCATTTGATATACAAGACATTCCTATGGTACCTCAGGGAAGACAGACCGTTACTTACGAAGCTCGATACTTAAAAGCATTATTCTTAAAAATGCAAATGATGTAGTTCTGTAATAATTAATGCATTTTTATACGTACATATCTAATAAAGAAATAAGAAATACATATGGATATTCCATGAATTAGAATTGTTTCTAATGCGTTTTAATTCGTGCCTTAAAATTGTTGTAAAATACACATGTTATTGCACGACTTACAGTTACGTTTCCTATTAAATGTGTTATAATTATGAAATAAATTTGCATGCATTCTATAGATGGGGCATATTTATATTTATGATTTATTTGCGTTCAATGCGCATGCACACTTCCTCACTCTTACAAATGTGTGATGTCATCACGCATGCGTCAACACATTCTGATGTGACCGCCTTCTGATTGGCTACATTCGGTTAATCCGGACTAAAGGAATGATTCGGAAAGATTCGAAAAGATGGTGGTCGACATGGAGGTAGAGGAAGCAAAAGAGAATGTTTTAAAACTTATGAAGGAAAGGGATAAAATTGAAGCGGAATTGAAATCCATGAAAGACGCCCTGGATGCTGTAAGCATTAATATTATTATAATTTTAAGGCAAGATATTCGGCCAGTTCCTATAAAATGTCACGTTCCTTTTTTTTGGGATGTCTTGGTTTTATTGGAAGTTAATGTATTTATTTCATTATATATTCTTTCAGAATCATGTGGGAATGACAGAACCGCTGGTGGACCCAGATGGATTTCCAAGGCAAGATATTGACGTTTATCAGGTTCGGCATGCTCGTCACAAGATAATATGTAGGTTATCTTGATTAGTAACATTTAGAACATTTATGCGAACAGTCAATTCAGAGTGTCTTCGCTTCTATTGTAGGCCTGCAAAATGATTACAAAATTCTTATGCAGAAAATAGAAGAAGGTTTGCATAGAGTTCATGAACTGACAAGAAGCGAAGACGGTCCATCTCCTGCTTCAACGAATACCGTGCAAGAAGCGGTACTTTCCGAACCATTCCTTAAAGTGAATTTAGTGTCATCTGGTTCTCCAGCAGAGCTTGCGGTATGTATGTTTTCATGTAACATTTCATATTTGAAATAGAGCCGATTATAAAATTGTAAAATTTACAGGGAATACGAGTTGATGATTTAATTCTTGAATTTGGTTCCATCGATTCAAGAAATTTTAGGACCTTGAAAGATATTGGTGACCTGGTTGAGCACAGTCGATATAAAACCATCTTACTAAAAATCAAACGTGGCTACAATACTATCGTCTTATCGTTAATCCCTAGACCTTGGAGCGGTAATGGCCTTCTTGGTTGCAACGTGGTACCCTTGGAAGTCGTCGAAAGATAAAAATAGATTAATATAAATACTAACCGTTCTGTTCAAAAAGTTTTCTTTTAGATTTACTATTTCTATGGTTCAAAATAAATACATTTTTTAAACGATACATAAATATACATGATGTTCTACTTTGATATTTCTATTATGCATTCTAATTGTTCTCAATCCTTTGGTAATCCTTGAGAAATTATCTATGTGGCATTGAAACGCTATACTTTTAATCTGAACTGTAAGTTTATACTCCGATTATTTTAGAAAAATTCTGCCCTCGTAGTATAAAATCAGTCACAGCCCACGGCTCTACAAGTAGTTCCACAGAATTTTCCGTCACCATGTGCTTCTTAGCATTGGTAAGATGAAAACTTGTATTAATTAAGGTCTGATCTAGTTCTACAATTTGTACTTCAATTGGTTACAGACATTTTTTGGTTTGCTGCTAGCAACTTCCGTAATAACTTGTCAAGCTGGCACTATCGGTTACACTAATTCCATTCCTTGGACTCTTGTGTATACTACGTACCCAATTTATGATACTGAAACACTATCAGGGGTATGGAACGAAGGCCAACCTATAGATCTTTTGGGCAACATTAATCCTTTGACTCTAAATAACCAAGAAAAGACATGGAATTCTGATAACAATGTAGTGCACAATGAAACAACGGAACTAAATTCCTGGAATAACATTAATTTCTCTTCGAATAAAGCAAGAAATGTAGATACGGACCATTTACCTCAAAACGGACAGCAAGTCACTACTTATGTACGGAACTTATACATTTTTTAATTACTAAATTATGAGTTTATGTAATTGTCCTCATATATTTGTATATTTCATTTGCAGAGAAACTGACTCAAAGCACCATTTCTCAAGATAACTAATGTTAACAAAGTGTTTATTACAAATGGAATTCAACAGAAACTTATAAATGCTTATTATGCTGCAATTCATACACATAATGATATTGATAAGATGCATCGATAAGAATGTATTTTTTAAATAATGCTCTGTAGTGCGGCTTTATGAAATAAAAAATAAATATATTTAATGATTCAGTAACTTTTGTATGATTTATAATTCGATAACCACGGCAATCTTGAATTAGGCATAAAGATAAGGTTTCCTGCAGGAAGAAGGAAAAGGACTTAGTGCGAATTCTTTAACAATTTATAGTAAGACAAGCAGACCATTATCGGTATATATTAATATTTAATTTATAAAAATGTTCCCAGTATTATTAATCAAAATATCCATATACAGAGTACGAACTGAAAAATCGATTACAAGAATTACTATGATGGAAATTATACATCAGATAATTTTGCGTCCTTATTTTTAAAGCTGGCTTTTGACAGACTTTCCAAGATTCATTAAAACTTATTTAACAATTATTTATTCAAAAACAACTGAGTGACTCGACTTCTTACATAAATATATATAACTTAATTGGTTTTACAAATAGTGTCCTTACCAGTTTTTATTAAATCAATCAACTCACATACATTATAAAAGATTGGATGGTATGGTGAGAGAGATGGTGGAGTGTTTCTTTGTACAATACTCTCGATACAATGCATGATACCAGTTTTCACCTTGCAAAAATACTTTATCGTTTCCTTATATCTTGGATTCAATCGGTAAAGTCTTTGCAAAGTATTAGAAGACCTTGTTACAATGCCGTATGTAAATAGTCTTTATCTATTCTATAAGCTTTTTTGCTCTGAAGAAACGTCTTAAATAGATCACTTGCCAAGTAGCCAAACCTAGAAGGCAACCCATCGAAAGTATACTGAAGTAAAGGACTCGAGTATTCGTTGCCTCTGAAAGAAAGAAGTTTATCAATTTCTAAACTGTGATTGACTAAAAGATTAACATTTCATTTGTGTTACCGTTCGTGTCTCGCATATCTTCCTCATTCTTTCTCATTCTGACAAAATCTTGGACAATAGCTTCTGATAAATCTTCTAGGCGCTTCAATTCAACTTCTATTGGCTTTAACTTAGCCGCCTCACCGATCTAAAGAGTGTGCGTTAATATATAAATTCCTTATCTATTATGAATGATAAAAAATGTGTTTAGTTTTCACTGGAAAACCAGCTTTTACGGGAACTTCAAAAACAGAGAGTAAAATTAAATTTAAAAAGCAGACCGCAACAAAACATTACTTAAGCATACAATCTCCAAACATTGAATAATTTGAACACAACTCAGTGGCCATGCAGTTTTCTACTATAAAACTGTAAAAGACACTTTCATATTATTTTACACGATATCGTAATGGAACCAGGTCTTAAGTTGGTCATATTTTTTTTAGAAAAGTAAAAGTATATCTCAATAACCAGAAAATATAATTTACACAAAACAAGAATCATGCTACTAATACACCGATAGTAAAATAAAGGATTCCACTTTACCAGCTGCGCGCCCAAATAAGCCACATATAAAAGAGAAAATTGAGAAACGAGTGTGAGAATATATCTTGCAACATAGCTAATTTAAATTATCATTCTTATTTACTACCAAGACTTACGCCTTCATAGCTTTTAGCTTCTATGCCACGCTTTGTAATTAGAAGAACTTCTTGCTTTCTACCGCGTTGAACTGGAATACAACAGGTAATTATTCATCACATAACCAAACACGCTTAAACCTGACATTTTCATACGTACTACTCGGAACATGCGACGTAAAGCAAATTTCAAACGTATCCTGTGTTTCGGTAACAAAAGAAAATTTCAATAATTTCCCATGAGGTATATCTTCCTTCTGTGATAATATGTGGCCTCTAGAGTCTTTGACCTATGAAACGAGTGCAATTTCTCATTAACATTATATAGGATTAATTATTTTAAGAACTTTTACTACGGTAACATACAAAAAAGACATCAAATTCATTCTACAGGTAGTTAGTAAGTAACGGGATTTAATTTCCATCGTGAAATATAAATAAGGACATTCTGCGTGAGACGTTTCGCATTGCAGGTTAGCACACCTAACCTCAAACGTCTGCAAAACGAAGGACGACTAACGCATTTACCACATAGTTGACGTTTTGGCCAGGTGCTTCGGACACTTCGTATTCGCCGGTAACCAGGACATTAGCTTGGACCTCTTCTCTCAAGCATTTTTGAGAATTTGGCTCTAAATACCACATGATCCCATCCACATATGCGATCAGGAAGACCGCGGCAAACGCAGCGAGATTAACGGTCTTCATATTCGCAAGTGCGAGAACGGTGATTATATCGAATCACTGCGGAGAAAACCACACTCAGTCCTGAGAAAAGACCGACAAAAGTCAACACACGTTCATCAACATTGCGATGAGTTGGCAGCCATTGGGAATTTTCGGACATTGGTGAACTCCGGCGCTGTTGACGTATACGTCACGTCCGGATTTGTCTTCTCCTCCGAGCAACGACTGGTAAGGTCGGAGTTCTACTGAGTACGTAGGGTGTCACCCAGAACACGGCGCGTCAACGCGTCAATGATGAACCAATCAAAATTGCCACGTAAATGACGTAGAAAATAAGCATAGGTTTGATTGGTTAATTTTTGACGCGGGTTGAGTCTCTCTCTGTATGACACCTGACGCGCTCAATGAGACTCCGGGATCACTTCACGCAGAGATGAGCAGGTGCTGCTCCTGCTCATCTCTGCTTCACTTGAAATATTTTCAGATGGAGCTACTTACTCGATTCACACATTTGTAAGATTTATGCATGTGTTTGTGACATGATTTGGGGGGAAATTACAGGTTACATTCTGTCTGTAAATATTCAAGGGGGAATAGAAAAATTCGTGACACCAGAATTTCATTATAAATATGGAAGAGCATAATACATCTGTGGTGGTAAATTTATTATTATTCATTGAATTATAATTGTTAGTAGAAGTTAATGTAATTAATGTATTTAAAACATTATAGTTGCCGTTTGGTCCCCCACCAATTTTGCAAGATATTAAAGAGGAATTAAAAGGGTACATCGAATGTCCGGAGAGACTTCCGATTCATCAGATCGAAAATGTTCAGATTTACTGGCCTCGAGAGCCCGATGTGCTTTCGTTACTGGAGTTTGACTTAGCCCCAACTGGTACTACTTTGAAGTTTGATAGAGATCCTATGACGGGAAGTCTTGGCAAAATGCAAGAGGTTGCGTTACAAGGTGCAGGAGAAACCGTTCGGAATTCCGTGTCAATGACTCGAGCACCTGGACCTCCTACCGAAGGAGTCAGAGGTAAACTGAATATTGTTAATCTCTGCACTGTCACTACACTTTGTCTTTATTTTATTTATAAATTCTCTTGATAGGTAATGCCAATAATATACTGTTTCTACCGGGTGGCTTTGAGGAACCTAAGCCAATGGTTACCAATGTAACAAACGATATAGACTTTGAGAATAATTTAAGAACATTAGCCAAAGGGTTTAAATCAGGAATTGAATTTAAAAGCGACAACTGCACTCCGATCGGTGCAGCCGATCCGGCACCTAAGCTGTTAGAAATAGAGAAAATCAATGGAAAGTCTGAGTCAGTAAATTTAATGGACATGGTTCACGCTGAGGAGAGTTCTCTAGGATTATGGTCCATGCCATCGAATGAGACGAAACTTAATGCAGATAATTCTATTCCGGATGTTAAAGTCGATTTGAGTTCATTGAATAATATTACGGATTCAACAGTTGGATTTGACATACCTGTTCTAAATATAAGTCAACCAAGTAAAGCTCAACAAAAGGAGTGGGCAGAAGAAATAGACGTATCTGTCCCAGTTACTGATTTTGAAAAGAAAATTCCAGATCCAGCTTTTAAGTTTGACTATGAATTAGATACTTTTCAAAAACAAGCTATTATTAAGTTGGAAGAAGGCTGTAACGTGTTCGTGGCAGCTCACACTTCTGCTGGAAAAACCACTGTTGCTGAATATGCTATTGCATTAACTCAGAAACATATGACAAGGTAAATTATAAGACCATGTTCTACTTTTACCACATTCTACCTTCAAAATTAAGTTATCTGCAATCTTTTAGAGCAATATATACATCTCCCATAAAAGCACTTTCGAATCAGAAATATAGAGACTTTAAAGACAAATTTGAAAGTGTTGGATTAATAACCGGAGACTTACAAATTAATCAAACTGCATCTTGTCTTATAATGACTACGGAAATTTTGCAGTCAATGTTATACCATTCATCTGAAGTTCTTCGAGATTTGGAATATGTCATATTTGACGAGGTCCATTATATAAATAATCAAGATGTGAGTCATTCTAGTTTTAATATAATATTCGGTGTAATTTCTTTGAAAGTAGTTTTATTGCTAAATATTGACTCTTAATGTGGCAATAGCGTGGGCACGTTTGGGAAGAAGTCATCATTTTATTACCAGCAACTGTGAATATTGTAATGTTGTCTGCCACCGTTGCAAAACCATTAACGTTTGCACAATGGGTCGGACGAATAAAAGAAAGGAAAATGTACGTGATAACAACTTTAAAAAGACCTGTACCACTGCAACATTACTTGTACTACGGAAATGATGAAAAAACTAAAGACAATAGAGTTTTGGTTCTTGACTCCGATGGACCATTTTTATTAGATAAGTATGTCCCATTCTTTTCTGAAACATTTCATCGATGTAACTTGTTATTTACATGATTTTTCGTGAAAAATTGGTTACAGCTGGTATAAGGCAAAGACTGAAACCGATGCCCAAAATGCAGCAAAAGATAAACTGAAAAAGGGTCCTCGAGTAAATCCAAATTCACCACTTAATTTGAAAAATGATAAAAAACTATTGACGGTTTTCATAAAGCACCTTAAAGATAAGGTAATACATGCTTAGTGCAATAAATACCGTATTGTTCGAACCATAAACTATTTCAATGTCACACAGAAAACTATTGTTTCTGCAGCAAGAATTGCCTGTGGTAATATTCATATTGTCAAGGAATCGTTGTGACAAATACGCCGAGATGTTAAGGTCCATAAGTTACTTGACAGATCAGAGCGAAAGATTAAAGATCAATGCATACTTCTGCAAGTGTGTTAAAACATTAAGCCCATCCGATCAGAAATTGCCCCAAGTTCTGAATCTGCAACAACTTTTAAAATCTGGTATAGGCGTACATCACAGTGGAATACTTCCCATTTTGAAGGAAATTGTCGAGCTTCTGTTTCAAATGGGACTCGTAAAGGCAAGGAATTACATAGTATCACCTACCGGCAATAAATTTATAATTTTTACTACTTCAATTGATTATTCTAATAACATGTGATTTAATTTTTAGTTATTGTTTGCCACGGAAACTTTTGCAATGGGTGTCAACATGCCAGCTCGTACCGTAGTGTTCGATTCCATCAGAAAATTCGATGGAAATGAATTCCGAACACTGTCAGCCACGGAATACATTCAAATGGCAGGTCGAGCAGGTCGAAGAGGAAAGGATAAGACAGGAAATGTCATAATACTGTGTAAACCTGACGTGCCAGATTTCAGAAACCTGAAGACTATGATGTGCGAAGTTCCTCAGCCCCTGCAATCGCGATTCAAGATAACTTATTCAATGATTCTTAGTCTTAGAAGGGTCAGTGAATCCGTCACTGTGGAGGGAATGATGCGCAGATCTTTCAAGGAAACGGCAGTTAAGCGAGAGCAAAAATATAAAGACGAGCTAAGTAAAATAGAATCCGAGCTAGCCGATTTTCCGCCCTTGACTGACTCGCAGAAAGAACTGACTGAATTTTATGAGGTAGCCACAGATTATGTTACCGAATGGAAGACTTTGAGACCACACGTGATTCAGTGTAAGCAAGGTGCAAAATACATGACCGCAGGCAGAATTCTACTGATATCGTATAAGAAGCATTTTAGAAAGTTGGCTCTTCTACTTACCATTACTCCAAAGGATTATGATATCGAATATAAAGTCTTGGTTTTGAAAGACACAAGTGAAGCCCCGAGTAAAAATAACGAGTCGCAGAAGGGAGGAGACGTCGGTGTTACCTGGGACGAATTCATTGCTCTGACAAAAACTGAAGTATTTGTACCGGATGAAGCACCCCTCCACGAAGTTCTGAGCATAACTGCCGCAGATATATTGGAAATTACACAAAGCACCATTTCAATAGATTGCCGCATGATATTGAACGATTGGGAAAAACGCCAACTACCGAGGTTTAAGTATGTGCTTAAAAATGATAATACAATTAATGAATTTGACTGTTTACACACTGCAGTGTTTCTAAACTGCTTATAATATACTGCGGTTTTTATGACACATTTAATGTTATTGTGAAAATCATTATTTCTTTTAGGGATGATCCTCCAGGTCCAACCTGTCAAACAGCTATTCAGAACTTGCTGATGTTTTCTTTGAAAATAAGAGACCAGTCGAATTCTACGAGTTTTGTCAAACTCAACATTAGCCATCCAGACTTATTAGATCGATGTAAATATGCAGAAAGACTCAAGAAAAGATTGAGTACCATGAAATGTATCAAAGCCGCCAATTTCGAAATAGATTTTCAAGAAGTTTTTAAGCGAAAGCAACTCGAGAAATTGATGAATGATATTAGATTCAGGCTTAGCGACGAAAGTCTATTCCATTATAGTGATTACATGAACAGAGTACAGATCCTAAAGGATTTAAAATATATCGATGAAGATGATAGAGGTTAGTATGGATGATATTTCATTTGTCGGTTTTCTTATATTAACTCTTTGTCACTGAATCCTCAGATATTCTTGGCAAGGCTACCGTGCCTGCGGAAAATATGACCACAAAGAGTTAAAATATTTAAGAAGTTTTGTGTTCTTGCATAAATCGAGGTTATGTTTAATAATATGAACTCTTTATCTTTAATAGTATCTCTGAAAGGTAGGGTTGCCTTGGAAATGGGGACCCATGAATTACTGATAACCGAGTTGGTATTAAGGGCTGAACTAATAACATTGCAACCAGCTGAAATAGCAGCGCTTTTATCAGCGCTAATTTTCCAACAAAGAATCAACGTATCGCTTACAGAATTGACACCAACTTTAAAAGAGGTATCGTCTATTTTCGCTTATAAATATGTAAACTGTAAAAAGAGAATGATCTTGTACATTTCAAGAAACATTTATCGTTTAGGGTTGTAAAATTATGGAAGACATACAAAAAGAACTGGAGACGGTGGAACGTCGGAACAATGTTGAACCCATAGAGGCATTAAACTTTGGATTAGTAGAAGTTATATATCACTGGGCACGAGGTGTGGAGTTCGCTCAAATCAGGAAAAAGACTACTGTTCAAGAAGGAATCATCGTACGATGCATTCAACAACTGAATGAGACATTGCGCGATGTTAAAAATGCAGCCATTATTATAGGTGAATCAATTTTAAAAGAAAAGATGGAGGAAGCGTCCACTGCCATTAAACGAGACATCGTTTTTGCGGCCTCATTGTACACTCAAGATTAAGTCCTTACTTTACTGTATATTTATAATGCTTTGAGAGAACACGATGGAGAATAGTGTATTTTATTTAAGGTAGTTATATTTTCATAAATAGGATTTTGAAACAAGAAATAGGTCCCATACTCCTTACAAAATTTAAGGAGATTTATACCATTTTACCGATTAATGTCATTTTTATAATTTTGCCGCGTTGAAAATGTGTATCGTGCTGTTGCACAAATAAATGTTTAGTATCGTTTTCCTACCATCTATAAGTTTCTTACCTTTTCTCCACTTCGTAACAAATTTTCTCCAAGTGGTAACGGCACCAATAACTAACATGTATTTTTAGAAAGCACTTTGAAAACAACTTGACTTTCGACTTAACTTACAGTATTTACTTTTATCAAAAATTCGTGTAATCCATTTTGAAATCGTTAGGAAAATAACAAACTGTACTATAGCGCACGTTGATCTGAATTGTTAAGGTTTCCCTGACCCTTGTTTAGGTCTGAAATACATATCCACTGACCTTCTGTATTTTCTCGCCATAACGAAATCTTATTATCTCCACCACTAACAGCTAAAATACCACCAATTAAAGACCAACTGACACTCCAAATGACATCATCAAAGACGTTCAAAATAATAGGTGTCCAACTTGTATAATCGGTTGAATTCCAAATAACTACTCGTCGATCTTGCGAACATGAAGCTAAAGCTGCTTTAGATGATCCTATGGCTGGCGCCCATGCCACATCTCGTACCTAAAGTATAGTAAATTTTTAAGGTAAAGTCATTCTCCATAACGCAGAATCTGTCATGAAAAATAATATAGACAGAATGTATAGTACGCATACCCAGTCACTGTGTGCTTCTAATTTGTTTTCTTCTATCCATCTGTCACCTTCTTCCCTCCAGATTTTAATTAAGTTATCACACCCTCCGGAAGCTAGTCTTTTGACATTTTTCTGATGAGAAGTTGTAGAATCGAGTACTGGTTCAATTGCTGGGCACCAGCTTACTGCGTTACAACCAATAGTATGTGCATTTGGTATCTTCTGTGACTCCCAGGTTTCTCCATTACTAACAAGAATAGAGATCGACCCATCGGAACTACCACACGCCAAAATTAATCCAAAAACGTGCGGCGCCCAAGCGACAGAGTTTACCGAAGAGTCATGCGCCGTATGTTCATAGATTTTTGTCCATTCTCCCAATTCCTTCCAAATAATTACCTTCCTGTCGATCAATAGGAACATTAAAATTATACAAACGTAAAGGATTAAAACATGATATAAATATACTCTATAACTGTGATAACAGTGTGTTGAATGTTCACCGAACATTTGAGTAGTACGAGAACAGTACATGTACAATCTTACCTATCGTAACTGCAGGAAGCGAGAATGTTCCCAAATTTAGGATGTGCCCAAGCAACTTGCCAAACAGGGCCAACATGTCCTTTCAAGTCAGCAACGAGGCTCTGAGAACCGTTTTTTAAGTCGAAAATCTTTACCGAGCTATCACTTGAGCAAGTGGCTAACCTCAATCCATAATAATCCATCTCGGCATCATGGATCATATCTTCATGGCCGGTGTCGACCGTATTTAAAACTGACACCATTTTTTCGTGACAAAAAAATCGGTTCACGCAGAATTAATCTACCACCTTGTTTTATTTAAAAATTACACCAGTTCCGACATTGGTTACTGTCACTTACGTGGAACATGTGCGTCAACCAGAGACAAAGAATGCGGGTATTCTTTGACTGAACTACAGGATTATAAACTTGCTCAGTCGGTAAAGAAGTCCACAACGTTATCACAATTTAATGGCGTAAACAACTCACTCGTCGTGTACCGGAGGGAAATATAACCTCTTGTAAATAATTGTGTAATATTTCTTAAATTATAGTGTACATATTGATATTTAAAGCAGTCGGTGAATACAGTAAACATGGTGAGTTCTCAAAATCCAGAATGTAATCTAATAAATAACACTGTGAAGAAACTAATTATTTACTTGGGTTTTGTTTGCAGGCCCGAAATGCAGAAAAGGCTATGTAAGTCATTATTAGTAATTAAGAACTGTAATTCCTTTCTGTATTTAGATAGATAAACTGTTGGTTAATGATTATTGTCAGTTCCATGCTACGTGTTTTTTTAAATATGATTAATTGATTTTAGGACCACTCTTGCTCGGTGGCGTGCAGCACAGAGTAACGAGGGGGCCAGAAAGGAACAAGAAAGACGACCGTACTTGGCTTCTGAATGTCGAGATTTAAGGAAGGCTGAGAAATGGCGAATGCAGATTATCAGAGAGATTGCAAAGAAAGTCGCACAGATTCAAAATGCCGGTTTGGGTGAATTCCGCATCAGAGATTTGAACGATGAAATTAATAAGCTGTTGCGTGAGAAAAGACATTGGGAGGCGCAGATAAAAGAGTTAGGTGGTCCAGATTATTCTCGGGTTGGACCGCGTATGTTAGACCATGAAGGAAGAGAAGTATGTATGCTTTATAACTGGATAAAATATTTTTATGCATAGGTTAAATACCACTAAGTGTGTTTTATGCTCAGGTTCCTGGAAATCGTGGTTATAAATACTTTGGTGCTGCAAAAGAGTTGCCTGGTGTAAGGGAACTGTTCGAACAAGAGCCTCCTCCGCCGCCTCGTAAAACACGTGCCGAACTTATGAAAGACATTGATGCAGATTATTATGGATACAGAGATGACGACGATGGTATCTTACTGCCCTTAGAACAAAAGGCAGAGGAGGAAGCTCGAAGAAAAGCAGTTATCGAGTGGGAGGAAAGAAGTCAAATCGAAGCCACTGTAGAAGGAGAAATCGAGGCAACAGCACAGAAACCAATTCCGTCACAGCAAGATATTCAGCAGGCGTTGTTAGCCAGGAAAAAGCAAGAGTTGTTAGAAAAATATGTTATTTGACAAGTACTCTTTATTTTTGGCTCTGTCGATTGGTAACAACTATCATTAAGTTCATCGCAGTTAGTAATATTAGAGTACACCTTTATAAAACTCGACAAATATAATTATTATCATTAATTTATAATTACATCGTAACATTGATTAAAATTTAATCATTTTGTGCAGTAGACGTTTAAACTTTAATGAATATTTACCAAGAAAGAGTGCTTTAGATAAAACGTGGACAAAAATCCAACATACATTCATGTCATCGAAATATATATTGGAACAATCATTGTTCTCGTAACCCGTGCTGCGGAATCAGAAATTTCTAACTTTGAATCCGTCGAATCCCCTGTCAATTTTTTATCACAAAAAGAAATATATCACACGTGAAAACGGAATGTTTTAATGTGCAAAGTAGAAGTTACACTTCCACAATCATCGGTCCATTATATATGTCAATTGTTTGCACACAGTCCATAATCACAATGTCTCTTTACAAACCATGCATTTCAAATATCGTAAATGGAAAGAACAACCAGTAGAAGTACACATTACATTCGCCAGTACGTTTCCTTTTTGTCAAAAGATGGACAAAATTGCATCGATATACAACCCAAAAGCTGTGTGCAGATGAGTACCGTTGTTCCTGGTAACACGATGTGCTGTTTAAAGACAAATTGTTTTCCACATAACCATAGTGCGAGGACTCAGGAAGACTCAAAAGGCTTTCTCCAACTTTTCTACCAAGAAATGCATCTCGCGTCGATTCAAGTAATAATCTTAAGTAAAAAGTCATATACATGATGTATTACACATCACTGCAAGCGCGACTTTGTTTAATGCTATAATGACGCATTGTTACGCAGGCATTCGATTGCACCGTAATATGTAAAATTATTGAGACTATTCTCCAGCCAAAGAATGGTTTACGAAGAACTAAGGTGTGTACATTGATAAAAATGCCCGTGTAAATTTACATACTCAATCATTGGTTATTTCGATGGCACGATAAATTGCAGGAAAATTACATTGTCTTCGTACTATTGTTACATTTAATTCAAGTAAAAATGCACTGATGCGGTAAATATACACTTTCTAATTTGTAATCTTTCCGTTTAATGTTTGTCTATCTGAAATTTCAGTTACGAGGTGTGTACAAAATGTATGTAAATTTTCACAGATATTTTTATCAGTGCGTAATCAATTTTCAAGTAGTTCCCAGAGTCTCGAATTACGCGTCCACCATGAATGGACAGGCAGAACAATTCGAGGATCGGTTATGAATTAATTATGCGTACGTAGTCTGTACCTAGACTTTTCTTTAGAATCTAGATCTCCTTAAATACGTTTCACAGCTTCCGTTTGTCCGTTTATCAGTCGCCCCTTTCAACGCTCTAGTGAACTCTACTTGCGTTATATGCAAATTTGATATCCGACTAGGACTAACTTCGTTAATACTGACCGACTAAACCGCTACTTTACCTTTTAATATCAATGCTAAAAATCACATCTGCATTTACGAGGTGCATTTGCGAGTTATTGTGCGTCTTGAATGTTAAATCTATCGCGTGTACTTCCGTTCTCGTTCTACTCGAGAAGAGTACAATGGTAGACATGAATGCCACCCCTGCAGATACGACATCGCCTGTGCAGTATAGGAGAGCATTGATGTCTCCCAGTGTACAGCGGTATCCCAATTTAAGGGGATTCCCCGATCCACCTCAGACCGTTCCACTGAACAATAAAAAATCCCATTGAACCAGGGAAATATATTTTTGAGTACCAAGGAGTAATTTCATCAATTCAAAGAATAATTCTTTCACTGGAATAAATTGGATGCAACGTTCCTTCGTAATTGTGACAATTCCTTTGAGTTCATTCGAGTTAAATAATTATTAAAATATTTCTTTGGTTCGATGGATTTCTTTCCTCGGTGCAGGAACAAGCAAGGCTGAGTACCGATTTAAAGTGCGAAACTTTTGTGTAAAAACGATCCTTCGTAGATCTCTTATCCATCAAGGATTAGCAAACACCTCTTCCCAATGGCTTGCTATTTACAAGAGTCTTGGGAGTAAGAGTACGTTTCCCATTTAATTTTGGGAAAGCTGACAAATCGATCCTTCTAATTCAAATGTAGATGTTTAGAACATCGAACCCCCGTTAAAGGATTTCAAGTATGAAGTTAAGATTTAACCAAGGCACGGGGACTTCCTGGTCGCCAGGCGAACAGAAACGGGGAACCCCAGTTTAAGGTGATGCAAAAGTGGCGTCGAAATGCTCGTTTATGAAACTTTTCTCCAAACTGGACGTGCCAAATCGTTTGAAACTTTACAACGTGAATATGGAGACCACAAGGAAGGCCTTCAAATTTTCATGAAATATTCTTTATAAATATTAAGAAAGAATGAAATTTCATGGGTGTCAGGACCTTCCTTCTAGCCTCCATTGTCACGTTGCTAAGTGTTAAGGTTTCATGACCGGTTGACTCCTCTGATACCAGTTTCAAATCCCCTTAAGGTGAACTCCATTTTGAAACATTTTAAATGGGTATCCAACCTTGGGAATAAGGCTAATCGCCGAGCCAACTGGAACGGACAAGCGTTTCGGAGAGATCAAAAGGACGAAGTAAAAAAAGGCGAACGATCGAAGTTGGCTCAAGCGCAGATTGTACCGAGAGGTAGCGATTCGCTGGAATCATCTCGGCCTGGCGATCGACACCATTAAGTACAATGTAACTCCGTTATAACGCAATTTACCCAGTCACAAAGACGGACGTTCTTCCGTGCCGGACAACGGCGTCAAAATCTGCAAAATGCAAAGCACCGGGTTCGCCTGAGCGCCAAGAGTTTCGTCGAAAAAATGCGCCGACAAAAGTTAGAGGAACAAATGGCTCCTAGGTGCTCTAAATCGTCATAACGGAGTTTTACAGGATTATTGTATCAATAACTAGGATCAATCTCGCGCCATTTTGGTATCCCGAGGTCGCACTCGGTGCGACCCAAAGACCAATTGTGGCACTTTATCACATAGTCAAAAATCGGTTCGAGTCAGCTCGTTGGCCCAGGGACCCGATTCTCGAGTTCATACGGATTGTTCTCGCGTACGAGTAGATTCGCATGAAAAACCTCCCACCGTTATACGAGCTCTCGTCATTGGTCAATGTTTCAAAGTCCTCTGCGAAACTATCTATTTCCCATGGGACAGTCGATCGTATGAACTCGAGAACTGGGTCCCAGATCGCGCGCAACTCCCTTAAAGCGTCGCTCGTCACTTCGAAGATAAAAATCTCAAGTTATCCTAGAACGTGTATTAGAATTCCCGCATAAACGAGCCCCGAACAATGCCGAGGACTCCGTCATGGCGCAGCGATAGGCGGAACACGAGATGCATCGGCAAAGAAGGAGAATCCTTTAAGGGCGTCCCCTTCTTTTCACACCCTTGCCGTGATTCAAGGGAGTTTGACTCCGCTGAGACGATATCCCGTGGTCAAGAGTTCTTAACTCTCTTGTTTAACGTGTTTCAGGAATCGCCATCTCTTCGGATAGGGTGAAATCTTGCGTTAACAAGGCTCCATAGCGGGGGACCAGGCGAAATGGAAAGCTTGCAGCTGACGGAGTCCTCTAGACGAGGATCCTTGTGCACTTCGGCGGCAAATGGTCACACTGGGACCCGCCAAAATGGAAACCTGGTATAAGGACGTTCTCGTTTGCTTTGTTGCGTTTTGACGAAGGTTGGCCATGGTACCGTCGACCTGGAGGTCGAGTCTTCTGGTTCGAGATACCGAACTCCTTATAAACGTGCTCTCGTTTGCTCCATTTGTTGCGTTTTCGCGGAAATTAGGGATAGCACCATCGACCTGGACATCGAGCCTCTTGGTTCGAGGTGCTGGACTCCTTATAAGCGTGCCTCGATTTAGAAATCGAAGGGGTAGCATCTCCCAAAGACACTTAGAGTCAGGGGTCTCTTCAGGGCGACTGGACCCTCCTGGAGGAGGAGTTCTTCTCCAAGTAGACCGCTCGTGCTCTGAATATCTTCTCCTAGACCCGCTGGGCTTTGGTTATATAACTCGGATCCTCTTGGTTACAGCTGGAACGATACCGATGGATGTCGAAGGATGCTCATCCGCAAGAGGAACTGACTCTGGGTCCGCTCTTCAGGGACGCAGCAAGGAGTGCCAGCGTTGCACCTGCGTGGGCTGCCTTGCAGCTCGCATATCGTTCCAATGCTGCAGCTCGTCGGTCCCTGAGCTGTTAAGTCCTAGACACAGCCACCCTATCATCTCTCTGCTCTTCCTGCCCATGCCGCCTCTTCGGCGGTTGTACACGGATATGAACAGCGTTACGTCCCCCAGTTGGAACAAGGCAACCTGCGGATTGTTTGGACATATCAGCATTACCTAAACGTTGCTTAACAAAATTATCTAAAGAAGAGGGAATCGCTGTTTTGTAGGTACATCATGAACATCTACTTTGAAGACCCCTCGCTGTAATGCTCTACACTCTACCTGGAAGATGAATGTCTCTTTATAAAGCGGATTCGGCTGGGAGCGTTTCAGCCCAGTTTTCGAGCGCCCCATCTCATGGCCGTTGCTGTTCACCAACGCCAACTTGACGTAAGTGTCTGGAGGCTTTGTGTCGCTTCCACCACCTCCTCGAAAATGCGAACCCTTGATGATTTCGACGGACAGGCGACCCGTGGTGCCGTTGTATGCGAGCCCTATCAGGATCTCGGCTACGCTTCCGCCTTTCATGCTGTTCCCATAGGCTGGTAGAGTTCGCGATGCGTATGATTGCACGGATTGCTGGGACCCGGTGGAGTCGCTACGCGTTAAGCTTCCACTCATTCCCCAATCCTGTGCCTGAAATGAATAATTGAAGAACTCATTAGCCTCGGTTCGTATATTCACCTGCTTATACGAAAGTAGTAATCTATTAATATTGCGCCCACCAAGCACACTATGTTACAATTGCATAACACTGGAATAACATGATGTACAACGGAAGTTATTCCAAAGATACATTGATATCATGTAATGTCGAATTGTTACAGTTTCATTACGTATTACAAACGTTGTGCAGCGGTTATATCTTTGCTACGTTGTGATTGGTGGACGTTAAGTTAAATATGAAAAATTGGGGTATGGCCACTAACAGGTGGAGGCTGCAGAGGTACCCAAAGCGTCGTTTCCAACTGCAGGTCGATTTGGTCAAACGAAACCCTGGCTTCTCCGAGCAGTCTCTCTCGGCGCATCCTTCCACCCCATAGGTACACTCTGAGTCTGACTCCCATCGCATTCACGTCTTCAGGGTTGACTCGAGGTAGGAGAAAGCTCTCCATATACTGCGGCGTGCTGCCTTGTCGCACCCGGGTTTTGCGCCTTTGCTTCTTCGAGGGCAGCAGGACGAGGCGAACTTGACTGCCGTTTATCCCTGGGGGGTAATTGCGACCCTGGAGGACGTGCACCTAGGCGAAAGGTAATCGAGTTAGATGGAAACTTCCTCTGAATTTAATAGCGTCATTTAAGTAGTATCGCGTCAAACATTTAGCTCCAAATGTCGATGCAATTTTACATATGATATTAACTCAGAGAAATTTTTCAGGAAGGATTAGAGGAGACGAGAAGTACCGTCATTTCCCGCATCGGCGCGTCGTATAAGAAAGCTACTTCGAGGGTGCCGATTTCATCGGCCGGCACTCCCATCGACGTGATACCGTCGTTCACCGTAACAGCATTCTGCTCTTCTTCACCTTCGGCTTCACCTCTGTTATCCAGAAGAATACCCGAGGTGCCCACTTCCACTATGCACTGAAACAGAAGGTATCATTTTCTAAAACCTCCGTCAGGTACGGCCGTCAGAAAATATCTAAATAATTGTTTATAATAGTTTAATATCACTTATTCTATTCTAATTATTTTATTATACGAGTGTTCGTAATATAGAATCTCAACGGACAAGGTTAAATAATTCATGAGGTACCTGCTGCTGATCCGGGGAATGTTCCTCGGTGCAGCTGCTCGATGTGGTACCTGCATCTGACAAATCCATTATCAGCTGTTAGATACTGTGCAATGTGTGGATATTAATAATTTATTAATTTGTGGTTCAGGATAGACAAAAGGCATGCAACATCCAACGTCTACCGTGCAATTTGCATAGATAATTACCCACAACAGTCGGTCCATCTTCAGCCTGGATAGTGAGGGTATCAGGAGGTGGATGAGGACGCGATTTCAACCTTCGAAGAGCGTCTTCCTCGGAATCAGAACTCGTTTCTGGATCTGAGTACGAGAAGGCGTTTCCTGGGTAGCAGAGTACAGACTCTTCGATAAAATGTCCAACATAAAATATCCATCTCAAGGTATAACAATACCAACATGTTCAACGATTGTTTTTTTTTCTATTTCTAGAAATGTTAATGAGCCTCGAGAAAATGATCTCAAATGACGCGCCGAAAATATTGAAAGATTTCCGATTTAATAATTTAAAGAAAGGAGAAGCGAGATAATTACACGAAATAATTTAAGAGATTCCCTCATTTCATTTCAGGATTACCAAGGATAATTATCCAACGCACTGAAAGGAAGCATTGACCAAATAAAGCACTTTCAACGACAGTAATTGCTTTTAAATGATGAACTATTGATCGATAATCCTTCATTATGAAGAGAGTTCATGTCAGTGAGATCTTTCATGTAATACAGAGGGGAGATAAACATCCTGTACATTGTTTAATTTTGAACCGTTAGAAGGTTCGCCTGCGGAAAACACTTAGAACATTTGTTGAAACAATGTTATACATAATGTTTCTGGACGAAACTCCGATGCGTTACGTTGATAATTGTTTATCTTGAGCGGACTTTAATTTCCAGTGGCTTTGTGCGGGAACTTTTCTCCGCCCTGTAATTTTTCCCCCAAAGCAAAACTAGTTTGGCACAATACGCTTAAGTCGTTTCATTACCTAGGCTCTTCGATATCTGGGTCGTGGGATTATTGTTGGACTCGCAGAGGGGCACGCAGACACCGCCGAAAAGCGCCGACGAGGAAGGCGGAGTGAAGCACCACTTGCGCGACAAGTATAGGAAGATTACCAGCAACAGAGCAACGGAACCGGCAATGGCACCCAGAAAGGCAGTCGCTTCCGCCGGAACTGAAAACCCATAATAAATTAACATCGACAATATCTCGCGTTAATTACAGAATGTCCGCTCTTAAACGCTTACATTAACCGAAACGCAATGTTTTGCCCGTCTATACAAAAGAAAAAATATTACGAGTACACGTGAAGCTAATATACAAATATATAAAAATAACAATCCAAAGTAAACGTTTGGGGAATATTTCAAATGTCTGCTAAATATTTACAAGATGTACGATATTCGTTGGATCTATAGGTAGGATGAGAGAAATATTTTCTGCTACTGGGGTAATTAATGCCTTCCCGTTAACACAGGAATGCCGGGGAGCGTTTAGGATAAACGATACCGCCGACCCTGAAAATTTAATAATAATTAAACGCGGATCAAAATGGGGTAAAAAACGGGGAAAGGGGTTTAAATAATTGACGATACGTATTCCTAGACAGGTAGGACTCGTGGATTCGAGATAGGTGCGATTCTCGAAACCATCTCACACGATTGCGCAATGCGGTGCACCGTGGTCACGTCCCGCGTGCATTCATATCCGCATAAGGAAGTACAGCCAATAAAGTACAAAGGGTCCAGAACGATCTGCATACCCCGGGGACATAAATCTCCCTTGTACCTTTAAAAAGAAATAAAACCTTGTAATTAATCGGCGTCCCCCCGTGTATCGCGTCTTAATAACCGCTAAGACGGAGTAACGTATATACGCAGCTGTTTAACGGAGATATCGGTGAAGAAATTCATCCGTCGTCGGGTGAACAAATGACCGTTATTTTCACGAGCGTCCGGTGAGATTGTTCACGGGAGTAAAGTCGACTTTCGGAGCGCTCGCTCGTGCGAACGGAGTGGACTTACCCGCCAAGAAATGGTCTGATCCGGCCAGAATCATGCTCGGTTTTGTCCCCTGAGCCTTACTCGCGCTGCTCGCAGCCTAGCAGAGTTTCGCGCCCGAAGGATGGATACATCATCCGCCCGCCAGGGTGTCGTGGCCCTCGGTTGTTTGATTACAAGCGTGCTGCTACGGTGAATTATACGTGGGCGGGGGTATACGGCACTCTGTTGCTCACTGGGACGTGCGCCTGCAATACCTTGACCCGACGGACGCGTGCGCCTGCCCGGTCGTCTCTCGCGTGTGCGGAATGCGACGCCCGCGGGCGAACTCTTGGAACTACCTTCTAGTTACCGACCATAGGTACGTCCATGTGACCGAATCAATCGAGTCGGTAATATCAGATAAGAGTTGGGAATATCAGATTGCTCACGGGCAGGGTCGAGCGATTGTGGCGGGCCCCAGACGAAGTCCGGCCACCGGCCATCAGGGGCGTGGCGCGCGCGAGCGCGATGCGTTCAGGACGGGGCAAACTGCGTTACCCCGCGTGCACATTACTGTACTTACCTCGAACGAAAAGACGTCCACGTCGTAAAATGTTTGAGAAACGGTTGAAAATCGGAGGAGAAGATTTTGTGACCGATTCTAAAGCGCACGTGGAAATCCGCTCCTTTTTCTGTGATAATAAGGCAATAACTATAGATAAAGTTGTGACATATATTCGACAATCCCCCACACGATCGCATCCTGTGCTGCCCTCTGGTGTCGTACGTTAGCTTTCACCATAAATATGCAAACTCGAGCCTAAACGTTTCGACTGACACGTAAATTTGGATTCACTAGGCATGGATCCGAGAAATTCCCGATTTATAAGTATGTACATTAAATCTAGGGAGCTGGAAATCAGCCCAAAGTCGACCATCACAAATTCTGAAGTTCGATGGCGTGGAGTTAACGGCGGCAAAAATTCAAATCGGAAAGAAAGAGAGCCTTGCCTCGCCCAGTTTTCCACCACGAGGTGAAGTAAAGATAGGCTCGCTCGTGCGGGAAATATCGACGAGGAGGACTTATCTAAAAGGACGGTTTATCAACCAAGATTGAATAATCCCAGGAGAGTTGCGGCTTTCCTCCAAGATCGAAGCCACTGACGAACGGCAATGCATTACGTGGCTCTATTCTTAGCTGAAGGCTCCTCGTGAACAGTCGTCGAGACTGCAGTCGATAATAACCACCGATCGAGTCCCCCTACCTGCATTCTTCTCTCACTATCAGTTCTTTACTCAGGGAGGAACGTTTCGCTGGGATTAATCCGCGCATAAGGACGATAGTTTTGGCCTTAACTTTCGTCAGGTAGTGTACATACCCCTGCCCCTTACGGACGTCCCAGTCACGAGCAGTAGGGAGCATTGCGAGTACTCGAGAAGTACCGTCAAGGTGTCTCGCGTCACCTCACGGTTACGTCAAAAATTAGCTTAGTGATCCCATGAATTTTCTTTCTCCTCGGTTACCATTCGCGGCGGTAATTCATTATGTCAAAGTATCTCGAGTGTCCCCACTGTAATTGGTCCTCGATTTAATTGAAAATTATATAATTTTTCGAAGGAGGTGCGTGACCAGCGGACGACACCAAACGTCAAAATCCTTGGTCGACGGGAAACGTGACTTTCCCTTTTAGAGAGATCCTGGGCTCCTCGTACCACCGTTTCGATTTACAATTATTCCCAGGCAGTAAAGCTTCTCTTTGAGGTTTTCATATTCTAGCACTTGGAGGCCTTTGGATACCGATTTATTCGACGGTATAATATCCGACGAGAGATGCGCTGCCATTAGGAATCGAGAAAAGAAATATAAAGGGTACGTTTAGAAACGCATTGAGAAGAGCCTAACGGGATATTGCTCGACCCTTCGATAGTTTTACAATGAACGCTAGCGAAACGTTTAATATAACGCAATATAAAGCATCTTGGAATCTCAGTTCCTTTCAGCTAACGATATCTACTGGGTGCAGTCGAATAGGATTCCGTTGGGCTTTCGATGGTAGACCTAGCGAGTTCTTTGATTGCAACCGTCGTTTACTGCTAGATTTTGCTGATTAAAATATAGGAGTTTGCTCCGTTTTATTATCTAAGCGGAACTAAGTTTTTTAATGTTCGTACGGAATACTTTGAAAGCGTTCATGGTATTATAATTATGTGATATTTAGCCATATGGAGTTTGAATACAGTATATTGGTCTAGTGCTAGGTTGCTTTTGTAATCCAAAAGCTTTGTTGTTATTTTGAACATATTTTTAGGGTGCCAACAACTGCTAAGAAGTTTCTAAGGGATATCCACGCTGAGTCTCTACAGAGAGATGCCAGCACCGCCACCGTCGATCCCCACCTTACCCGAAACACCTACTTGTGAAAAAACAGAACCCAACGATAACGACGCACTTCCTCCTTGGGCCAAGATTACCCTTACATCGGCAGAAGCTGAGATAGAAAAATTAATTTCGAGAAATGAACTCAAAGATGCAGAAGTTACGTACTTCTGCCAGGTGGAACCGATTCTCCAAGATGGGCCACAGTGATTATCTTTTTAACTTTTATATTTTGTTAATCGCTTGTTTCCATGTGTAGTCACTTTTCTCGTTTGACAGATGCGGACTTGTGGCACTTGCAATGGCATCGCAAGAATATACAAAGCCAGTTTCTGTGAGCCAGCTTTTGGCAGAAGCTCGAGTGAGAGGATTTACGCAGCACGGTGAAGTGTACAGTGTCGATTTTATGGGGACACTTGCAGCGGAATATTTACCAGATCACAGACCTGATATTTTAGTTGATTTACAAACGTGTCCAGACTCATTGACTCATGCTTTGGCTCATGGTGCAATGGTGCTTATTCCATATGATTCAGATTTTAATCACGCGCCTTGCCTAAAACGTGGTCACAAAGCACATTGGGCTCTTCTTGTGGGCTTAATTTCCTCCAGGTGATATATAATGTCGATACTTTTTGAAACATACTGTGATTACCTTTAAGAAACAATGAATTATTTGTTGGTACTCAAATTGTCTACCTTTATCGTTACCGTAACTTTACTGTAATGAATTTAAATGATATAGGTTATATGATATTTCTGTAGTAGAAATCTTGAAAAACAATTCATTTATTTTCTAGGCAAGGATATCATGTTCTAGCCCGTCATGGCAAGTCTCGCCATTTAGCTTGCTGGCCCCTACGTGATCTCATAGAGAGTAACGGCAACATGGAAGAAGAAGGAACTGCTAGACACGCTGGTGGTTACGTTATACCAAAGGGAGGTGTCGGAGGCCAAAGAGGATTACGTGGTAGGGCTCTCGCTTTACATCCATACATTTAAAATTTATATGTATAAATATATATATATATATTATAGATAATAAATATCACAGTGAAAGGGTGAACTCGCGCATAACGGTCTTACTTGTGAATAGTTACAGCGACGCAGCAGTCACATTTGTTAATATTGTCTTTTTTCATTATGTTTCTTGGTGGAAAGAAATCAGATATACAAATTATCTTTTGTATATAATAATTTAATTTTAGAAAAGCAGTGCAATATACTGTCGATAAGGTATGCACTGTATTCGTATACTTAGTAGTCTTGCGAATAATGTTATACGAAGGAGGGCTCTTTTTAATGTACATTTTAGTTTGATTTCATACTCTCGCTGTGATATGAGAAATAAAATATCGTGAATATACCATGTATATGGCCGTTTAGCCGTATAAATTCGGTCATATATATGGAGATATACACAGGCTCGCGCGTGGGTGATTACACGAGATAAGAGCGCACGAGTACGCATGCGTTCACTCCCGCGTCGACACACGTACGACATTTAAATGTCTAGTTAGGATTTATCGAAATTACGATCATTAGTGGAATTAAAAGGAAACTTGTGTATATTTATTTTTTAAAAGGCGATAGACTTTCAATCCCAATATCCTTATTTTTCCGCTGGCGTTACATATCGCGTGCTGACTTAAAAGTGACTCGATTTAGTGAGATGCATGAAACGGAATAACGTTTACGTGTGTTATCGGCTTTAACCGTGTTGCTTTCAAAACGGGTTGACATTATAAATTGCGATCGATCATCGACTTTCTTTCTACAAGGATTTAATAAAGAAACTAACTATTTATACTTTTTCTATCCTCGATACCGTAAACTCACCGCACAGATGATAGTTTCTTTTCCTCTCTTGGTATAAAGCTGCAATATGTATACTTCCAACATTTTAGTTTTGAAGGCAATGCGCTTATATATTTAAAAGAGTATATAGGAAATACTTGTTTATAATCTTGTTTGAAGTCTATTCACTGTATAGTTGGGAAGAATACCGTAACATAATCCTGTAGAACGTAAAGGACTATGGAAGGTAGACGTCGCGCAATTCTGTGCATAAAATTACCAAATCTCTCATTGTACAGCTGCAGTAAATCAAAGAGGTGTCATCAGTTTGTAGATGCAAGAAGTGGCTTTAACCAAATAAACAGAAAATAATGAGAAATGTTTAAATGGACTGTACCTAAGTGCCGGCAATTATGACGCGTTTGATTAATCGCAAAATTCAATACAGCTACAACAATCTTACAAATATGCTTTCATCTTTTACATCTCACTGCTTCGTTGTTACCGGTTACAACTCGACTAAGAATCACTGTAACATTTATTTGTTTAAAAATTCTCGTAATAACTTCAGTTGGCATCCAACCCTCTAGACTGAACAATTTATACTTAACAACTGCAAAGTACAACAATAAATGTTGTCTTCCTTTACCGATGTAAATTGTTAAGCTTGCATGAATTAGCAAAATATTGTAACATGAAGCTTCATTATAAATGGCATAATACTTAACAATTCTCACGGCGTCGCGTACTTTGCAATAAATAATTCATCGCATGAAATGTTCGCTTACGCATGGTGAAATCATTAATACTCGTTTAATTAAAATTCTGTCGTAAAGTACAAAAGTGTATAAAGTTATAATTTTGTAAAAATTCAAACTAAGAATAATTACTATCACGCTTCGTAACAGGATAGATCAAACGGAACGATCAAATGATATTCTTGTACGTAAGGAGTGCCAATTCGAGTGTCAAGTGTCATTGCGCTTCTTACAGTAAAATCATTCTCCTATCAACATTAAACTGACTCGCGTCAATCGATACGAATGACCAACTGAACAATTAATAGAATGCGTCATTTTCGATTAATGCATGTATAAACAATGTGCTGGGCATACTCGGTGTCGGGATGCAACAGAATACTAAAAAATACGTTACACTTATATTTGAAGCTTACAAACAACAACAACATATTCAGTTACTCTATCCTTAATTAATTTCCTTAACACCGCTTGGCTCGCAATCGTTCGATTACTAATTTTGTTGCTCTCTTTAATTATTACTCCACTGCCTCTGCTTGTGTCCCGAGCTGAGTATTAAGTAAAAAATGCAGTTTTTCCTATTAACAATTATTATTAAGGGATAAATATGCTCCGAAAGGGAGCGTTTCGGCAAAGAGTACGTCTCTTCATAATTATTACGTATTAATTCTTTGTCATTAATTAAGGAGAAGCGCGAGAATAAGAAATGATGGTGCTTAATGTAAGTCTCTCGATTATTCATATAAAGGAACGAACACCAGAGCTCAGGACACAAGAGATTCTATCCTACGGAATAGCAACAATATTATACGTATTCGAGATATTATATTTAAAATTATGTATCACATATAGGTATTTATATATATATATATATATAATATTTATTCCATCAACGATTGGGGAGTTGAATTAAAATAGGCTCTCGATGCCGAAATCTTGGATAAATTATGTCAGAATACGTAGTTATACATGGTATTACAGTAACATATTTATATATCGCTCGAGTTCGTTTTTCTATTAATAACTGGAATTATTGTACGTCCTTCGAGCGATCGGAGAAACTTTTGAAAAGTATATTTTTTATGAATTGTCAACCGATGATACATAACTCTTCCTTGAGAATATTGTAACTTGAGCTTTTGTAATGAGCCCGAAACATCGTATGTTTAGCGTGGAGTGAAGAAATAAATGCCGTAAATGTTAGGAAGAAATAAACTTGTAACGTTACGTGGAAGAACGTGTCATATAGTTTCTAATCATGCGATATAATTACGGGGCTTAGAAGGGGCATTGTCTATCGGGATATACTTATACAATAAACTACATGCCTCGCGCCTAATCTGGACCATTTACAGCCTTTTTAATTAAACTCTCTAATAGTATTGAATTATTACATTATTACAGTAATATGTACACGTACAGCTAGACATCCTCTTGTAAGCACAATAAAGACATCTAGTCCTATAGATAACAGGACACGGCCTACTAATTCCTCTTATACTTTTCGGGAAACGTTACATCCATTTTACACCGTAGAACGTTAGATTTGTAATTATTGTAAGCATTGAGCTTGGCCGTGTTATCAGCCCTTGTGATATACAACTTACTCTATAACGAGCGATAATTTATCGGATTTTTATTACTCGCCTAACTGCGCGATGTCTACGAGATGAAGAGAATGCCCTGAATTAGTGTTCTTAATGAAATTACGAGCCCCCTCATTAAGGGGGGAAAGATAATTAATTTTCTCCTTGTGCGCAAACCCGAGGAGCGGAGCAATATGGAATGGCGCTTTTATAGTCTGACTAGAGTGTCTATAAAATTCTAAATGGACTATTTTCGTCTGTTAAAGTAAATGCATCAACAGCTGTTTCTAGTCTGGCATCTTCAGCTGGCCGGTCCCGACATCAGCTGATTACAGGGCCAATAAAAAAAAATATATATATATAATGGTTACTAATTCCACGGCATGTCGTTATCATTTCATTCTATGGGCAATAATGGTCACAGTGTAATTACATGAAGTCTAGCAAAGCCACTACATGTATTGATGTACTTAAAACCGAATACCTGATTATCTGCCTCGTATTTGAAGACAAGTAAAAATGTGCTTCGCAGAAAATTTGACGGAAGTATTATAAGCCAAATTTAAAAATGAAAGTAGATCGTTTCGCTTAAAGAAAAAATCATCAATTAAACAAAGATATTCTGAACTAAATTTGGCCTGTGATGCCCTTCAATTTTTGTCTGATGCATTTTTTTGCGTACCTTCGAACAAGGCAGATATTCAACTCTACCTAGTGTAACGTTCTGATTTCGATATAAAAAACAATACATTCTAATTATACAGAATTTTTCACGTGAATACATGAAATAATATGTTGTTCACGATATACGTTGAGCATAGATTTAGCGGAACTTTATTAACATTACATTGATTTCAATTGAAACCCATTGTAGCACTCTCTTGGGTCGCAGTAATTGTCAGGAAGTAATTATCTAAATTCTTGTTTAAACATTTCTAAAATATGCCTCTCGTGAGAAATCTTTCGAATCCGTTAGTTAAAACCCTGGCGAGCTGAAAAAAAGTTAGAGCTCGATAATCCGTACATCCGATTTGTTACGGACATGAGATTATGAACAAATTCAACGAAACAAATAATCATTAAGGTCCCTAATTTCTGGGACGTTAAGAGAAAGCGTCTTTACCAGAGGACCCTGCAAATCGAGAAAACGGCAATTATCCTTTTTCTTTCTTTTTTTTTCCCCTGTGTCAGAATTTAAGCGTAAGTGAATCATTGTTGCAAGCATGAGTAAGGAACTTCTAAAAGTATCAACGAAACATTCGATTCCTACAACTATTATAAACCATGACGTACATCAGCTTTCGTTGGAATACCAATTTGTGGATATTAACTGTTCGCATATATATATTTATATGTCGTTCGTATTCCAAGGAATGCTGAAAGGTATTGTTCTCGAGTAATCATTATAATGAATCGGCTCTTAAAATAAATTACATAGGACTAAACGAAACAAGTTTGGAAGTGGTACGAAGAGATATTTTTCATCGGTGAAGCATCGCTTAAACAGTGTGCCCAAAGTGTGGGTCTCGATACATAAAGTACAATCCATAAATTGGAAGTTCCATTAGCACAGGAGAATCTCGGAATATTTATTAACGCATGTGGCAGGCTAGTTGCTCGAGATGATCGAGGGTACTCAACGAGATAAGGCAGTATGTCTTCATGTAACATGCACATCTTACGTATACGTCATTGTCGTCTCTTTAACCCACTCGAATCGAAATACTTTTCGTTTCTGCGTATCTTATCCATACATGTATAATGCGACACTTGGTTCGAGGGGATTAATGTCCAATATGATTGTGCAAAATCAACGAAAACAATAGAAGAATCTACGGAGCATTCACTTAGACCATCACCGTCACTTCCCCCAGTAGCACGGAATAATTTCTAAATATTTCCAAATATTTCCTTCAGATCTTTCCTAAACATTTCACGCGACAGATTTCTTCGTAGATTTCATTTGAAGACATCTAAAATATTAACTGAAAATCTCAATAAAATATTTAGCTTGAATAATTTATACATTTTGTTACTTTTCGATTATTACCGAACACTTCATTTGATATTAAAACGCACGTAAAAGTTTTGCAATATTTTCCTTCTATTTCATTATGGGAGCGAAACGTGTGATTTTGATTTTAAATATTTTTAAAACGTTTATAATGTATTCGGCAGATGGTATAAAAAAAAACACTCATATGGAAATGAAACGAAATGTTTCGGTGTGTCTGTAAGAAATAATATTATGGAAAAATATGAAGCTAATATTATACAAATATTATAGTTTTGCAAATATTTCGCGTGTCTGCTAAATATTTATAAAATGTACGATATTCGTTAAATATATAGGTGATATAAGATAAATATTTTGTGCTACTAGGGTTGTTATCGAATCGCATTGTATATCATATAAAATCGACGGCGATCGGTCCTTAATGAAGGAAATTGTTTTCAGTCATTTCCCTCGAGAAGAATACTCATGTCGCGTATAATTTAATCATGTTAAAAGTTTGCCTAAACTACTGGACATATTCTTCATTTTTGTGTTGTTGATTTTATACAATTTCACGTTTTTTTCTTTCTTCTTCGGTACAGTTGGATACAATTAACGAGCAATTGAATAGTTTCACCGTACATTACTATATCTTCGTTATACTTAAATTATTCAATTGCAATTCAAGCGTCACCTCTCGTTCTTTGGAACGTCCGCGTGTTATGTAAATTCTATACATATCTTATAAATTATTTTCACTTCCGACGAGGACGAGTGCCCGGCCGTCTCGCACGCTACCTCTAATTTAATCATTCCCTTTTGTCCAATAATGCATTCCATTGTTCGGCAATCCCACGTAATGCCTTCCATTACGTATATAATTGTTACAGACGGAAGTGACAAAATCGTCTTGAGTTAACGAGTATATTGTCGTCCTATATTTACAGAAACAAAGCGATTGGTATGAAGAAAACGTCCAGATATGCGGGAAGTTCACCAGCTGATAGAAAGACAATTGTAATAAAAAGAAAACAACTTATCGACAAGACAGTTCATTGGAAGATAATTAATCTAAGAGACAACTCGCCGAGAGCGTAATTCTTTTCTTCAATGCATAACACATTATCGGCGAACCGTCTTCGACAAATTTATTTCAATTAATCATGTTCATTGAACTTTCCGTAGACGAGTGTTTAGGGTTTCGACCAAACCAATTGTTCAATTCCAATTCTTCGCCTACTTAAATACTGCTCCCTCGTGTCAATCGTGACTGCTTGGATTAAATAATTAGGATAACTCGACAGTGACCTTACTTCGGAAACAATCAAATGACCACTAGGAGTATATGCACAAGCAATGAATTTTAATATCGACAAAGTTGCTAATAGTCACGAACGCAGACTAGCAAAAAGTGACCGTGGAAAGCTCTTGGTACGCATCGTTCTTCTTTTTTTTTTTTTGACAAGACGTGATCACGACCCGATCACTTTGTGACCGGGATTGACATCTTGCTAGAGCGAGAATGCCAGTTTAACAAAGTCTTTTACAAAAACATCAATAAAGAAAAGAGGGCTCCTCGCAATTTGGCATTAGACAGTCACAGCGACGGCTACGCCGCTAAGACAGTTCATAACTGTCATCGATCATTAAATATCCGCGAAGGAAGTTACCAAGTACGATTACAGCTAAACTAACTTTAGGTCTTCGTAACATAAGTGCCTACTCCTTCTAGGACAGCCTTAAGTTCTAAACAACGCTTACTATTCTTACATTTCGAAGTATTGCCTCTTTGCAGTGGACTTTGGAGACAGTCCAAAAGTGTCATCGAAGTAGAACTACGTCTTTCCAATTGTTTACATGGTTGGCACCTTCCATTCACCTTCGGAATCCTAACTTTGTCAATGGGCCAATTTTCTGAGTAACATATCTCGTTTAGAAAATTCAAAATGGCGACGTGGCTTTACTGGGTCCTTAAGAAATGTCATACAACTTTCCGCCGCGGGGTTTACAGGTCGTTACGTTATATGCCTATTGTACCTTGGAAAGTTACATGAAAAAGAAAAAGAAAATATCCTAAGTATCAATGGAAATGAACAATCGGAAAGACGTAATTCTACGTGAAAACTTTGTGGACCTCTCCGACGGAGATGGCTCTTTAAATTTTTTTTTTTTCACCACGCCACGCCGCCTATCAGGCAAGATTTTTCTTGACCTATCTCACGGCTTTTTCGAGATAATTACTTTCTACATTCGCTATCAAAATAATTGCCATTCAAGCTGTTGTCACTCGGTTATTCATCAACGATATCTGCCACGCTAACGAACGCGTTGGTGACTCTTTTCTGATGTGGTTTAATTGTTACTAACAGTTCCTCCGAGACGGTCATTCTTATCCATACAAGTGACGTATACATTGTTATCAAATACAGATTGAGGATTGATACTTCAGAAACGGCAGACGATTTAAAGAATCCACTCTGCGGAGTGAAATGTAAACGTCAAAGGCTTAGAATAAGATTACAAATCTTCTGGATGGAAAGCGTAAAAAGTGAAGCCCAACTCGAGATCGAGTTCCTCTTTCTCTAGTCTCGGTAATTTAAAGAATACTTTAGATACTGCTTTAATTAATTAATCACTTAACGCTCTCCGTACGTTAACTTAGCCGAGTGGAGTCATTCCTACCTACATCTCAGATCTTCGGGATATTTCCGTATTGCACCTCGACATCTTTAAACACTATTGTACGCCTTGTACTTTCGCTTCAATCGTCGTATACCGAAAAGCAAATAGTAGTTCCAATTAACGATTACATCTCGATACATCATTGTACAATTACAGTAAAACTATTCTATGTACATCCGTCTTTAGAGCTCACCTATGGAAATAATAAGGAGCATCTACCTCGAATTGTTAATAGGAAAATAATGTTGAGTTACCAGCCCGTCGACTACTAATGGAGTTCAACATTCAGACGCGGAAATTCGCAAAGAGCCCGATCGCGTTAAAGCAGATTTTCTCTACGGTAACGCTAAGTTCTCTATTAATCTACTTTAAGTTATATCGTACTCGAAAACGGATGCTAGTACGCTCGAGCCGAAACAACGGGGAAGTTCAGGTTAAATTTGGAGTTGATTGCTGAGCATTGTAGACCAACAAGGCTATTGGGAACGTCTTTATGTGCGTCTGCCATTGCGCCGATAGTTGGAAGAATTTAACTCCGTACCATTCGTTCCCGTCGATACTGACTAAAATTTAAAACATTATTAGAGTACTCGCACATGCATTTATTACAGGAATAACTTAACATTCTCATATAAAGTGATTTTACCTCTTAATGGAATGTTTTGAGTCTTCGCAGAGCAGATCAACCTAGTCACACAGTCCACTGTCTGACTTTTCGGTTCGTTCTCCTTCTCTTTCTCCTTCTTTTTGCCTAGCCTCATAACTATAAAAACAGGTAGATTGTATTCGCTCAATCGTACGGGTATTTAATTTCAAAGATCGAGGGATGATCCTTACTTTTCTGCTTCTTCTCTTTCGTCGTGTAGATCATAGAGAGGTGGTGCCCCGGAGCCTCTCCCAAAGGTGGCAATCTTTGAACATGTAGAGCCCTGAACGCCTGCCTCAAGGTGCTCTTGCCTTTCTCACCCTGAGCAGGTTTACTCCAAAAATCGAGTTGCAATTCCACCGGCTCCCAGCCTTCTCTCGGTTGACCTACGTTAGGACTACTCGGAGGAGTCAATTTCCCAGGAGGAGGTACGGGGAGTCCGACCGGAGGTAGAGACGGAGGAGACCCCGATACAGCAATTCCTCCTTCATCCAAATCCACCGATGCCGAGGAACTGCTATCCGGACAACCAACGCGGACATCGTTTATGAAAGGAATAAAGATCTGACTGCTATCGTCGGTTTCCCTGTAGAAATAGATAACGTTGAATTCAATGATCCGATAGCAATACGCGTTGCCCTGTTAAGTGAAAACGTCCGAACTGCATTTTTAACCATAGTAATTGCGTGAAATGCGATCTACTACCTTGACAGTATTTAAAGTACCTTTAACAAAGAAAAGATAGAAAATGTTTTCATTGGAAACATTCGGCATGGTATTGATTTCTAAGTAGTTCATCGTTAAGGTGGAAAATTCTGTTCAATCCGAGTTCAATGCGCAGTTAGTATTTTCATTTAACACAGCGGTAAAAGGAAACTGAGTGTACCTATAAGTGACCATAGCTTCTGCGATAGGCAACGAAAGAGTAGGGCCAACACTGGCTAAATATTCGGATACCCTCGCCGCACCTTCGCTCGCCCCGCCACCTTCTCGTTCCAACAATTCCTTCCACTCGTCTCCGAAGAGCATCGAGTACTTAGCGTCGACAGAGCCGAGATATTTGGACAGCGTGTTAGAACCAAGGGGTACCACCAAGAAACGCAGGTAATTCTGCCAGTCGGGCGGCCGGAAGCTCAAGAGATCCACGTAATGTCGGAGGACCGCATTAACGAAACTGTCTCCCCCTGCTATCACCACCTTAATCGGAGCTGGAGGCTTGGCCGAGCTGTTGCAGCTGCAGATAGAAAAAATTTCGTCTTAATGAACAATTACATCTACCTACTCAAAATCTTTAGACCCTACTTCCGGACTGATCTACGTGTACAAAAGTGGGACACTTTATCGAACACGGGATTTCATCCCAGGAGCAAAAGAGCTAACAATCGTGTATAAATGGCTCGACACATTTTGAAGTTACTATCACTGGTTTATAGAGACAAGGTTTCGTATCAATGGTTAAGCCACATTTTCTTAACTCTTTGGCTACTAAGAGCGCCTAAAGGCGCCCGACGTTTGGTCCAATATTGCCTGCACGGTCAGACGAATTGCGCCCATATGTCGAAATGGCTTCGTCTTCAAAGGGTTAATACGTTAAAAGTATAAGACATTGTACTTGAAACGGCAGTTCTAAAAAGACAAATGGTTAAGCCACATTCTCTTAACTCTTTGGCTACTAAGAGCGCCTAAAGGCGCCCGACGTTTGGTCCAATATTGCCTGCACGGTCAGACGAATTGCGCCCATATGTCGAAATGGCTCCGTCTTCAAAGGGTTAATACGTTAAAAGTATAAGACATTGTACTTGAAAGGGCAGTTCTAAAAAGACAAATAGAGATAATTACAATTTCTGGATACGAGCCACCAGACAAGTGAATGTCGCCCTGATATCGGCTGGGGAAGCTGTGGTCAAAACTCTGTGATTCCGTTCCTGAAGTCTCGCAGCTAGCACAGCTCCGCCAGGATCGGCCAGGGAAACCAGAGACACAGCTTCCGGCAAACTATCATCCGGTAACACTCTACCTAGTTGCTCCACCAGTGCTTTTCGTGGCTGAAATAATAATTTATTTTACATAAATAATATCACGATCAAGGCTTAAAAATTAAGGAACGAGCTATCGCTAGAACCCGTCCCGTATATAAACTATTTTTAAAATACCTATAATGAAATTTGAAAAGAATTGAAGTTTCATGAGTTTCAGGACCTTCCTTATAGTCTCCCTATTCACATTGTAAAGTTTCAAACTATTCCGTAAATCTAGTAGGGAGAAAATTTTTATAAACAAAACCTCATCGATGCCACTTTCCCATCACCTTAATATGATATTTCATTAAATCTCGTTACAACTAGCATCAAAAGCAAATACCAATGTTATCCAGTGGATTACCTCTGAACTATTTAAATCCGCTGGTGGTTTGAGGTCGACACTCAAGCTGTGCTTTTTTAGTTTATTGCTCCCAGGCGTTCCTCTGTCCCTGGCAAAAAGTCTACTCCTCCGATCGGAATTCTCAGTTTTCGTAGGCTGTTCTGACCTAGGCGGGGACCCGGCCAGGGTGTTCGGAGGATCGTTGGCCTCGTGGTCGGTCCAGTTCTCCGGGTGGGAGTCGCTGTCGGCCCTTCTTGAACTGTCATCGCTCTGCCTGTCCACGCCACGTTCTGCAATTAAGCTACGTTAATCCAGATAATAATACCACCCACAAGAGCGGGTACATTTATCGATCAAGGGACTGTCAGGGCCGACCTGAGGCGTACGATTGGGAAGCCCAACGATCAATGTAAACGGTTCAACGAAAGCCATCGGCTACAGGACGTAGGAGTGAAATGCAACAGAAGCGTCCTGACTATTGGGTTGATGCATAAGTCATTGCGCATTTTTTCAAATCATCATCAACCCAATACTTCCTTAACACATTCGCGACCGCTGACGTGAATTCACGTCTCTTAAAGTTCTACTCCTGGTTGCCGGCGACGTGAATTCACGTCCTCCGTACTTGGCTCACTAATTGTCAGCCGGCGGGGCGGACAGATCTTATCATTTTTATCCTCGCTGTAACAATACAAGTATCCGGCAACCAGTTTCAAAAATTCAATTATTTTCCCCGGCACTCAATATTTTAAGCGGACAAAAATTTCCCGGTCGCGAATGTGTTAACCGTTTGAGTAGAAGGCGCCGCATTCGCGCCCTTCGGATGTCACGTAGAAAAAGCCCAGTGCAATTGAACGGACAATTGACCGTGCACTCACGATCTGACGAGACGCACTCAACTCCCCATATGCAATTTCATAGGAATTTTCCAACACATAATAAAAGGAGCGCCATCGGGCCGCTCGGATCTTTTCGCATCCCACTCCGAAAGCGCAATTGCGCTGCTCGGCTTTCCTCGACCGTGTTCTTATTTTTTATATATTTTTTTAAAGACCCTGACAGTCCCCCAAGTGTCACACGAACATCGACAATAGTCTAGAGAGCAGCGGAGCAAAGAGCGAAAAGATTGCAACCGACGTGCAAAGTGTACCGAGATTCGAGCAGGTCTCTGGTGAAATTCCCGCGTACGTAAGTATACACTAATGCACTAGGACATATGCCACGAAACATGAAAGAAAATTATCACAATCTTTCTGTCATCTTTCCTTCACATTTCCAGTCTGAAGAGAGCGATGCGCGGGACATTCGGGAGTGTCGTCGAGTTCTGATCAGGACCACACGGATGGACGGTCTTTCCTCGAGAAACGGAAGAAATGTTCCCAACGCACCTTACTAGTTACTAGCTAACACAAAGCCACTAGTTATTAACTAATTGGTAATATATCAGGGCGGCTTAATTACTGCACTACCGGCGAAGCGTTAGAAACACACAGACAGATAGAATAGATACGTCGTAGCGTAAAAGAGGTACATACGTACGTGTGTAGAGAGATAGAGAGGCGCTCAGCTGACATGGGGAAATGACAGAGACCACAGGAAATCCGTGTAAGCAGGCGTTTGTGCGCGAGTTTCCCTATACTTCCCTTAGTCTAACCGAGTTACCGAGTTATCGCGGTGGGGAAAGATTAAGCTCGGATTAGTGTAATATCAGTGTGTGCGATGCATTCGATAGACGGCAGAGTGCTTGCAGGACACATAAGTAGTAGAGAATAATGACAAGATATGTAGATGCTGAAGATGTGTTTATTTCCCTGTGTACATTTCTCAATTTCATTTATTACAGCTTCGAGTGGTACTCTCGAGAACAAGGCCACATTAAGCTTCTTCGAAGGAGTCATTTCCCGTAGGAGGCATTTTCAATCTCTCCAGAGAGCTTTTCTACCCGAGGATTGCGACGAGATTCGAGATTTTAGGAATCTAAAGGACTATTGATCCTTAAAGTAATTCCATTTTGCCGGCGAAATTCAACGCGCGATTAGAGATCGATTGTAAGCTTTTACAACTTTTACCATTATCCTAACGCACGGATCTGTGTGTATGTGTTGGAAAATAGAAATGACAGATCGGCCCACGTGTACTAGTGAATCGTTAATATCCCGGAAAATCCACGCTTTATTTATTATCCCGCTGTAAACGCCGTGAATTTAGAGAGTTGCAATTAATAATCGATTCTGGATGCTTAGCGAGTTCGGTGTGACGTGCTCGTATGCAAATGAAAATTATTATCACTGTTTTAAACCCCCCTAAAAAAAATGCGAACTATTACCCTGAAGAAACGGATCGGTGCCAGGTAGTGTGACGCCGAATAAAAAATGCATTACCCTAGAGAGATTGTACCTAGTCTTTCGACTTAATAAAGGGAAGGATACTTTGTACTAATTAACGTTAGTTGCAGGCACATAAAAGCGTCCCCTTAGAGTCCCTTAGAGTAGAGACGCGGCCACGTGGCTAGTTATCCTCCGTCGACACGATGCTCATACACTTCGATATCGTAAGACCGTAGGTCCCTAACATTGAATATCTCCTCCTACTAATGTCGGTACGTACCTGGGGTGGTGTGTCCGATTTTCGGTTTTTCCTTAGGCTGCTGAGACGAGGTAAGGTGACTTCCCGGTGGCGCCGAGTTGTTTCCGGTCTCCTCGCCAGTTACTACTATCGAATTGTACCATGCAACAGTGCAAAGCCAACCCACCAGAGTTCCTCACTTAATGATAAGCCTCTGAGTTCTCTTAATCGACGAAGTCTAGTGCCTCGATTCAAACAGCTTAAGGGGTTATACCACTTTGAAATGTTAAAAAAATCCAAAAACATCTTTACGCGTTTATACTCTTTAAACGCGTTTCTCTTAAAACTGCATTTTAAAAATTAGCTCCGCCAATTTTCAATCAATCGTCTTGATTCCTTCTTTTATTTTATTCCTGATATGTTTATCTAGCGAAATACGTATGGTGTTTTCAATGTAAGACATTCGCGTTTTTTATGCAACATTAATTCACGAAATTTAGGGCAAAATATCGTATCTTTCCTTTCAAATCGATGCCATCTTGTGAAAAATGCATACTTTTGAAAACGGCTACGCATTTCGCAGAAACTAATTCTTTTTCGTTCATTGATCTAGCTTAAACTTGGACTGAGTTATCGTGCCCACGATCATCGATTTTCGTAGCGCTCCGGTAAATCGCCTTTCAAGTCGGCATTTTTGTAAATAAAAAAAATAGAAAAAAAAAA